CGGCGTAATATAAAATCTAGCTGAAGAAGAAATTAATCGTAGATTTTGTGTCAGGGAAACATTTATATAAATAGATGTATGTGTTTGATTTATATATATATGCCCTAATAAATTATTTTGCTAGGGTTTTGGAATTTCCTTAGAATGTACAATAATAGAATAATGAAGAAAATTAGTGGTCCTTTTATGCAGCCTCTATGTGTGTTTTTTCAACTTTCATCCACACCTTTGGTTTATAGTGTGGGGACTTGTTATCAAGTTATCAGCCACCGTAGATCAGACTGATCCGATCAACTTTTGCCAACTTTTTCTACATTCTATGGTCCAGCCCCTTCAGGTCGATCTTACCGGTTGGTTTAAATTTGTTGACCAAATTGATTTCGTTTGGTTTGGCTCGGTCTTTTCTAGTCTAGACGAGTAACCATCACTATTAAGCGTGTAGATGTGTACAACATGTACCCATCCTCGAGATACCTAAACAACAAGATGCAAACAAACAGCCGTAAATGCTCTACAAATACATAGTCAAATAAGCAAATCTGTGTTTCAATTTCAATCATGACTATATATAATAGGATATGATCTATATTCGTTATGCTACTTTGATCGTTTAAAAAAAACGGTGTACATTGATCAAGACACATATTCTAACTATCATTTACTGTCTTACTAATATTTAAATTGGATATAATGTATTTGTGATATGTTGGCACAGAAAAGTGTTTATATTCACATATGTTTGACATGTCATCGATCAACTATTAGATATATGAATTATTATATAAGTTCAGTGATTAGTATGCATCGAAATCACAAAATGAATATTACGTTATGATTCCATACATTATATTTACAATTCATAAAGTTTCAAAATCGCAATTTACATATAGCCATTCTAGTATTTCAAAAGAGGTAATAATATAAAAAGAGTTATGTCAGTTCACGAAAATTCAGCCATTTTGCATATGTTTTTTTTTTTTAATAATGTTGAAGTGTTAGTAACTTAGTACCAATCAGATGTACAGTGACTTTAATTGGTGGAAGTTAATAAATTGGGTCTAGTAATGCGAGTTGAAAAATCCACGATACCTTAGACCGATAACAAGCTAATGAATTGGTTATTGGTTAAAGTCTTAGAGAGAAGCTGATCATGAAACGTAAAATCAAATGACAAAGCATATATAACGAGAGTATACGTGTATGCATGTGCATGACATGGTAAGACGCCATAATCTCAAACCTTCGGGACCCACAAGAACTCTATATATTGGTTGTATACTTTTTATTTCGTAAAAATGAAAGAAAAAAATACAGTATTGTACATAGAGATACATGTCTATAAATGAAATGTATGTATATACGAAGTGAAAGTAAAGTGGGGCCCAAATGTAAACACAATCCATGTGAAGAAGTTTCAGCTTCTGATTAGATATGGAATTGAAAGGAAAGCGAGAGAGAGAAGACGCAAGAACAGAACATAACCGAAACTAAACCAAGTTTGCAACTTTACATTCTTCTTCTTCTCTCTCTCCTCCCTACAATAACTACTCTTGCACCAAAGAGAATGTAAGAAACTAAAAGCTCATTTATATTGGCTTTTGCCTTGGAAACAAAATAGTATATAAAAGTAACCCACCTAATCTTTTTCTTCTTTTACTTCTTTGGATTTTGTAAAAGAATGAAATTTTAATATTTTAGAAAAGGAGTAGAAAATGGATATGAGGGAGCAATGAATGATTTGACAGTGAAAGCATGGCTCATTGTAGAAACACTGTTCTCTCCCTGTCTCTGTAAGAAAGATCTGTTAAGTAGCAGTGATGAGAAGCCACCAAACACTATACTCCAAAACGTCTCTCTACACTTAAATAAATGCTTCACACAAAATAATAATGATAGTACATTATTATATTAACTGTTATCTACAAATATGCTGGTATTTTGGTTACAACAAATCATTGTTTGAATAGGGAATACGTTTGTTATATATCCTCACTCCTCAGAAAAAAAAACCCTAAATATTCAAGATCACACAGTTAACAGACTAACAGTAAAACTAATTATCGGGAGTAGAAGCATAATGGTCAATCGTAGGTTAAAGTCTCTTGGATAGTTTCTACGTCGTATTATGAATCTCATCGTATGGTATACGTATATAATACGTATGTTATACGTATAATGTACATACATATAATTGTGAGAATTTAATTAGGAAATTATGAAATAAAAAGAAAAGAAAATAGAGGTAGACAAGTTAACACAACACAGGGCTCGAGAAGAGACAAGACTCTGCGGCTTCTACCTTTTTTTTGGGGACTCACTCTTCTTATCATTCACTCCCTCTCTTTTTCTCCTCCACGTCAACTCTGATTCCCATTCTTCTCTATTAAAATGTAAGTATCATTTGATTTTTTTATTGATATAAATATAGTCTAATTATTATAGTTTGACAAAAAGATACTAGTAATAATATTATTTCATTTCTCTCATTTTAGCACTGGTTTGAGATTTATTTACATACGTATAATAAAATGTCTAATGTGTATTTATCCATCTCACTAATTTTCTATCTATTAAAGAAAATAGACATTTATTTAAATCATCATGTATAAAAAAACTAGGAAAATGCAACCAAATTATAATGGTACAGTAGATGAAATATTCATTTGTAGAATTTACTAGCAGGGTTTAAAATTACACCGTAATTTTCATTAAGTTTGGTTGTTGTAGACGTATAATATGGTAAATACGTATATCACATCCATTGGTTCTTTTGTTTCTATATAAAAAATAACAACATTTTTATTCAGAGGAAAACCATGCATTTTAAATTAATTAGAGAGAACAAAAACTTTTATCAGATTTTGAGTATTAATTAAGAGAAAAAGCCTGGAGAACTGAGTGATAAGCATTTTGTTCTATAACTATAAATAATGAATTAAAATAAGAAGAGAATGTTAGTGAGAAAAATGAAAAAGAAAATGGTTGGACTGAAAACGCGTGTATAGAGAGGCCACGAAAGTCTTATCATCTCTTTCCCTTAGGCTAAATTCCACCTAATTCTTTGTTCTACACACTACTACCTCTACATACAAGTTTTTTTTTTATAAAAAAAAATATACATACGTACGTGCAATGTTGGCATGCATGATATTTTCATACTAAAAAATGTATAATACATATGTTTTGATAACATCTTAAGTTTCTTATTTAAGTCCAAATCCTCAACAGATTCATAGGCCGCTCCTCGATAGGTTCCATCCATCTTTTCCAAAATATCGATCAATCAAAAAATTATTTCGTCCGTTAATTATTTAATGTGTTGCTTACTATTATTTTCGGAAATGATGTTTAATAATAGATTTGTAATGTAGCAAATAAAGAAAATAATTCGGGAGATAAAAAAAAATGTCATTGTCTCGATTGTAATGTATCCATCACACCCCCTCGAATTAATTGATCTCCTCTACTAATCTTTTAGTCGAATATTTTGATACAAAGTCAAACAATGAATAACGATTGTTCCCTTGTTAGAAAGTTGTAAGACAATAAAATCGATCGATTATTAGCTAAAATTATTGAGAAAACTTAATAAATCAAGGAACGGTACGGAAGCGTAGGGCGGCGAGGCGGTGCTTTTAGCCTGTGTCAAACTATTCGCACAATTACCAGTTTTGAATCTAATATTTTGAAATGTCTAATTTACCCCCTCCCACTAAGTCAACTCTCTCCACTCTTATGGCAAAAAAATCCTTGTAAATGTCCACATCTTTAATTTACTTTTATTTTATGCCTTAAACTTTTTGTTTACATGACACTCATACATTCGTATGTCTCTAGATCTTAATTTTATCGCGGCATGATTTTTCGTGCCGTTATTCTCAGGCAATTCAAGGGATGAATAACGATAATTATAAGGATTAATTAATTAGGATCCATGGTGCTCACGGCACGGGCATAGAGGTGTGTGTTTGTCTGCATATTATCGTATTAAACATTAATATTTATACAAAGATAATGCACAACATAGGGCACCTCAATAGAATCGTACGTTTGTCTCTACAAGAGAGGGTGAGTGTTTACGTGGGTTTTTTATTTTCTATATTAGCATATATACACACATAAAAGTGTATATCATAGTAATTTTGTTTCCTCGGAAACATGGACAAAAGCATCTGCTTTCCAGCTACAAACTTTAGACACTATAAATTTAAGCCACAGGTGCAATCCAATCTGCACAAAATTGATATTTTAAAAAGATTATGGGCTAAGGAGATAATTGGAACATATAATAATAATAATCAATGCTGATAATTGGCAGCCCTTGCAGTTTCTTTTTGCATTAGTGACTTATTTAATCCACATGTTTATCTGTTTGCTGAAGATTTTCGAAACCTTGATTTAACGTCTTTAAAAACAAACAAAAAACACCAAACGACCTTCATTTTACTTGTGGGGGCTTTGATATTTACAAATAACCTCACATATACCAAAAAAAAAGATTGAATAGACCTATGGACTTTTGACAAGGTTTTGTCATCAGTTCTAGATGATGATTAGGAGGTCTAATTAATAGGTCCCAAAATATAGAACTATCTTAGGATAATCAAAAATAGAATTTTGATACCGTAATGCATCAGTATTAGTATTATTAATTTATTTATTCCTTTTAGAGGATGGATAATTAGTTATATACCCTGAAAACATAAATCAGTTGTAAGAAAATATTTCAATAATTAAAAATTGTAAGAGAAAAGGGAAAGAAGTAGCGGGTTTCCCGGAAGAAAGGACAAAGAAGGAAATTCCCACAATTATGCCAACGTGCCAACATATTTACCGTCCGATTTCCAATTAAGAAAATATTAACGATGAAAGATGTTCTAGTGGCCATTTGGTAGAGAGAAGTGTCGTTAATATTGTTCAACGAAAAAAAAAAAACAGAAAAAAGTACATTTTGCAAAACCTGGAAAAGATGAAGAAACAAACAAAGAACAAGATGAGAGAGAGAAAGGAGGAGACAGAGAATTAAATTAGAGGAGCAGAGGGGAGAGAGAGAGAGAGAGAGAGATTATTAAGGTTATGGCGGCGTTGCAGAGCGCGAGAAAGGCAATGAAACCTCTCTGATCTCTCTTCTTCTTCTTCTTCTTCTTCCTCTTTTTCTCTCTGTGTCTTACTTAAATACTCTCTCTCTCTCTCTCTCTCTCTCTCTCGTACCGACAAACGAGCTTTGCCTTTACCAGACCCTTAAAAGCTACTCCAACTTCAATTCAATACACTACAAACCCAGAGAATGAATTCTCCCTAAACCCTAGTAATCCTCTTCCTCCTCACTAGTCTCAAAGATCTAGAGCGAGAAATTACATAGAGTAGAACTAAAAAGCAAAAAGATCTTTGATTTTGGATTTTTCTTTTCATTTTTCTTGAAAAGCTGATTGGAGGAGAGTTGTAGTATATATGGGTGGTGGAACTTGTGCCGGTGAATGGCGGGGTTTTTCTCGCTAGACGGCGGAGGAGGAGGCGGAGGAGGAGGCGGAGGAAACAGCCAAGAAGAACACCGGACCAACACGAATCCTCCTCCGCCTGTGTCAGAGTCTTGGCTCTGGTACAGAAACCCTAACGTCAACGCAAACGCAAACGCAAACGCTCCTTCCTCCTCAAACGCTGCTTTAGGCACACTTGAGCTATGGCAAAACCACAACAATCAAGAAATCATGTTCCAGCATCAACAACATCAGCAAAGGTTGGATCTTTACTCCTCAGCCGCTGGTTTAGGCGTCGGACCAAGCAACCATAGCCAATTCGATATCTCCGGAGAAACTTCAAACGCCGGCGCCGGAAGAGCCGCGGCGCTGATGATGATGCGGAGTGGCGGCAGCGGCGGTGGAGGAGGAAACGGTGTGAGCTGTCAAGACTGTGGTAATCAGGCCAAGAAAGATTGTGCTCACATGAGGTGTCGAACTTGTTGCAAGAGCCGTGGCTTCGAGTGTCCTACTCACGTGAGAAGCACGTGGGTTCCTGCTGCCAAACGCCGTGAGAGACAACAGCAACTAGCCACGGTTCAGCCGCAAACGCACTTGTCACGAGGTGATCAAAGCGTCCCGAAACGCCAACGGGAGAATTTGCCGGCAACTTCTTCGTCTCTTGTCTGTACTCGCGTACCTACTCACCACAACGCTTCAGGTATTATAAATATACATCATTGTAATGTAAATATATAGATTTATATTTCTTTATTATTCTGTCGTGGAAAAAAATGAAATGCAACCCTATTTTGCTGATCATTTTTTTCTAAAATAAGTAATTTGTGATTTAACTGTGAGAATACTGTGTTGGAGTAAACACTGACTAATAGATTGACAGGCACAAGCTGTACTCATCAATCTTGAAATCTGTGTTCTTTCTCTAATTCCCTGCTCCTCCTCCTTTTTCCATAACCTGAATTTTGGAAGGGAATAAAGAAATCAATATTTATGTTTTATTCTCTAGTCAAAAAAATGCGATTTTCTTTTGTAAAAATTGTTACTTTTTTTTTTCATTAAATCTAGGGTTAGAGGTTGGGAATTTCCCGGCGGAGGTGAGTTCACCGGCAGTGTTTAGATGCGTGCGAGTGAGCTCAGTGGAAGACGGAGAAGAAGAGTTTGCTTACCAAACAGCCGTAAGCATCGGTGGTCACATTTTTAAAGGCATTCTCTACGACCACGGTGCTGGAAGTAGTGGCAGTGGCGGCTACAACGTTATCGCCGCCGGTGAGAGCTCCTCCGCTGGTGGTGGTGGCGGAGCTCAGCAGCTGAATCTCATAACAGCAGGATCTGTCACGGTTGCAACCGCCTCTTCCTCCACTCCAAACGCCGGTGGTATTGGAAGCTCTTCCGCAGCTGCTGCAACTTATATTGATCCTAACGCTCTTTATCCAACTCCGATCAACACTTTCATGGCCGGTACACAATTCTTTCCCAACCCAAGATCATGATCAATCTGACATAAAGCAACATAACTCATTTGAATATCCTTAGAATAGAATTAGGGTTTTTAAAACCGTTAATTGTTGGATCATGTTATATAAGTTTGCAGAAGTGGGGAGAAATTAGGAGGAAAGTGGATCTGTTTATGCTTCTTCTGGTCACTCAAAGTTGTTGCAATTTTAGGGTTTTAAAGGGAGATTTTTAATTCAAATAATATCAACTTCTTATTATAATGATTTTGTGAGGATAGGGTTGTGTATTATTTAAATGTCAGGAGCACAATATAGCTCTTGTTGTCTGAAGCTTTGTTTCATTAATGTGTCTGTTTCTTGTTTGTGTAACACGTAACCTTAGAATCCGGAGATAATGTTTTTCATCTTTATATCAACCTTTTCTGTCTTCTTCTAACCAATAGAAAAAGATTCATTACATGTGTTACCTATATTATATACAATTTAATTTCTTCGACCATGGTTTCAGTTACGGCGACTTTGGTCTGCCCATCCCATGCATTTAATGATTTTTTTTTCTTCTGTATTTATGTTTACTACTAGTAATTGTTTCATACCATAATTGACATGTGATTGAATCAGAGAAGATGACTAGATGAGTATATATTTATGTTACAAGAGCGACATGAATAGATGTGACATGAGGGTGCGTTCTACAATGTACGTTGTTTAACCCAATCAGTTAATCCTCCATCCCCTCCATTAGTCCTTTGATTACTAAAAGTTTAATTCTACAATTAGGTTTTTTTTTCTTTCACATGTAATGCGTGGAGTTGAAAAATACTAAAATATTTTTGTTTCAAAAAGCGCTGTTTAATGATCTGAACGTAATTTTTGATAAGAACATATTGTATCCGTTTTTAATTAACATTAATAAAGTAATAAAATATAGTAATGGCTTTTCTTATGTTGCATGAAAACTGGAAAGTATACTTACTTTTTTCGTATGCTAAAAAATACCCATACTCATTTTGAACGAAAGATCGATCGAGTACCATTTCCGTTTGCATGATTAGTTCAAGCATTATCAGTCGAGACTTGAGGGTGAAGGAAAAATAATGATCATTAATCATATTAAGGAGTATTTACGTTAATACGTTATTGTCCATACACACAGTCACGCACACAAGTTCATGTAAAAGCTTACGTACATGCATATCATCTAACATAATACATAAAACTTATGTATTGCGTGACGAAAAAATAAAAAATAATTATTATGTATTGCGTGTATATATCGGTAATGTATGTTTACACTCCTACACACTAAGTCATACACACACAATATATATACACATATGACATATATATGAATATGTATATATAGAGTGAGAGAGAGAGGGATGTTTTGCAGATTCTCATGTTTGATGTGTAAGCAATATTAGAATTGGGAATGTAGATATGCAGTGCCATCAATTTCAGATTAATATGTTTGGCTACAGGTTCATATTTACTCTTCATTCCCATCTTTTTCATCAATTAATACGGTTTGGCTCATTTAAAACTTTAAACACAAAAAAGCCCTTCTTCTCTTCATTTTATGTAATTTATGGTCTCACAAATTAAATCATAATATCATGAAATCTAAGAAAAAATTTGAACAAGTAATAACAATTTTGGAATGCTTGGCAGATGTTCTGGAGTGTTGGAGGTCATAACTATGAGTCTATGATATAATTCCTTTTAATTTGTCAATAATCGAAAACCATCCGATACTGTTTTGTGGGAATTGTGGATTTGGTAAATGCTAAATCCCTCGACGCAATTTGGATTGCGTGACAATATTATTATACAATCAATCGATTTGGTCCATTCAAAAATAGTGCTGCGGTCCAATCGACCGACTCGTTCCGACTTTTACTCTCTGCCGTATCACATCCTTTCTCTTATCCAACAAATTATATATTTTTTAATAGATCCACAAGTATACAATGTTTTCATCATATATGTAAATTTTAAGAAAGATACAAAACATAGATTTGAATTGACACTTGAGTTATGTTCCCTCTTGACGTCGACATTTGAATTACGTAAATTTTTATTAGTACCACAAAACCAACTTTGAACAAAACCATTTAGATTTGTGAGAAAATGATTAAAATGGAGAAGGTATTTAAAAGCAATGCATTAAGCGGGTGTTGGTGTTCCTGTTATGCAATCGATCTTGAACACTCGTTGATTAACTCACAAACACTCACGGAATTGAACTATGTATTTTAAAAAAAAAACATTAAGAAAGCAAGAAAAACATATGGTATAACGAAGTTTCTAAGTCACGGTAGCATAAATCTTGACGGTATCCACCATAACCGGAACTAACCACCATAATTGCTGAATTGGAACTGCACAGGATACAAAGAGAAATTTTGCGAGAAGAAGAAGAATGAGAGACGACGACACACTCTGATTCTCGTACCATTCTTTTCTATTTCTCTAATTCTTAAGCTATCTTACACGTTACAATAACCCTATACTAAACAATGCAAAATTTAGAAGCTAAGCACAACCCATACGAGCCTCACAAGAACATAGCCCAAATTCCAAGAGCAGAGCGAGCTAGTTTAAATCCGGAGGATAACATAACACTTGTATGTAATTAAAACATTTTCGTCCATGATTTCATATAATTCATTTTGCATGCTTGACTCAAACAAATAGATCATATTTATTCCAATACCAAAAGAAAGAAAACAATCTAAATCTTATTTCGGTTGAAATCGTTTGATTTTACAAAAAAAAAAAAAACTGATTTCAAAATCGCACAAAACAGAATTTTCAGACAAGCACTTCTTTGTGTGCCTAAAAAGGATATAATTTAAATATTTTGACCATAATTAACAACAAAATAAACAACCAAAAATATATTCGTAAGCAAAAAAAAAGAACGCAAAGTGAAACCAAAATCATATAACCTATGTCGTTAGTCGTTACTCTACATAGTAAAGTGAAACCAAAACTTAAGTTAAACATTCTTAGAATCAATTAATACAAAGCAAAAGAAGAATCTTGTCATGTTTAATATTTCCTTGATTAGGCGTTACATTTAACGTCGCGTTAACATGGTTTTTAGTTTTTTGCATGGACAAAACATGAGACACAAAAGACCATAAAAACTAAATTTAGAGACACGAAATTGAAAGTCCCATGTCCGACTCTATTGGATCTTTGATTCAGTCTTCTCTCTTCACAACCTCTCTTTCTCTTCTTTTTCTTCTATTTTTACTTCCTTCAACTCCCATTTTTCTCCTTCATTTTTTTTCTTTCTTTCTTTCTCAGTTCCAATCTCTCTCTTTTCTTCTTTCTTTCTCCCCCCAACAAACATTACAGTAAGACCGGAAAGATGGCATTTGGAAAAGGACGTGGAAACAAACGCTCTTCCACGACGTCGTATGCGTCGACCATAACAATGGTCATCTTTGTAGCTCTATGTGTCATTGGTGTGTGGATGCTTTCTTCCAACTCCGTTATTCCACCACAGATCACAGGAGCCTCCACTCGGACAGCCATTGCAGAGACAGAGAGGAGTGATGTGGTGTCTGCCTCTTCAAACGGTAACGATGAACCCGAACCAACAAAACCGGAGTCTGATGACCAACCAGCATTTGAGGACAATCCGGGAAAGCTTCCAGACGATGCCGTAAAGTCCGAAGACGAACAACAGAAGTCAGCAATAGAGAAGAGTGACAAGACGAGCCAGGCCAAGAAGTTTCCCGAGGCAGGAGAAGGAGGAAAACAGAGTCAAAAGGAGACTCAGAAACAAGAAATCCAACAGAACAATGAAAAGTTTCCCGAGGAAAAGGAGAAAGACAACGACAAGGAGAACAAGGCTGTGCAAGAGAATGGTGAAGGTCAGATGAAACAAGTGGTCAAGGAGTTTGAGAAAGAACAGAAGAAACAGCGAGACGAGGACGCTGGGACTCAATCAGGCAACTCCAAAGGAACACAAGAGCAGCAAGAGCAAGGACAAGGAAAGGAATCGCAGGATGTGGAACAAGGAAAGAAACAAGGGCAAGATCAGGATTCTAATGCCGATGTGACATTCACAGATGCGACCAAAGAAGAACAACCTATGGAAGTGGGGCAAAGCGACACATCAGAGAACTCAAAGAATGAAGCAAACGGACAGCAACAACAAGAAGATCAACATTCAGGAAAGGAGGAAACCGGACAACAGAACGAGGAGAATATTGAAGAAAACGGGAAGGATCAGAAGAGCATGAAGGATGAGAACGGACAACAAGACGAACATAACACAACGGAGGACGAAAGCGGAAGCAAAGAAGAACATAGCATGACAACAAAGGACGAAAATGTGGAGCAACAAGAAGAGAAGAAAGATGAGAAAAGACAAGAGGGTTCAGAAGCGGGTGGGTTTGGCTCTGGAATACCGAAAGAATCTGCAGAATCACAGAAATCATGGAAGAGTCAAGCAACAGAATCTAAGGACGAGAAACAAAGACAAACATCTGAATCAAACAATGCAGATAGTATAATGGGTGGGAAGACATGGGTGTTGTGCAATGCAACTGCAGGTCCTGATTATATACCATGCCTAGACAACGAAGAAGCTATACGGAAACTAACAAGTAGAAGACATTTTGAGCATAGAGAGAGACATTGCCCAGAAGACCCACCAACGTGTCTCGTTTCCCTCCCAGAAGGCTATAAGGAGTCCATCAAGTGGCCAGAAAGCAGGGATAAGGTAAAAATATTCAATCCAAATAAGTTTATGTTCAGGTGAAATGATCTGAAATAGGATAAAAGTTGACTAACATGTGATCTAGTAGATATGGTACCACAACGTCCCACACACAAAGCTAGCAGAGGTGAAAGGACATCAGAACTGGGTGAAAGTCACTGGCGAATTCTTGACATTTCCTGGTGGTGGAACACAGTTCATCCATGGAGCTCTCCATTATATCGATTTCCTTCAGCAGGTGAAGAATTTATAAAAAAACTGCACCAAATAAAGACAAAATTTCAGTGATATCTAATGCTGCTATGTTTCCTATAAGCAGTCTTTGAAAAACATTGCGTGGGGTAAACGTACTCGGGTCGTATTGGATGTTGGATGTGGAGTTGCGAGCTTTGGCGGTTTCCTCTTTGAAAGAGATGTTATAGCCATGTCTCTTGCACCAAAAGATGAACACGAGGCTCAGGTCCAGTTTGCTCTTGAAAGGAAGATTCCAGCCATCTCTGCAGTGATGGGCTCAAAGAGACTGCCATTCCCGAGCAGAGTGTTTGACCTTATCCACTGCGCACGATGCAGAGTCCCTTGGCACATTGAGGGTGGTATGCTTCTTCTGGAACTTAACCGGATGCTACGGCCAGGAGGTTATTTTGTTTGGTCAGCAACACCAGTGTACCAGAAGCTCGAAGAAGATGTTCAAATTTGGAAAGGTAAGGTTTGAACTAAAGTGTTCTCCTTTTAAGTTCTGTTCCATTGAAGCTGACATGTTTTGAGTTATATGTAGCCATGTCCGCGTTGACAAAATCCATGTGTTGGGAACTTGTGACAATCAACAAGGATAAACTCAATGGTATTGGTGCTGCCATCTACCAGAAACCTGCCACGAATGAATGCTATGAGAAACGAAAGCAAAACAAGCCTCCGATGTGCAAAAATAACGATGATGCAAATGCAGCCTGGTATGATTCCTTTTTCCACACAGTATGCAAAAACAAACTACATGTTAAGGAACGAGAAAAACCTTCAGGCTTTAATAGAAGGAAGAAAGTCAACACTTGAAATGCAAATTTTCAGGTATGTACCGCTACAGGCATGTATGCCTAAAGTGCCAACAAATGTGGTCGAGAGAGGGAGCAAGTGGCCCGTGAACTGGCCCCGTCGGCTACAAACACCTCCTTACTGGCTAAACAGCTCTCAAATGGGGATCTATGGGAAACCAGCTCCAAGAGATTTCACTACAGATTACGAACATTGGAAGCATGTTGTTAGCAAAGTATACATGAATGAAATTGGAATCAGCTGGTCTAATGTGAGGAATGTAATGGATATGCGAGCTGTCTACGGAGGGTAAGCATCAAAACTTAAAAAAGAAAAACTGAAAGAGATCAAACAAAAAGATTCAGTTCAATCAACAAAACTAAACTTTTGTTTGTTCCAACTATGTCAAAATGCAGGTTTGCAGCAGCTCTAAAGGACCTGCAAGTGTGGGTAATGAATGTAGTAAACATAAATTCACCAGATACACTACCGATAATCTACGAGAGAGGCTTGTTCGGGATTTATCATGACTGGTGTGAATCTTTTAGCACATACCCTCGGAGCTATGATCTCTTGCATGCAGATCATCTCTTCTCTAAGTTGAAAGCAAGGTAAAGCCTTAAGTCATTTCCACTTTTGTTTGGTAATTTTCATCTGAAGAAGTTGAAAAAGATCTGTTTTTTATATCCTTTTGCAAGGTGCAACCTTGCTCCAGTAATGGCAGAAGTGGATAGAATAGTAAGACCAGGAGGTAAACTAATAGTTCGTGACGAGTCCAATGTGATAAGAGAAGTTGAGAATATGTTGAAGTCACTGCACTGGGATGTTCATCTAACCTTCTCCAAGCACCAAGAAGGAATATTAAGTGCCCAAAAAGGATTCTGGAGACCAGATACATCTCAATGAAAAATCTGCAGAAGCAACATTATATAATACATTAATCACCCAAACCTATAAGCCTTGTTCGTGTTGCAAGAACTGGATAAAGAATGTCAGTAAAATGATTTAGTGTTGTTAAACCATAGACTAATTAGAACATTTTTTGTTTCCTGCTTCATAGATCTTAACATGGTTATGATCTTCGATTGTGATGCACACAGGTAAATGAAATTCGTTCACTGATGAATTTAAACTTCAAAGTGATCAAATTTTTTGTTTTAATAATGAATATTAAATACCAAAAATTGAATTGAAAATACCTAATCGGTTAGTTCTCTGGCTAGAAAAGGCATAACAAATATTGGATAAAAACTAAAACTATGAACCAAGTTATTTTTGAATCTTTGCCCAAATACAAGAATCAAACTTACAGGAGAAGATGGTGAACTATAAATTCCGAAGCCGTTTGATCTTAAAGATGTGGAAGAAGACTACCGGAAGCGAAGTTGCTGTGCAATTCGGGTCGGTTACGACCCGAATACAGACCCGGTTTGAAACACAACATTCTCGAGTGAGCGTGAGCGTAGGAAGAAGGAGACATCTCGACGATGCTGATGAACCCGGTTTGAAACAGCCGGTACAAACGGTTTAGGTTGTGCCGAGTTTTTCGAGATCAGGGAAGATTTTTAGAGCAGAATTAGGATCCGACCCGGTTCAATTTTTATTACCAGTGGGTCGTTTGTTATTAACTGTTTTTCTGTTACGGAATAATGTCAGTCTGTATTAAAAACGATGCCGTTTCTTTTATGAATCATCTGTAAAGCTCTGTATTACAATTATGTAGATTCTGCTTACGCTTAGACATATCTACTACAGAGACGTATGTATGTATAGTTGTATACATTGTTGCCGATTGGGTAAAAATTCCATTCCACTTTACACAAAACAATAAAAAAAAATTTCTGCCCTTTCCTAATTATAAATTTGATCTTGAAAGAAAAGAAAGATTGAGAAATAAGAAAGGAACGTAAACAGAAAAAAAGGAAAGAGGGGCACTTTTAATTTAAGTAGAGAGGCTGGACACTTATCATATTCAATGCTTTACCAAACTCACACCCTCTTCTTCTTCTAATTTCACACCACCACCACCCTTCTTCTTCTTCATCTCTTTCTCTCTTCCTTCACCGACATCTCCTTCAAAAAGCTCTCTCTCACTCTCGAGTATCATTCAGGTATTTCAGTTACTTTTTTAGGGTTTATTGAATTTTGCTTTTAGAGGGTAACTCGTCACATTGTGTTGATAAGTTTGAAATTGACTTGGATAAGAGGAGGCATCCTTTTTTTCTTTTTTGGTAAAAGAGGAATCTTTTTTTCTTTGCTTTCGTTTCTTTCCAATGTTGGATTTTGTTTTCTCTTTGAATTGGAAAATAGAAACGGTTTTCTTTTTAATTGGAGCGTTTTTATTTTAAGATGATTTTCAGTTTTGTTTGGTGAGTTTTGATAGTTCCCAAGGCCAAAAAAAAAAAATTGTTTTTTTCTTTTTCTGATAAACTTGGTGGGTTGTGATAGAAAATGGAAAGTGTTGAATTGGGGTTGAAGAACAGTAACCGGAAGGAGAACACCGTCACTGGAAGCGCTCAAATTAGCGATGATGATTTCTCCATTGACGACTTTTTTGACTTCTCAGACGAAGGCGTTTTCGTTGAAGATGAGGCTGAATCAAAGTTGCAACGAAACAGAGAAGCCTCTGTTTCCCAAAATGACGAAAATATCCTCCAGCGGAGCAACCATTTCTCCTCCGCCGGTGAAGATTTTCCCACAAGCGAGCTTTCCGTCCCGGTAATTTAAATTTCGTTTTTTAATTGATAGAATTTGAATTGTGATACCATCTTTTAATTCTCCTATCTTTTTCTTTGTTAGATGGATGATTTAGCAGAACTTGAATGGTTATCAAATTTCGTAGAGGACACTCTCACACCGTATTCGGCTCCGACGAAGAAACCGGCATGGTTAACAAGAGACCGAAGACACCCTATAGCACCGGTTAACGAGGATTCGTGTTTCAAAACCCCTCTTCCGGTTAAAATCAGAACCAAACGAGCCAGAACCGGAGTCAGCGTCTGGTCTCTTGGTTCGTCTTTGTTAACCGACTCGTCTCCGACTTCTACAACATCGTCCTCCTCTTCTTCTGGTCCTTTAAGTCCTCTATGGCTCTCTGGCGTTGAGTTTCTTGATGAGCCAGTGGTTCAAAGACAGAAGATGATGAAGAAGAAGAAGAATCCGTCGGCGATTTGGACGCAAACGCGAAGGTGTAGTCATTGTGGCGTTCAGAAAACGCCGCAATGGAGAGCAGGACCGATGGGAGCCAAGACGCTGTGCAATGCTTGTGGTGTGCGTTTCAAAGCGGGTCGGTTATTACCCGAATACAGACCCGCTTGTAGCCCAACGTTCTCCAGTGAGCTCCACTCCAACCACCACCGTAAAGTCGTTGAAATGCGTCGGAAAAAGGAGATATCTGACAATGCTGATGAACCCGGTTTGAAACAGCCGGTTCAGACGGTTCAGGCTGTGCCAAGTTTTTGATTGAATTTTGTTTAGTGAAGAATTAGGATAAGAACCGGTTCAGTATTAAAATTTAAAAAATGCTAGTTTCTCCTCTATTTTTTTATATTTTATCAATGTGTTAATTTCTCATAAAATGTTATGTAACTATTAATTTTGTTTTACATTTTTCCTTACTCGTAATTTGCTTTTTGTTTGCAGTGGTCGTAGTAGTTTTTAGTAACCACCTAACCGAGCAGGTTGATGTAAAAAAAAAACTGATTTTCGATTTTAAAAGTAAAACTGGTCAAGTTTAAAAGTTTAAAACTGATTTTCGATTTTCGTTTCGATATTTTTGTTGGTGTTGTCTTTGGCCTCCTTTACTTTCCTTGTGGTTACAACTTACATGTTGCCGTTTTGGATATATTTTAATGGGATGGGACCATGGAGATTCAATTGAAATCAATATTAAGTAAGGTGGTTATTCTTTACGAGTAGTAGTAAAGTTGATTTTCTAATGGATTCTATAATTAATTAAAGTCGTTGTTGGCCGGGAAAAACAATATTATGCTCGTTAATATAAAATCTGGTGTCATTTCGTTGTGCTCAACACTCCGATAAGTATCATCTTGCGTGGTCAACAATCAACATCATGCCATGGGATGACAAAAACCTCTATCCTAATGTAATTATAATTCATATACGTTAATTCCTAATTGATTCTTTTTTTTTTCGTCTACATGTTAGTATTCCCAAGACATTACACTTCTCTTGTATTTATAAAATTAACATAGCGTAAAATGAGGCTTCAAATGGCCTGAATAAACGTACTGGGCACACTCTCTGATTGACTAATTTTATTACGCTGCCTTAGATTGAATGCGACTTTTAGTGACGTGCAATATAACATTCGTTGACCATATCTACGAGATTAGCACGAACTACCACCGCTCGCAATTCAAATCACTAAAATTGTTGACTTTTTATATCTACCAAATTTCTATAAACTTGAGAGTTATTCCTCGACTGGTTTTAGCTGACTAAGTTTTTAAGAGTTGGCCTAAAAGTCAAAAGATTTGAAGTGGCTACAATTTAAAATGTATACAAAACCAACGAATAAATTACCAAATTATTAGACCTTCATTAATTTTTTACCAAATTATTTAAAAAGAAAATCAGTAAAACCTCTATAAATTAATAATGTCAGAATCATAATATTTTATTAATTTATCGTGATATTAATTTATCTATAAATTAATAATTATAGAGAATACTTGTTTTTTGCCTATAATTTTTTTAAAATTTCTTTGGAATAATGTTATATTTTAAAATTTTAATAAATCTTGTCATATAAATTATGATTAACAATCATAACTATTGCAAGAAAATAAGTTTTTAATACCATATTGGATTGTCCATGTAAAAATATACATGTTCATAAGTTTAAAATTTATAAAATGACTATGGCTACTATCTGTATTATTGATGATAAAATTGAAGATAAAACTATAATACATTTTAAAATATTTAAGATAAGAAAATCAATTATCACATCAAAAAGTGATCATAAATTTTAAATGTATATCGTAAAACACCAATAGTAACTACTGATATAATAATTAGAGAGATAAAATCCAATGAGATTTTAACCTTAAGTAAAAACAAACATATTAGTCATATTTTAGAATATTATATTTACATATATTTTCATAAATGTATATAATTATTAATTTATGTTTTTGTTAGGACCATATATTTACATAGAGATTTCAAAAAAATTATTATCTTATTATCTTATCGAATTTGATAGATTTTTACATTGGTCCGACTTGGGATTAATAAACTTTACTAATTTATAGTGATTATTAATTGATCGAGTATTAATTTATAGAGGTTCTACGGTATTTTACAACCATGGAAGTAAATGCGTTTACTATAACACATTTTAAACTACATGAACAATTTTATTCGAAATACAACTGTTCTAGTGATGTTTTTTTTTTTCAGTTTACAAGATATTATCTCTGATTTTGACATTTAACCGACTCATATGTACCAAATACCATTTTGCTTTAGTGGTTGTTGTGTTTCTAGGTGGTAAGGACTAAATTACTTTAGTTTAAACATGATTAATAATTAGTAAACCTAAGTGATAATAATTGAAACTTAAAACCAAAAGAGAGGCATGGCGATTCACGTGATGAGCATTTCCCCATCCGATTCAACTACTTATCAGTCTTTCACACATTCTAGTTCTATCTTTTACGTTGTTATGGTCCATTGTCTAATTAGTCAGTTCCATCGTCATTAATTAAGTTTCGTAAAAGAAAAGTTAGTCCTCGCATAACAATTGTATGTTTGTGACTAGGCTTTTCAAAAGTTATAAATATAATAGGTAAATGGTTTCGGAGACGTTTTTCTCGAGATGTGTGCCTGAAATTGTTGGGAGATCCCTTGACCCAACAATAGATGTGAGGAGTGTGCCACATTCTCATCTTGACATTATTTTCCTTTGGATGGCTTTACGTTTCTTCTATTAAATAGAAGACATATATTGCGATAATATTTCAAATTTTTGTTTTTACAAATTAAAAGAAAAATGAAGTAGTAGTCAACACAACACCCAAACTCACTAATATATAGATTTTGGGGCAAACCAAAGTTTATTGAACCGCCCACACTTCCTCATAGAGCTACCTCATAAAGCTACCTCATAGAGCTAAACCGGCCCTAGCTTCAGATGCCAAATTTAGTACAAATATTAGGGGCAGCAAAATTTAGAAGAATTGTTTCATGGTCCTCTTTTTTATTTTAAACAACCTAGATTCAAAGCTCTTTAATGTATATTTTTATATAAAAATATTTTATTTTCATATTTTGCATCAGATAAAGGCGGCTCGACTCTGGTTCTTTATCATTAATTCCATAGTTCCATCAGGTTATCTTCAAAACCTCCAAATGACATACCAATAGATAAACAAAAATAAATATAGACAAACACTCACAAAACTAGTCAGATTCATCAACATAGTGCAGTGCATCATGCAACAAAAGAGAAGAAGAAAGAGGACTAAAGATGAAAGATTTAAAAATATTCCAATAAACCTTCAAGAATCAGGTAAGATTTCGATGATGAGGGTTTTGAAAGTTGGAGTCTTGTTAAGCGAAAGGGTAGAGATCGCAAACACAATGCACAAACAACAGAATTGCTTTATGGAAGAAGTAGAACTTCTGAAATCAATGATAATCAACTAGTCATCAAATACGTTCAACCTTTTGGAATAAAACCTCATCAAACATTGCTTATCATTTATGTAGCTAATGAAATTTTCATGTATAATTTAGTAAGTGTGAGGGAAAGCGGTCCATACATACCTCAACCGCTCGAACTGGTACCGTTTAATGTTTGTACTTTTGAGATGTGCCCACACGTACCTGCCACGTTGACTCATCTGCCACGTTGGAATCCCTGTTGGAACGGGAACATGTACATTTAAAGATAAAGATACGACATCATTTTGGAAAATCCTTAAATAAAATTTTTGTAACCTCGACGAATCGAACCCAACACCACACCAATAGAAGCAAATCCGAAAACCACTGGACCAATTGTGTTATTTGGTATTCTATCGATACCATATAAATATTTATACACTCCTACAACTATAGTTAAAAACCTGAAGAAGACTAAAACGATGTCGTGTTTGTTTCGTTTTTAATTATAGCTGTAGGAGTGTAAATATATATTATAAGGTATCGATAGAATACCAAATAACACAAATGGTCCAGTGGTTTCTGCGTCTGCTTCTACGGGTGGGGTTTGGTTTCGATTCGTCGAGGTTACAAAGTTTTTCATGTTTGTTTCTTTTTTTTAATTATTGCTGTAGGAGTGTAAATATATTTATAAGGTATCGATATAATACCAAATAGCACAATTGGTCAAGTGGTTTCCGAGTTTGCTTCTTCTATGGGTGTAGTGTTGGGTTTGATTTGTCGAGGTTACAAAATTTTTTTTTAAGGATTTTCCAAAACGACGTCGTATCTTTATATGTACATGTTCCCGTTCCAACATGGATTCCAACATATGGCAGATGAGTCAGGCCCCGTTAACAATTTGACGGGGTTGACTAACAGATGCAAAGTCAATGTAGGATTTGGCCAAAAAAACTTGTTCGGGTATGAATTTACACATTTTAAAGAGTTGAGGTACATGTAAGCACAACTCAAAAATACATGCATTAAACGGTACCAATTCGAGCGGTTGAGGCATGTATCGGCCGTTTTTCCTAAAGTGTGACACTTGATAAAAATTTGATGTTCAAAACTAGTACACCACCAAGGAAATTGATTGCTACTAATTTTTAAAATTTAAAAATTTCAAAATGTATGCATAGTTCAATATATATGATATTACGCCTCAACACATCATACAACACATCTCTCATAAACCTTTGCAGATTTTGGATGATGATATTGACATACTTCGTCACAAAACTGCCGATGAAATAAATGTGAAATATATGCAAATTGTGGAGAGGTGTAGGGACGAGTACCAATGAACTTTGAAGAGATCTCTAATATGTTGAAGCAGCTTACTGAGATAGTTGAATTTTCCACATACAATGATAATATATTATTTATATAGGTGGAGGAAGCATCATCATATACGTTGATAGCAAGTCTCATAGGTTGGTTAATTATATTTTCTTTCTTTTATAGTTTTCCATATAATGAAGAAATAAAATGAGTACATCACTGTTCAGAAAATCGGTATAGACTCAGCCTAGATGTCCAATTAGGCGCTGGACAGCGATCACGATTTTCTTCAAATCAGTGAGCAAATGGTTTGCTCGGACTAGGCGTTTTATTTTGGTCAAAATGGAATCAGTCGCTCAAGTTGGTCGGTTTGAAAGTTGGTTTAATTTTGTTTTTTTCAATTATAGTTGAGTTAATGGTGGCGTTCAAATAAGTGAGAGAGAAAACAATAAAAATTGTAAAAATACAAAAATGAAAGGGTCGTGCTTATAGGTTTAGATAATTTGATTTATCTCCACGATTCTCTGGCTCCGCTTCCTCTCTGATTCTTTTCTACTCTACGACAACTTATACATACATACTCTAGCAAATTAGCATAAGGACTTTTGATTCTCCTTTCATTTCTCTATCTCTAGCCATTGTTTTATAATTAATAATTACTTATGGCTATGTAACTTCTCTTATTCTTGGTATTAATTTATAAATTTACTATGCTTTTGTTTGGTTTTTGCTCTACCTACCGCCTAACGATTGTTTAGAACATACGAATAATTCACAAGATATAAAACCAAGATTTCATCCCATAATTTAGAAAAGAAAAAACAGCAAAGATGAGCTGGTCATAAAATCGGCACCGTCCGATGGAGAGAGAAGTCACATGACGATCCGAAGGACAGCGAGACCAACAGCTGAGATGGATACAAGTGTACCGATACAGTACTTGATCACCTCGTACTTGGCCGCTTCCAACTGAGCTCTCAAAGTGTGAATCTCCTGCGTGAGATTGAAAATAAACAGGAAACAATATATAAACAACTTTTGCTGCAAAAAAAACAAACAAAGGCGCAGAAACCAGAGGTGAGAATACTAACACGGTCAAGTTTGTTTGTAAGGTTAGATGTTTCTGCGTTTTGATTTGTTAGCTCATCTCTTATCCTCCTGCATCATTATCGAAATTTTATAGGTTGTAACCTAAAAGCAAGGTTAATGAAGAGAGAAAGAAGGTAGCAGTTTCTCTGACCCTTTTTCAAGATTCAAGTCCAACCGTTGTCCTGCTGTGACTTTGTCAATCTCGTGCCTGCAATGTTAAATTTTATTAGTCACTGCACTGAGTCTATATCAAATCAAACCCTAAAGGTTCCTACCTTATATCAGTGCGGATTCGCTCTATGTCATTGCGAAGTTTCTCATTCTCGTGTTGCAGCAATGAGAAATGGTGATCCTATACATAAACCGCTTTTTATCCAACAATATTTCCAAATCAAGGTTTCATATAAATGAGAGCAAAACACACAATAATACAGTGAAAAAAAGAAGCGGAAACGTAGCTTACCAGCGAGCTGTTAATTTCACTTTTGAACTTGGATAAGTTTGATTCCTGTGTCATTTCAGCCTACCAAAAGCAAGAAGATTAAACTTAGACATACCTGCTATAACAACAGAGCCTTGTCGTAGATATCACTATAGAAACTTACTTTCTGCATCTCTCCCTTGGAGACAACCAACTGAGACACGACTCCCAAACTATCATTCAGAACCTCGGTTATAGCACCGGTTATTGCCTCCGCTTGTTTTGAAGGCAGGCCTTGTGCTTCTAAGCTCCTAACCTGAAAAAAACGACATACCAAATTCTCATTTTTGAACCATAATTTAAGTCAAGGCATGTTTGTCCTAGCGAAGTCGATGACTCCGATCTTGAATATAACCATTCTATTGACCCATTTCCAAAAGCTACACAAATTGTAATGAATCATTCACATAGAGTTCCTTCTTTTGTTTTCCTTCACAATTTTGCCAAGGAACTGAGTAAGCGATCAGACAATTCAAAACAATGAGGCATAAACAATAATCTTCAAGGTTCAGCAAAATCATTAGGCAACCAAGAAAATAAGTGACCAAGAAAGGGTTATTTACCAAAGCGAGTGTATCGACGAGATACAAACGTTTCCCATTGGTTTTGACAAGTTGAGATATGAATCTGGCGTGTGATTGTCTGTACAGAGAAGATGATACCAAGGATGAAGAAGAAGAGCGAATCTCGTGGTGATCGAACAGAGTCCTGTCAAATGTCGGATTTGGAGAACCGATTGATCTGAAAGTCGACAAATTTACACCTGAACTAGCTCCAAGTCTTGCCAACCGGAGATAATTCGCGTAAGCGGCCATCAAAAAGGATGTACAGAGGAGAAGCAAAGTTTCACAAAATTGATTTGCAAAGTAGAACCCTAAAATCGAATCAATTGGATCGAGGTGTAAGAACTAAGAATGCGTGACGAGGAAAGCAAGAATTTCCCAATCGGGTAAGCATGCAAATGAGATTCTGCGATGGTCAAGAGAAGAGAGAGAAAGTGGAAAAGAAGAAAACTTTGAAGATGGGTTTGGTGGGGATTGTTCTTATGAATATTCTGTTCTTGGTGTTTCTCCCTTTGAAATCCCTAAGACGTCTCTGCACCATCAAAAGAAACAGACGGACGATGTTGATAGAGAAAGCGTGAGTCTTCGTCTTTCCAAAATGGGCACGTTTCCCAAACTCAAATCCTCTGTAATTAAATCTTTTGGATTTGTACCCCATGTGCTAATAAACTCTAAAAACACCTCCAATGGAGGTTTCTTTTACCTGTTTTTAAGGTTAATTGTAATTAAAAATAAATCAAAAATGGTAATAAGAGAAACGATTCTCTCTCAGAAGAATTTTAAGAGCCCATGAGAGACGTATACGTGGCATAATCTGATTGGCCGCGGGGTTAAATTTGTTTTTTAATTAATTTTCTCAAAACAAAACTTTCTTCTTCGCAAAACACATTCAACAGCTCAATCTCCTTTCTGCGAAAAAAACAAAAACGATTGATTCAAATCGAGTGGAGGAATCTGGGTCCTTCTTGCATGTCGAGTTGAATCGATTGAGGTATGGAAATCGAATCGAATCGAGGCGAGGGAGCTGTGTGTATTAACGACTTCTCTCCTATTGGGAAGAAAACGAAGGAGACTGCAAATCGAAGCGATGGTAACCCGGGTCCTTGATGCATGTGGAGTCGAAGTGATGTAGATGTGGAAATCGAGTCGAACAAACCAGGTAAATGTCCTTCCACTTCAAATTTTGTTTGGTGTTCATCAAAGTTTATTATATGAAGTTTGATCTTGATTCAGCTTAATCGAATTGGTTTAATGTGATGAACTATTCAAATGTTTTTGGGTTATTTGATTATCAGTTTAATTTGTCTTTTGTCTTTGTTGCATTATTGGTGGGTGATAAACGGCGGGGAGAAGAGCTTGTTCATCCGGCGAGGAAAAGTTCTCAGCAGGACACATTCTTAAGCTAAGGTAAGTGTCATCTTCTTTGGTTTGAATTAGTGTTTTAAGCTAAAGATGAGTCAATGGTTTGAATTAGAGTTTTGAGATAGATTTGCTATGGAAGTTTAATCAATGCTCTTGAGGTAGAATTAGAGTTAGGTTTGAGGAGTTAAAGTGAATCCTTAATGGTGGCTTCTTCGATAGGTTAATGTTAGGTGTAATCTTTAGTTTGACAAGACTCTTAACAACACAACAAAAACTTATTGCTAAAACTTAAAGCTATCATCAATGACTATGGCTTCATCGATTGTTATATCTAACAACAGAGTTTTCATTAACTCCATCCAAAACCATTTATTCTTCTCTTTACTTCTCTTTTCTTCATTTTTATCATTCTACTTTAATCATCTCTTTCAGTCTCTTTTTATTCACCTCTTTTGTTCTTCTTCTCCTTTACACATCTCTTTCCTTCTCTTTCATTCATCTCTTTCCATCTCTTACGTTCATCTCTTTCTTTCTCATTCACTATCTCTTTCTTTCTCCTCTAAACAGCCATCGACAACACTTATGGATTCATATACTGACTCCGGCTTCATGGACCTTCTAAACAGCCAACAGCACACACAAACCCTTCAACCCATTGAAAATGTCTCACAAAACATCGGTCTTGGGGATTCAGAGGCTAGTGTGTTCGAAACTGATTGGTTCGATGGTGGAAGTGAAGCTGAGTGCGTGCCCAAAGAAGCTCCGAAGTCAAGAAAGAAATGGAGTCCCCCAGAGTATCTAATCCTCATAAGTGCTTGGCTTAACACAAGCAAAGATCCCATTGTTGGGAATGAGCAGAGGGCAGATGCTTTTTGGAAGAGGATATCAACATATTACTGCTCAAGCAAGAAATTAGGTGGTATGGAAAAGAGACTCCCAATACAATGCAAGCAAAGGTGGTGTAAGATCAATGAATCCGTCTGCAAGTTCGTCGGCTGCTATGAGGCTGCATCAGCTCAAAAAAGAAGTGGTCAGAATGAAAATGATGTGATGAAGCTTGCTAATCACATTTACTTGAATGATCAAAAAAAAAAATTCACTTTGGAACATGCTTGGCGAGAGTTAAGGCATGATCAAAAGTGGCTTCCCAAGGAAGCAAATGGAGGGGCAAGCAAACGAAGAAAGGCAGATGAAGCAAGTAGTCACGGAGGAGAAGAAGCACCGGCGAGGCCTCCAGGTGTGAAGGCTGCAAAAGCAAAAGGGAAAAGGCCTGTCAACAGGCCTGTCAACACCGGCGAAGGACAAAAGTCAGTTATGGCTATGGATTTTGGAACTATGTGTGAGATGAGACGTCAAGATTTTGCCTTGAGAGACAAGCTAAGTAGGCAGAAGATGTTGGAGGGCCTTCTGGCTAGAGCAGATCAATTAACTGACACTGAAGAAGCTTTTAAGAACCAGCTAATAGCTGAGATGATGTGAAATTCCAAAACAGCATATGTTTCTTGCTTTTTATGTTTAAAAACCATGTATGTTCTTGCTTTGTTTAGATCGGTTTATGTTTGGTAAGTTTTAGGACTAGCAAATGAAAATGTTGTCCTTGTTTCATATCAGTTATCGGTTTTAGGACTAGTACTGGTTTAGTTATTTTGAAACTTAAAGACTTTAAGTTTTATGATGTATGATGAATGAGATTTGGTTTGTTATTTTATGATGCATGAGAATTGGTTTCAATATTGGTCTTGATATTGGTTTGAGTAAACAAAATGATATTGGCATTATGATATTGGTTTGAGTATTGGTTGTAATGATCATGGACTTCCTGTTTTGCAGTGCACCGAAGATCATGGAACTTGGGCCGAGCAACTTTTTTGGTCTTCAGACATGTATGTATATGTTTTGGATCATGGACTCCTTGTATGTACTTTTTTTAGCTGAGGATCATGAACTTGGGCCTTTTTTTCCCCTTGTCCATATGTGCCGACATGTTTGATTTGGCATATTTAGAAAATAATATCAAGTTGCAATAAAGAACTGACAGGGTTATCTTGGCATCATTTGAATATTTTGTAATTATGTGTCGACATGTATTTATGGTTATACATTACTTACATTTGAGACCACATGTGTATTCGTATTTGAGACCACACATTGCAATTGAATACCTCGACTCATTCTCTTTATATATCACTCTTTCAGTTTCTTGAAAATCATCACTTGGCGAGTTCTCTTAAAATCTTCTTTCTTTAACATTTCCAACTTCTTTCTTTATCAGAAACCATCTTCATTTCTTCTAAACCCTAAAAAAATGGCATCTTCTTCTCGTAATAATTTCGAGGAAATGATATCAGATGAAGCTTTTGATGAAGCTTTTGATCAAGCTTATGACCAAGCTTATGACCAAGCATTCGATAATCTTTTAATTGCTCATGGTAATCCTCAACCTAAACCCAAAAAAAAAGAGCCTACATCAACAGAAATCGGGAAGAAGGGCACATCCGTCTGTGGAACGACTACTTCTCTGAAGATGCAATCTATCCTGATCATATATTCCGACGTCGTTTTAGAATGAACAAACCCTTGTTCATGAATATTGTTGATCGCCTCTCCAATGAAGTTCCTTTCTTTACACAAAAAAGAGATGCTACCGGAAGACTCGGACTCTCTGCATTACAGAAGTCTACTGCAGCAATTCGTATGATGGCATATGGTTGTGCGGCTGATGCAGTTGACGAATACCTTCGCCTAGGTGAGAGTACTGCAATCTCATGCTTGGAAAATTTTGTGGAAGGAATCATATATTTGTTCGGAGATGAATTCCTCAGAAGACCGACACCAGAAGATCTTCAACGACTGCTTGATGATGGAGAGTCCCGTGGATTTCCCGGGATGATAGGAAGCATTGATTGCATGCATTGGGAGTGGAAGAATTGTCCCACGGCTTGGAAAGGGCAGTACACACGTGGTTCTGGAAAACCAACAATCGTTTTAGAGGTTGTCGCTTCACATGATCTATGGATATGACATGCATTTTTTGGACCTCCAGGTAGTTTAAATGATATCAATGTTCTTGAACGCTCACCAGTTTTTGATGATGTTTTACAAGGCAAAGCTCCAAAAGTGAAGTACATTGTTAACGGGCATCAGTATCGTTTGGCGTACTATCTCACCGATGGAATTTACCCAAAATTGGCTACATTTGTCCGATCCTTTACACATCCAGAAGGTGAAAAGGCAAAATTGTTTGCTAAATGTCAAGAATCTGTCCGTAAAGATGTTGAACGTGCTTTTGGAGTCTTGCAAGCTCGTTTTGCTATTGTCAAAAATCCAGCTCTTATTTGGGATAAGGTAAAAATTGGAAAGATCATGCGAGCATGTATAATACTTCACAACATGATAGTTCAAGATGAACGGAATGGGTACATTCGTTTTAATGTTGAAGAATTCACACAAGTAGAGGCAAACAGAACATCGCAAGTGGATTTATCATATGAAACAGATATGCCGTCAAATATCAATAATTTGATGGGCATTCGAGACGATGTTCGTGATCGAAGGACGCATGAACGATTGAAAAATGATTTGGTGGAGCACATTTGGAACAAATTTGGAGGAATTTAAAATTTCAACTTTTCTTTTTTCAATTTTTTTGTTTTCTATTCCTGTGTTTATTAATGTATTTTGTATGTGTTTGCAATTTAAATTAATGAATTTAAATTTACTTTAGTATTTTTATAATTTAAAAAAATAATTTTTTTTTTAAAAGAAACTCTGTTTAAAGAACCTACCATTGGAGGTTCAAAACTAAAAATCTCTCACAAATATACATATATATATAAATAACACAAAATATATTAAAAAAAAAATGAGAACTCTTATGGGTTTCTCACCATTGGAGGTGGTCTAAAAAGCTCCTTAAACTTCACCGAGGGGCGAGCAACAAGTTGTCTTAAAAAGGAATTAAGAGAAACAAAAAAAATATTAAAATGAACGAACAAGACAATCATATAGAAGATAATTGAGAAATTTTAAGTAAAAACCACTGTTTTTGTTCGAATCAATTATTTTTTATTTTGCTAATGAACATTGGAGCCTAAATTTGTCATTACCGTACATGGTTGGTTCTTATGTTCGCATTTGGGTAAACAACTGAGAAGTTGCAGACAGTAAGTTTATAGTCTTTTAACCATCAAGAAAAAAGTACATACATGACAAAAAAGGCTTTATAGCAATCGGAGTCGTCTAAATTAATATGAATAATTTTCTGAGAAATTTTTATATGGAGTGAAACTGTACTCACTTAGACGAGCAAAGTGGGCACAATACTGTTCTCGTAGTCTCATAGCTAATCACTTTAGTACATAGGCTGCTTTAAGATATCAATGCAGCTATTTTTTTGGTTGTTTGTTATTTTGAGAATTCAAGATGAGAATCCAAAACAGTGTGTCATATCTTGTCGTCTGTCACCTGTGATCCTTTTTTCTTTTTGGTTTGTCTCCACAATTTAATGTAAAACGTTTCTTCATTTTGGTCGCTTTCGATATGGGTCCATGGACTCGTCCACAGTCTCTTTGACATAATTACCCACTCTCTTCAGATTCTTCATCACCCCTGATGCTACCAGGTTTGCGTTTCTTGTGAACCTGATACATTCCCACCGAAATGAAATGAATATTTTGAGTTAGTTCTGATGACTATCATACATGGCTTTTTAGGTGGATAGGACAGACTATTGATTAGTCTAACTACTGCAGTTACAATAGTTATGCAACGATCTATAATTTGAGGTTTGTATAAATCAGGCGTTCAAGTCAAATGCCAATGCCATAGTCCATTAAGCCACCAACAAGTCAAATCTCAAAGGTAGACTGTCACAGGCTATAGCAAAAAGCTCTTTGCTTACCTGGTTACGAAGCCGTTTTCTGTGTTTGTGACTGGGGCTGGGGCTGGAGCTGGGCCTGGTTTCTGGTTCTGGTGCTGAGGCAACTCCCGAGAATCTAGAGCATAGAAAGAAAAATGATAGGCATAAAAGAGCAGGACACATTTCATAGTTGTAAACAGGTGAGTGAGAGAGTGGATTTGGTGTACCATTTCTGTTTTGAACACGGGCTGGAACAGATGAAGTGGTGCTAGAAGCTAATCTTCTATCTGCTAGTATCTGCATGGACAAAAGAATTTAATAAAGATATTGCAAATATTACTAAGTAGAACATATTCCTCTTTGATGCCCCTGACGATTATCGAGTTCGCAAAATAATTGCATACACAAAACTAACACACACACACCAACAAAAAGAAGCAGATAAATTGAGCAGACAGCTTAACCGGGTCTAATGTCAGCACATAACAGTCAAATGACAACAAGACCTAGACGTAAGTTACACTTAGCCACGCAATGAATTTGGAGGAAAGTGATGAGTGTCAAACCTCAAGGCCAACACAAACGGGAAGTTGGGTCTTTGTAGGTTGCTTCATGGCAGATGAGTCTTTTTCAGTCATGTAGACTGAATAACCCAAACATCCATAGTAAAAATCCGCTAAAGTCCTCCCTTCTTTAGAGGCTTCAGCTTCAGATTGTCCAACAACGTAATCAGGAACTGAAAATGTTATCAAGTATCATCACTGTATGCAGAATCCATCGGAAATGAAAAGAAAAGAAAAAAGGTAACAAAAAGCAAAACATATCTCTCTTCATGATCACCCAATATAACAGAGCCTAGAGGGATAATTCTGGCTCAATTACGGAATCTATAATCAAAATGCTTAACATTTCTCAGCCATTTGGTTAATAATCGCAATAAGAAACCCAAATTTTCATGTAACATATGATTTCCTACAATTACTGAATAAGCGACGATTCAATTACAGGAAGAGAGCTACGTGGAGGATTCAGGAACGATGGTATAACAGAAGCAGCCATTAATTCTAAAGGAAAATCGAGCTTCCGTCTCGAGAATCAAAGAGACAACATCGAATACCTTGACGAAGAGTACGAGGGATTCCAACGCAGCGAGGGTTTTTAGCCTTGGATTTGAGAGTGGAAGAGTAATAGAGATAGCCTTTGCACGATCTTCCTTTCTCGAGAGATCTTTTCCCTTGTTGCTGTTCCGATTTCTCTTCTTCCTTTACCGTCCTCTTCACTTCTCCGCTCGAGCCTTCTTCACTCATCGCAAACCTCTCTCTCTCTTCTTAATCTTCTTCAAAATCTTCCTCTCTCTCTCTCTCTCTCTATTGTTCGCTCCTCATCTTCTTCAGGCTCTCGTCCGATCTGTTCCCGGGTACTCTATTACGGCGGTGCCCTCCAATTTCGTTGTTCCCATTTTTTTTTGCTTTCTTTAACGAGTATTCATAACTGTTTCGAAATGTTAGCAAATATATCTAATGGGCCGAGACCCATGATGGTAACAAATAGGCCCAAAGAACTACAAATACGATTTTAAGAAAATAACTTAGAAGAAATGTTTAATATTTAAATTTTAAGTAAATATTTTAAAAACAAAAGTAAATAAAAAATAAGCTACTCAGAGAGATGAGAGAAAACAATAGGGAAAATCGCATAAAAAACCTTCAAAATGACAGCGACTGACACTTTAAACCTCAAAGGTTTATAACTAACATTTTAAACCTTCAACGTAGAAAATTTAGCATATAAAACCTTGAAGGTGGTTCTTTATTACGCGCCGCCAAATTTTTCAACGGAATAGTTAACTCGGTTAACGACTTTAATAATTCTGTCGAGAATTCATAATTTTCCGTTCTCTGATTTCGAAAACGTGATTAAACTAAATAAAAAAGGAATTTCTGTAATTTATTTAATTAAATAAATCAATTAATCAATTAATTAATTATATAACAATAATCCAGCATAAAAAAAGGGCCGTTAAATCCAGAAATACCCAATTCGATTTAGGGTTCCTCCTTCGTCCTTTTTACCCAGAAAATTTAAATTGAAGCACGAAGGGGCAGATCAAAAGCGGTAAGTCGGATTTGTCCTCTATTTGTGACCTCATTATCATTTTCCATCGATTGCATCGTTTTTTCAATCAGATTAAACTCGTGTATGACCATTGTGAACTCTAAATTCGCAGATGGCTCAGAGTTCAAGTTCTTCAACCATGGAATACAAGAACGATTACGGTGTGTTGTGTAATTGTAAGCGGGCAGCTAAGATTGTGAAAGCTTGGACCAATGACAATCCTGGGAGGAGGTTTTATGCTTGTACGGGTCGTAGAACTGGTCATGGATATGAGTCTTGCAATTTTTTTCGTTGGTATGATGTCGAGAAGCCTCACGGGTGGCAACATTTAGCATTGCTGGAGGCGAGAGATGTTATCCGTGACCTGAAAGAAGAAATTATGAAGTTCAAGAAAGTGGAAAGGGAACCAAGCCGTGAGATCGAACATGTGATCGAAAATCCAAGTCATCTGGAGGATGAGTTGATGAAAACCCGTCAAGAGTGTGAAGCGCTGAAGGGAGAGGTGTTGGTACTCACCGAGAGAAGCACCATTTACTGCAATGTCCTGTTGTCTTCAACGATTGGCTTTACAGTGGCATTGGGAGTCATATTTGCCATGTCAAAGCTCTAGAGTTCGTGTTAGTGTAATGTGTATTTAGGTCTTCCCCATTTGGCTTTAAGATAACGTTTGTGTGTCATTGGTATGTTTTAAGTTTAGTTTAAAACCTTTGAAGTTGTTGTTGAAAGACCTGTCTATGTTTCAGTTTGTTTGTTGAAGTAGAATATCTATGTTATATGAAGTTGAGGTACCTGTGTTATATGAAGGAATATAGACTCTGATATCCAAAACAAACATTCATAAAGGTAATCCATCATCAATTAGGTTCAAACAAAATGATAGCATTCCAAAACAAAATGATAGCATTCCAATTGCATTTCTCTTTACAACAAATGGCGGCTATTCTAGATGCTTCAGACTTAGCCATTTTGATGTCATACTGCGTGTTTAGTGAGTAACGCAGAAGCTAGTCTTTCACCTCCATCCCACTGTTAAACTTCTGAAATAACCACAGATATGGTGGCTTCTCAAAATCTCCATGAAACTGTTTTCTTTTTCTTGCTCTTTTCTTATCAGCCCAGTGATCCCATTCCTCATCTGATGATAATGGAGTGTCTGGATACTCCACATCCCCTCTCATATATTTTTTGTAGTCATCATCACTTTTCTCTGCTTCTCTTGCTGCGTCGTCCTTTTCTTCTTCTTGCTGGCTATGTGGTTTCTTACTTCTCTCACCTTCCTCAAAGAGAACCTTAAACCTCTCATCAGTAGCACCATCTCCTGCATCTACAACAACCTCATCTCCGTCATCAACCTCATTCTGCTTTGCCATTTCTTCGTTTGCATTTTCATCAGCAGGTGTTTCATCCTCAGATTTCTCACCTTCTTCATATTCTCTTGGCCTCTCGTCATCATCATCATCATCATCATTGTCTTCCTCGTCAGCTTCATTTCCATCGTCTTCAACATCACTATCATTACCCTCCTCAGATTTCTCATCATCTTCACAATCGTTGCCATCTTCATCATCAGCATCATTCACACAATTCCTACTATCTTCCTGCTGACTACTTGGAAGATATATGACACCAGGAACAGATTCTGAGCAATCATGTTCAACAAAGACCTCTAAAAAACCAGAAGCTAATCCTACAAAAATTAGCTCATGCATATCTTCATTTGTGTGGCCAAACACATATTCTAACTTCTTCATCTCATCATTTAGCTCTTTGTACCAAATCAAAACCATTGGTGCACCGACATGATGGTCACCGATAAATAATTGAAATTTCTGCCAACTAATCTCAGACACTTTCCAGATCACACCCAAGCAACCCAACTCACCAATGTACTTGTAATCTTCATTTTCTTTCTTCACACTACCACCATAGTGGATTACGAGTTTGAGTCTCCCATTTTGACTGTAAAAAAAGCAGACGAAGTCAGATTCGTCACACACCAACCCGAGATAATGGTTTCGGTTTCTAAACCCAACACCCACCATTCAAATCGGAAAACTATGTTTAATAACCTTACACCCACGAATTGAAACCGAAAGTTATGGTAATTAACCCTTAACCCACAAATGAAAATCGGAAAAAATCCTGAAAACATTTAATTACCTCATTTCGATTTGGTGCCAGCACTAAAATTAAGCTCCCAAAGCTCGAATTCTAGTACCGATTCACAGCTCAGCAGATTAAGCAACTTGATTCACGATTTACTTCTCTCAATCGCTTTGCTTCAGATTTTTTTTTTTATGAAGGAGGAACCCTAAATCGAATTGGGTATTTTTGGATTTAACGGCCCTTTTTTTATGCTGGATTATTGTTATATAATTAATTAATTGATTAATTGATTTATTTAATTAAATAAATTACAGAAATTCCTTTTTTTATTTAGTTTAATCACGTTTTCGAAATCAGAGATTATGAATTCTCGACGGAATTAGGAAAACCGTTAACGGAGTTAACTATTCCGTTGAAAAATTTGGCGGCGCGTAATAAAGAACCACCTTCAAGGTTTTATATGCTAAACTTCCTACGTTGAAGGTTTAAAATGCTAGTTATAAACCTTCGAGGTTTAAAGTGTCAGTCGCTGCCACTTTAAAGGTTTTTTATGCGATTTTCCCGAAAGCAATATACAGTACTTTTAGATGTTGAATGACGACAAAAAAAGAAAAAAAAGATGTTGAATAATATATACAAAATATTATTTACCGAATGGGTGGTAGTTTAGTGGTATTTAGAATATTCAAGGTCATTAATTCAACTCTACTTAGAATTTATAGGCTAGAAGTCCAAAACTTCCAAAATTTATCAAAACAGTTTCAGAGATTTTTTTATACATATTCAAATATAATTTATTTATTATGTTTACTTTTAAAACCTCTTAACTTAGGTTTCTTTTCAAGGATTTAGTCTCTTACAACAAATATGAACATTGTTTAATAACTCATGAAATCTGACGGTACTAATCCCATAGTTGCTATGTCTATGAGGATAATTTGGTCTGAGTGCTAAAGAGTAGAGATGATCTACTCTCTTTTATTCCTTTTATCCTTTTGGAGTATATGCTTATTAAATATACATATATCATTGTATGAACATTTCATTTCAATTTAGGAATTGTATAATTTTTCATAACCTTAAGAATTTCAAAGTGACCCACTTGTTGTTTTCGAAACAATAGCCATTAAGATATCCCCAATGGGGATGATGCTCTAACTAGCAACTTGAAAACTTATACTGTAAATGTAAATGAAAGGATGATGACCTGTTCGTGAACTTTGTCGATATTATCGAGTAATGTCTCTAGAAATTTACAATTAAGTATGTTCAGAGTCTCAAGCAATCTGTTCAGTCTAAAAGCAATCTGTCTACTATAGCTCCAGCCAAGAAAAAGAAAGAGGAATAAAAGCGAGAGAACTGGAATGGATTAGTCAGCCAAAAGTTCATGTATGTGTGGATCATTCATATGTGAGTTTCTCTCGTGACTTGGCATATTTCAAATACATTCAGTCTTGCGCTTGGAAGCTTGCGCAGATACCTAGCGATCCTTTGATTATCCTTTGGGCTTATGTTTTCCTCAAAACCAACTCTCAGCAACTCAAGGCAATGCAGCTTTCCTAAGAAATGGCTGATCTGCTCCCACTCAGCCAAATATGTGATGTCTCTCATGGTTATATTCAAGACCTCCACAGGTAATGCTAATAGACAAGAATACACTGATAAGCCCCTGGAACATTGTCAGGTTCTTCGAAACAGTGCAATCCACCCTGCAGAAAAAAGAGGATTTGAGATTGAAGAATTAGTACGAGTATCTACAGAGGGTAAACTTTTAGGTTTAGTTCATACCTTGATGGTTAGGGTCTTCAAATTTGGAGTCTTCTCTATAATAAAACTCAGAGATGCTCAAGAAATCTAATGTCCTCATGTCTAATCGTCAAATGATGTAGGTCTTTTAGCATTGAGATTGCTTTACAAATAGAAAAAAAAATTCCTGAGAAATCAAAAAAAATATCATAAGCATTATTCTCCTATTCTATTTTCACATCGTAGAAAATAAAAGAAGAAACATTAATCAACTTACCTCCAAACTAAAAGATGTCAACTCTAGAATCTTCAGCTTTCTTGTCCCTTCAATAAAGTTTCTTGGATTGCTGAAATACATATCACCTCATATGACAACAACTATTCATCCTAATGTGGAACAAAGTCAGCATACTCTAAATAAGTCAGATTTGGGTATCAAATGTGATTGTCTGATAATCGAGTGAAAGTTGAGCTTGATTTCGACAATCGAGTCAAAAACAACTTGGTACTATGGAGATTGAATTGTGCATATATTGTACACAAATTGTAAACTCTATAGCATTGGAACAAGAAATAGAGAGTTAAATAATTTGTAATACATTATTAGATTGTTATCCAAGAAACAAACTCGTAGAAGATAAAGGCAGAATGGACAAGAACAAATTCGTGGAATGATAAAACTGATATTGACATAACTGTTTAAATGTATAAAAATTTGTGTTGGTCGTGTTGGTCGCACATGCAATTCTTGAGATTGATATAATCCACTGATGAAACTTCCATGATATTTGCTTGGTATTACACAAGCTAATTTAATGGACAACATTAATACCGTATATATAGTACATCAACCTTACTATTTGTTTCCTTTTTCTTATTTTAAAGAAAATCTATAACTGTTTCAAAAAATATTATATTGTTAAATGGGCCGAGACCGATGAAAATATTTATAAATAGATCCAAATAATCACAAATATGCATTACATTATTTATCTTTCTAAATAATTAAATGAAGGAAAAACACATTAACGACGGGAAAGTTATTAAGGAAATAATGAGAACAACAACTTTTTCCTTTTCCACCAAAATGTCAAAATCACAATAGTAATTGGAAATAATCAAATCATTTTATAAATCGTCTATATAAGAGAACTGGAATTATGATCGATGACAAATAAACCTGTTTTGTTTTATTTGAGTTATATCAAAACTACAAAATCCTACTATCAGTTTTCCTACGCATCTTCCATCTTCGATCCTCCTCTATTTGGCCTCTATTTGGCTAGGAACAGCATGAGTACTAGTAGTTTCACCATTCGTGGTTCGGATTTCTCTCGAATGAGGAAGTGAGACTCGAGCAGGTTAAGCATTTCAAAGTGATCACTTATTGTTTTCAAACAATGCCCATTGAGATATTCCCAACGGGGATGTGCTTTTAAGTTGCAACTTGAAAACTTGTAAATGAAATCATATAAGAAGCTTTGATAATTACTTAAAACATGCGGCTTATGGGTACATAAACTTTGGTGTTACAAAAAAGGATGTTCGAGAGATCAGAGATGTGTTGAATAAACAAATAAATACAAAATACAAGAAATGAGAGAATCAGGGGTGCCAAAAACTGCAAGAAGCACCCTTTTTGCAGTATCCACTCTCATAGAATTTACAGATTTTCAGCCCTTTGGGCGGATGAGCTGCGTACGAACCTGATCCATGGTCATACCCATGGCTACTGCTGTATGGCCATTGCCGGTTATTATGACTGTTGTTGAAGCTACTGTTGTGACCGTTGTTCCACCATTGCCGGTCTCTGCTGTGCCCACCGGATCTCTTTTGCTGACTTCCCCGTGGACTGCGCTCGGTGTTTCCACGGCCTGAGTCATGAGATGATAATGATCTAGGGCTCGGTTCCAAACCAACTCCCGAAACAGACCTGGGAAGCCTCTCGACCGATCCAGCTTCAACTGTGGTTTCTGATCCCAGTCTGAGAGCCGTTGTCGTTAGATTCAGGTCGTGACTTATTGAAGCTGGCGCTGGCGGTGCAAAGAGCAGGAGCTCTGTACCAGCGGTTCCGCAGTGGTTGAAGGAAGTGCTGTCTTTTGCTTCTGTTACCATTGAGCTTTTCCCGGCAGAGACACTGTCGAGAATACTCGCCTGAGAGATATCCATTCTACATGTTTCAGGTGTGAGGGACATGCGTGCCACGGGGTTAAAGAAATCTTTTTCTGGCCCTTTTGTCAAATCATCGTCGTCATCGCAGTGAAATGTTGAGGTAGGTGAAGACGGCAAACCGTTCTGCTCCATTGCTTCAACTTCGGCTAATAGATCTGAAACTGATTCATCACACTCGTCGGGGTCAGCCACAATGGCCGGCCACCCAGACGAGTGAGCCACTTGGGTGTTGTCTGAAGTCTGAGTAGTTGTGGCATGATCAGCTGGCAAATCAATTGGCTTCACAGATGGTGCAGCTAAAACAACAGCATTCTGAGTAGTTGTGGCATGATCAGCTGGCAAATCAATTGGCTTCACAGACGGTGTGGCTAAAGCAACAGCATTCTGCTGAGTTATTTGAGGAAATTGTCCTCCAGTGACCACAACACTTGAAGTGGTCGTAGCAGCATCGGTGGTTGTGGTGGCGGTGGTGCTCCATGTGACACCAGATGGTCCTTTGACCAAAACACATGAAGAAAGAGACTGAATAGTCTCCGCTGCTTGAGCTTCCAAGTCTTCAGGGCTCGACTTAGGTGTAGGACTGGGGAAATCAGGGAAATGGATTTCTTGATTCAGGTTGGGTGCATGAACAGAACCGTTTATAGAAACAGAAACACCATTTGTTCCATCCTCCACAGCATTAATTGTGCTATGGTTACTATCTCCACGCACAGCACTAGATTGATCAGTTCCTGGAGTTTCTCTTAGGCCAGGAGTAACCCCATGTCCTGTAACCACAGATATTGACGCCGGACAACTGACTTGAGGCTGGAGATGAACAGAATTATTATCCTCAATTTTTCCAGAGCTAGATTCAAGAGCCTCAAATTGTTTCTCTTTTGGATCGTTAGCAAGTACACCAACAGAAGAAGACGAAGAGGAGGTTGTACTGGTGTTGACAGGAGTAGGGTTCTTCTGAAGACAGGCCACCTCCACGCCAGTATGTCCAGAGTTTTGCGGAGACGGTTTTAGTTCTTGGGGAAGCAAAGAGGAACTTGGAATAGCAGTTGCTTTATCAAACCGTCCGGCAAGAGCTTCAGTCAGAAGTACAGACTCATCTTCATTCTCATGCGTTTTCCATATCCTAAGATGCGGGGGAAAATGGCCACTAGACTTCCATCTGCGGAGCTGCAACATAGAAAACGTTCCCTGAGTCTTTCCTGTTGGATCTCGATAATGCCATATTTCAGTCTCCTCGTCATCTTTACCAGTTTCCTGCAGTTCCCCGAAATTTATATGACGTGAAACCAAAAGAAAAAAATGAGAGGTTACATAGCAAAAAGATGGTCAAACCTGGATATTTGATGAGTTGTTGTGGACCTTGGAACAATCATCTTTATCAGCATGCACGACATTTCTGCTTCGCAAATTTGGAGCCTCATATTTGTTCTGCGCATTATTTCCCAAGTTGTTCAGGATATCCCCTTTTTGCTGCGGACCTTTACTTTGTGCCTTTATGTGATTATCTGCAAATAAAAAGCGTAGAAGATTGTAAACAGCATCCACCAATCAGGAAATTTAGTAAGATAATGTAAGAGTAGCTGTTTCACATCCTAAGTTAAGGTGGGAGACCTTGTTTTCTCGTACCCAATCCTGCATCTTCTGCTGATGCATGACTCGGATCCATACTTGGATCTGTATGAACTTCTGGGACTTCCTGCAGAAGCCGCTGGCGTTCCTCATGTGATTCTAGAAGCCCTATCTTTTCTACACATTCTCTAAGCGTGGGAGATGGTTAAGAAATCAAGACTTGAAATTCCATGCAATTAGTGTCAAAGTATACGTTCACATATAAATTAACATAACCCTAACTTCTAAAAGGGAAGACAGGAGTACTTGTCAAGTTGTAAACTACTCAAACTAAATAATTCTTTGCCGTTACAAGTGGCATGGTAATCTCTTCAGGGAAATATTTCATCAACGACTCATAAAGATTCTATCACCAGTAAGATATGCAAAGAGAATTAGTGTAAGCGAAGTGCAACAAATATAGTATAGAAATCTCAAAAAGGATATTCTTTTCTATGACCCTTCTCACTGGCCCGATCACGGAGATGCTTTAACTTTAATATCTCAGCTTTCAGAGCCTACATCGACAAATCATTAATAAGAAGCACAGTAGAGGACAATAAATATGGGGATCATAATATTTATACGAATGATATTTGCTGTTTTTAATTAACCTACCTCATTGATTCTCATGGCTTGCAGTGTTTCTGCCGTCTTCAAGATGTCTCCCTGACACCGCAAAAAAAAATTATGTATATATGTTTTCAACTTAGGTAAATACTGTATACAATTTCTGGATAGGAAAATATCATGTGCGCATTATTACCACAGTCAAACGTTTATTGAGGCCACATTTTATGCTCTGGCGCAGCCGTTTGCACTCGTCCTGAAAACCACAGTTATAAGTACTTCATAAGAAAACATAAAACAGAATTTCTAGGATTACCTTATTAGTAGATGGGGTTTTTAATTTCTATTCATGAGCAGAGAAAGGTAGAGAAAACAATATTTATGAAAGGACTATATTTACCTCTGTGACATTCTGGTCTGATAATTGATCAATCGAGATGACTTCTCTCTTGTCTAAATTCAGTATTTCTAGCATAACATCTGTAGTCTTTGTGCCAACCTGGTAGGATGATGTTGCCTTGCTTGTACCTGTTAAATAACCACAAAATCAGCTGAGATATTACTACTAAACTTTTGGGCCACTCAAATAAAAAAGCATTATTATGACTATTGATCAAGTACCTACAACTTGAACAAGCCTGTGAATATCCATCTTCTGGTCGCTGCCAGTTACCTTTATTCTCAAAATTGTGCCTACCACCTTTTCGTGAACTTTATTGACGTCAGCAAGTAGAGTCTCTATAAATTTACGTCTCAAATAAATCAGGTTGATATTGTGAACATCAATGGCTGCATATGCATCGAGATTTTCGTTTTGTACTCTGACATCAGTTTTCTTACGCATCTTCCGTCTTCTATCCCTTACGGTTGCATCATGAACACTACCCTCTTCTATTTGGCTAGGAACAGCATGAGTAGTTCCACCGTTCGTGGTTTTCTCATCTTTCGGTTTCTCTTGAATAAGGAAGTGAGACTCAAGAAGCTTAAGCATTTCAAAGTGACCTACTCGCTGTTTTCCAAACAACTTCACAAGCATTAGGTCACAAACGACTTGAGACTTCTGAAGAGGATCCCTAAGATTCTTTTTCTTAATATAGTCGAGCAGAAGACCCTGCACGTCGAACTGAGAAATAACCGATGTATCGCCATTCCTCATGAACGACAAAAACTCGAGGAGTTCTTTTGTTGCCCAGCTTGTATCTCTAGGACGCTTCTTTGGTATATTACTTGGATTTTTGGCATCCAATTCGCTGGGTAAGGTAGGGGAATCACTGGTCCTTCTTCTTCTTGTACCATTCACTGCTACATCTAAAGCTGAAGAATAAGCTGTGGCACGATCATTTCGTGGCTCCACTTTAGGAGCAGTGTTAATAACCCCCTTCCAAGGATTATTAGCTTTAGTAAGCTCGTCGACAGTTAGAGAGAGATCTTCCTTCAGGCAAAGCCAATATACCTTGAATAGATACTCCCAACTGAGCTTGTCATCAAAATCCACCTTAACCTAAAAAAAGGGAAACAATTATGAGCAGCACACACTATGATAGAGTAAAGAGGATAATATAAAAGCAAAACACTCAATTCTTTAAGAACACTAAGAAAATACAAGATTTCCTCCCAATACAAGAGACGTGGCTTTCAAAAAAGAAACCCAACATACCCTACTGCTCTTGGAAGAACTTTTTACATAGGAAACCAATACTAATAAATTTGGAAAACTCCCATCATTCCCTTGGTTCTCTCTTAATACATGGTTCTAACCAATCAACTCCAAATCTCTAAAATTCCATGAATTTAGCTTGTGATTGATTACTATCACATTACCTATTGTGTCGATACGTATGAGTGTCATGTGCATGGCAACATTATGAGGGATTCTAATCGGGCTAAAGTAAATAGAACAATCAAAAGAGATGTAAAGGCCAAATAAGATTCATATCAGCAAACTATATTCCTCCTAAGGTAAATGTGGCAGGTTGGTAAAAGTTCAATTGGCCCGAGCAACTTTTCCGGCTAAGCATTGAATGGAAACTATAGATTGTGGAGGAGTGTCTTACCGCTTCATTCTCTCCTTGAGCAATATTCTCAATCAACATGATAGGCTTAATACATGTGCCACAAAGACCCATGTTACCTCTCACAATCACATAGTCGGCATCTTTAATGCACCGCTTACAAACAGAAAAAGTGCATGTATAACACATGTAACTCGAAGCTTTCTGGCATGTACCACATATGTGCCAACCTGAAACGAATGAACGAAACATCAATTTCAAAGGACGTCCACGTCCCTAGATTGCTGACAGCAAAGACAACATAGTAACATCATATACTATAAGACATACCACAGTTCCATTTAGCCGTTGTTCGAAAGAATGCCTCATCTCTCTTAATACAAGCTGGATGGTATGCCTTGGGGCAATTCCTGAATAGAGAAGACAAACCCATCATTTTTTTTACAAACAACTACATTAACAATGCCTACTTGCTTTTTTAGCAATTGCATAACTCTAATATATGGCAGTAATCAATAACAGTATCTATAGCACAAACATATACCATAAAAAAAATCCAATTGCTTAAGTAATTAGACCATTTTTCGTTGTAAGCATCGGCAGAGGCTCTAATCTCTATCTATGCATACAATCTAACAGAATTTTCACATTAAGCTGCCAATCACTCACCGGCGATCACAGAGAACGAGGTCTCCGCCGTCGAAGCAAATAAAGCAGACATCTTCTTCCTTGTCTTCCTTCCGCTGCGGCGGCGGCGGCGGTGGACGAGTTTGCGGCGGCGTCTTAGCATGTGCTCTCGGTGGCCGGCCCCGTTTTCGCTTAACAGGGGCAGCTTCATCAACAAGTTTGGCCTCTCGCTCAATGGGCACACCCACCGTCACGCCCACCGTCGGGGCAGGTACAGAGAGAGCAGCAGGAACGATCTCGTCGCATTGATCAGCTCTCATAAGATCGATATCCCTGACCGAACTCTCTTCGGGACGAGCCAGAGCAGCTAACTCCGGCACGCCTTGCTGGAGCTGCTTCTGCTGATTCTCCATGATTACTTAAGAATTCGAGATATATATGAGCAGTAGGGGCAGATCAATCAGTGAAGGAGAAACCCTAATCTGAGGTTCTTTGGGGATTTTTGGCGATGATGATGGAGAGTATGGGTGATGTGTTTAGAACGAAGACTAGTGGGGGAGAAATAAAATGGACTTTTGTTTTCGCTTTTTTTGCCCACTTCTGAGTTCTTACATGGTCATACTCCAATTTAAAGAAAACAAAATGTTAAGTTCTTTCTCCTTATAGAGTATATTTTTTTATTTTTCTTCCAAAAACAGTATTTTTGCTTATAGATTTTATTTACCAAATATAACTACTATTTCCAACTTTCAAATAAATAAAATTTCTAAAATTTAGTGTTAGATTTTTCCTAAGTATAAATTTGATATGTAATATGGAAACACATTCTGTGGCTGTGTTTCTGGATGTAGATTTTATTTTCTAAGTATACTACAGTTTCCAGATTTCAAATTAATTTCTAATGATAATGTTGGATAAGGTTAAACCTTCTATAACATCCTCAAAACTTTGTGTTTAGATAGACATTTACTTTATATAACAAAAAAAAAACAAACATATCCTAAAAGGCTAAAACATGTAGTTATAGAAACAGACGGAGTACAATTTATCATAGGAGATTTCATTCTGTTTTTGTTAAACATAGGATATATTTCATTCTTCTTTCTGTTTTATAAATATCATAGGGTATTTCATGATTTGGTCATCTATATATGCTTCTATAAATTTTTTTTTATTTGTGTCAAATCTGCTTCTATAACTTGATTCGCCACATTCACATGGTATTGTAGATAGGCTTTGTACCTTTGTTGGGCATTGTTCACGTGCATGTTAGACTTGCCTGTTGTTATTAAGTTTTTCAAAGTATATGTAGATTTCCTTCAAATTAAATTTGATTTTTTAACCTCTATCCTTATTTTTAATACGAGTTTACATAGACAATATCTAAGTCCTGAAACTACTATACTAATGGTAACATTACACGATATAACACGAAAATCTAAGTCCTGAAAATACTAATGCTTTCATGTGAAAATATTTGTCCAGTAACGGATAATCAAATCCACTATTTTCCTTGTTCGCAATCAACTTCGAACTTATGTGATATTTTAGTATTGGCTATCAACCATTTCAAGAAAACCCTACATTTTTGGTCACATGACAAACTACATTACTAATCCTTTTATGATTTTATTTTTTCACAAACCGATACCATAACTGCGAAAACTTGTATATATTATCTGATATTGAAACATCTTAAATATAACTGCGAAAACTTGTATATATTGTCTCAGTGTAACCATGATTGGTCTCGCATTGATAATTATGTTAGATTTCTTTTGCCAGTATCGATACACATGACCATTTTGTTTTGAAGACACTTTTTTATTCAACTCAAGAGATGTATGTCTGTGATCACATATATATACTTCATTTAGATCTATAAAGATCATTCGTTTTACAGCGATTCGCTTTTGCGTCGTCGCAAAAACATCAACATATAATTGTTGTGGATAGCAAATATAATTGATTAATCTTATCTATATTTTACACGATAAGAAACCTATTATCACACATTGACCATCAACCTTCAATCCATTTACATGAATTTAATCCCATAGAAATCTTCTAAAATCCATGCATGCATGTTCATGGAAACCTTTTAGTATCAAACCCATTATTACAAAATAAGCATGAACTTTGTTGGAACTTGGAAATTGTCAAATATAAAAGAATATCGTTAACAAACATGATAATTAAGTACTGGATTAGCCATCAGAGAAGCACTTCCAATATAAAAAGAGATAAACTGTATATATAAATTGTGTATCTGAAGCATTTTTTATTTATTTTTTGACAGTATCTGAAGCATTCTAAACACCAAGAATATTCGAAATCGTTACAATGCTAATGTATAAATGTATGAATAGAAAGGAAGGACAACACCGATGAGATATATATTAAAGAGTATTCCATAAATCAAAAATACAATTATTAGAGATCTCGTGTCCTTTTTTTCACACTTTGGGATGTAAGGAAGATTTATCAAGTTTTTTTTGTAACAAGGAAGAAATTATCATTACCTAAAGGTATGCTATAGTTTTATATGTACCTATATATTTGTATATTATCTATTGATATATGGTCTTACTCTGTTTTGTGAAGTTGAATAAGTTCGGGTTTGTACTACTGAATCAACATTGTTTGCGGCAGAATCGGACTGTGTTTGTACATAGGTTTTATGGTCTCAATATTACTTCCTCGATGACGATGATACTAAAATGTTCATGTCGACATGTAAATTTGCATGAATCAGTGAAGCTGGAAAATTAAACTTATTCATTGTTTTGGGATTTCAAGTTAGCAGCATTTTGTTACAAAATATTTGTTTTGTGATTTAAACTGCAACTTTTGATATGTATTTATTACATTTTAGTAATGTCTAGAAATTTTTCTTGGAATTTTCCTTGTGATGTAGGATTATAGTTAGGTTAAGTTTCTAAAGATTCCGGGTCTCGTTTTTAAGGGTTCAAGTTGATAATTCAGGATTGGAGTAAAATCATCTGGTTCATAAAACGAGTTCCTTGATACTCTTTCATTGTTTGGCTTGCCATTAAAAACAGAGTCTCCACTGGAGTTAGAATGCATAGTTGGGGTTTGGAACAGAGCTGTGTTCTTTGTGGAGAGATCGATGAAACTAGATACCATCTGTTCTTTGCGAGTCCATACACCTACACGATTTAGTTAGTCATTGCTTGAAACTTACTTACTGCAGCCGCTACACTGGATTGGACAGCTACACTGCGATTTATCATGACTGCAAATCTTGTTAAATTATATTGAATTTTAATTTATACTTTTGTGAATGGTTTTCTAATCAACTATTTACCATGTGTGGAAGGAAAGGAATTTCTGCCGCCATCATCGTAGTTGGTTTTCACCGGAGCAACTAACTCAAATTAAACTATTGACAGGGCTATACGTAATATCTTCTTTTTTTTTTTGTGGTAAAAGGCTATACGTAATATCGCTAAACTACACTGGCCAACACAAATTTGAAGGCATGTTGCATCGCTGGTTTGAAGTCTATTCGGTTTGATTTATTAGCTACTAGATTTGGTTATTTCGCATGATTCGTTCCCTACGTTCCATGTAAATGATTGTTGGTGGTACGCTCCGCTCCCCGGTTCGGACCGGTTAAAGACCGAGACCGGCCTAATTAATCCCGGTTTACAAAGGTCTTAGCCAAAATGGGTCTGGCCTAGCGACGCGGCCCATGAGAAAGAAGCCCAGCAACGAGAGGCGGTGAGAGCCGAACGAGAAGCCCTAGGACGTCTCCTCGTTCTTGTACTATAAATAGTAGAATTGTTACTGTAAAAGAGATCTTTTTCGGACCCGGAGAGTAGAGACCTGAATATTGTATTGAGTTCGTCGAGAGACCTCCGAACTGAACGAACTGTAATTGAGAACTTAATAAAATCTAATCAACTTAATCTCTTTCGAACTCAAATTACCGGACCGACCTCGAATAGTTGAATACAATAATCAACAATTGGCGCCCACCGTGGGGCCGGTTCGGTAATCGGCCAGGACGACATGACAAATGATGATAGACAACCGACCTCAGTCCAGGTCGGGAGTCAGATGACCTGTGCAGATGAGACCACCCAGGTCGGAGGACCTGCGGGCCAGGTCGGAGGGCCTATGGAGGAACGCGAGCGCAGCCCCGCACAATCCCAACCGAAAGCGCAACAAATCAGGGCGGAGCCGAGCTCAAGCGCCGGGGCTCACCAAACCTCACCAAACCGAACTCAAGCTGCCTTCGATCCAACTGCGCTTATGAACGCCTTCGCCGCGCAGATGCAAGAGTTGGTCAGAAGCAACGACGCGAAGTTCGCAACCCTCACCGCACAGATCTCCAACCTACAGCAAGAGAGTCCGATTAGAAGACGGAACCTCATTAGTGATTTCCAAGAAGAGCGAGATCCGCAGTGCACAGTGGCGCGGTCAGTAGTTCAGCAGCACCAGCGGACAAAGAGCCCATCTCAGCACGTGCGAGCTCAACCGACAGCGCGCGACCTGGAGATCGAGCGGATGCAGGCTCAACTGCGAGAGATCAGTTCAAAGTTTCACCAAGCCACCAGCTCGGCGCCCGAAATCGACCGCGTAATCCAGGAGACACAGAAAACACCGTTCACTTCCCGGATCACCAACGTCCCCGTCCCAAACTTAGAAAAGTTTAAGCTACGATCGTACGAGGGGAACTCCGATCCAAGGCATTTCCTTACCTCATTCGGAATCATAATTAACCGACTGAAGTTCATCTCGGCCAAACAGAAGGACGCGGTTCAATGCCAGTTGTTTGTCGAACACCTCGAAGGCATAACTCTAGATTGGTTTTCAAGATTGGAAGCCGAATCCGTCGACAACTACAAGGAACTCTCGACTAAGTTCGCAAAACATTTCTCGATGTTTATCGGGCAGAAAACTCGTAACTCCGAGCTGTGGGAGATATCACAGGGTGAGAATGAGTCGCTCCGAGATTTCATGGCACGTTTCAAACAGATCGTAGCACACTGTACGGTGGACGATGAAGCCGCTCTCGAAGCTCTGTATCAGAAAACATAGTACAAATCCCCTTTTCACAAAGAGCTTCGCAGGAACAGACCGCTCACCCTCGAGGACGCGCTTCATAAGTCAAACATCTTCATCGCGAAAGAAGAAGAAGAAGCCGCCAAGGATCGTCAGTATTCAACGACTAAGCCAGGACAAACGCCAACCCCCAAAGAGAGCTCGGAAATGAAGGTCCAGCCCGGGAAATCACGCGGAGTAGTGAACCAGGCAGGACCGTCGAACCAAAGGACAGGACGACCTCCAAAATCTTGGAACACGTGGCACAAGGACGACGACACGCCGCTGAGTGAACGTTTTTGCGAGTATCACAAGCGATATGGGCATAGCACAGAGGAATGCCGACATTTGAGAGACTTCTTACTTCAACAGTTCCGCAAGGGCGAGATCGACACCGCAGATTTGCCCAAACCAGGACCTCGGCGGCCGAACATGCGACCAAACAAACCTGGCAATCAAGAAGCCGCTAAGGCAGCCGACTCCGATGAAGAGCCGGTTGCTCCCCCTAAACGAGATCGCGAAGCACCTAATAGAGAGGCGAACGTCCCCAAAACCAGGAAGAAGGTAATATGATTATGGGAGCCCCCGAATCATGCAACTACTCCGTCCGAGCCCTCAAAGAATATAGCTGGCAGGCATCGAGTTCGCAGCCCCAAACGACGGTAACAACCGTGCCATTGTTGTTTACTGAAGCCGACCTACGGGGAGTGTACATGCCTCACAATGATTGCCTCGTCGTCGAACTCCAGCTCGGAGATGTCGAAGTAAGCAGAATATTAATCGACACAGGGAGCTCGGTAAACGTCATATTCAAAGAAACATTAAAGAATATGGATTTTCCGGACTCCGAGATCAAGCCTTACATGGAATCGTTGACCGGGTTCACCGGAGAGAAAACAAGAACAGAAGGAACAGTGAAGATACCCATCTATGTCGGCGGGTCGGCTCGGATGATCAAGTTTTTGGTCCTCAACAAACCGGCGATATATAATGCAATTTTGGGAACGCCCTGGCTATTCGACATGATGGGCCGTCGCTTCAACGTTCCATCAGTGCGTCAAATTCCCGACCTTGTCAGGGATTTTCACCCTCAAAGGAAGCCAGACCGCGTCCCGATTATGTCATCTCACCGAATGCAAACTAAGTCTCGCACGGACGTGCGTCATAAGCCCCTTTCAGGAAGGTCGTGCGGCCGCAGAATGCCAGTTCGGTCCACCCAAACAGAGCCAAGTTGACCAAGTCTGCATCGATCCGACAAATCCAGAAAAGTGTGTCGGCATAGGGGCCGAGCTCGACAACAGTATTCAGGAAGCACTCATCAGTTTCCTCCAGAAGAACGTCTCCACATTCGCATGGAATATCAGCGACATGCCGGGAATCAATCCCGACATCACTTGCCACGAGCTAAACATCGACCCCACATACAAACCTTTCAAACAAAAGAAACGCAAGCTCGGACCCGAGAAAACGCGAGCAGTAAACGATGAGGTTGAAAAATTGCTCAAAGCCGGTTCGATCACAGAGGTTCGATACCCGGACTAGCTAGCAAACCCGGTAGTCGTGAAGAAAAAGAATGGAAAGTGGAGGATCTGCATCGACTTTACCGATCTGAACAAAGCTTGTCCCAAAGATAGCTTCCCACTACCACACATTGATCGGTTGGTAGAGGCAACTGCTGGCAACGAACTGTTCAAGGATGCCTTCTCGGGGTATAACCAAATCCTGATGCATCCGGATGATCGGGAAAAAACTTCGTTCATTACCGATCGAGGAATCTACTGCTATAAGGTCATGCCGTTCGGCCTCAAGAATGCGGGAGCCACCTATCAAAGACTCGTGAACCGCATGTTCGCCGGTCAGCTCGGGAAAACGATGGAAGTTAAATCCCTGTACGCTGAGGACCACATATCGCATTTGTCAACGTGTTTCGACATTCTGAACGAGTACGGGATGAAACTCAATCCCGCCAAGTGCACCTTCGGCGTAACAGCAGGCGAGTTCCTGGGTTACATCGTCACTGAGCGCGGCATCGAAGCTAACCCTAAGCAAATATCTGCAGTTCTCGACCTACCTTCTCCGACTTCTAAACGGGAAGTGCAAAAACTCACAGGCCAAATCGCCGCACTGAATAGGTTTATCTCCAGGTCGACGGATAAGTGCCTGCCCTTCTATCAGTTATTGCGAGGTAATAAGCATCATACTTGGAACGCCGAGTGCGAAGACGCCTTCAAGCAGCTGAAAACGTATCTCTCGACTCCCCCTATCCTAGCTAAACCCAAAAACGGCGAGAAGCTATTCTTATACATCGCAATTTCCGCATCGGCAGTCAGCAGTGTCCTGGTCCGCGAAGACAGGGGGGAACAACATCCCATATTCTATGTCAGCAAATCGCTAAGTGACGCCGAGGCCAGATACCCGACCTTGGAAAAACTGGCGCTTGCGGTGGTGACTTCTGCTCGGAAGCTTCGGCCATATTTCCAGTCTCATTCGATCACAGTCTTGACCGACCAGCCGCTCCGAACCATTTTGCACAGTCCAAGCCAGTCGGGTCGACTCGCAAAATGGGCCGTCGAACTAAGCGAGTATGATATAGAATACAAGAATCGAACCAGCGCGAAGTCCCAAGTACTAGCCGATTTTCTGATCGAACTCCCTAAAGAATTCGTCGTCGAACAGCCGCCCCGCGAGCTATGGATTTCGCATGTCGACGGATCGTCATCCCACCAGGGATCTGGAGTCGGAATCCGCCTGTAGTCCCCAAACGGCGAGATCCTCGAACAGTCGTTCCGCCTCGAGTTCCCAGCGTCCAACAATGAGGCCGAGTACGAAGCTCTACTTGCCGGACTGTGATTGGCCACACGCTTTCTGCGAATCGCAGCTTGTCGCAAGTCAACTAAGTGGAGAATACAAGACCAAGAACGAATGAATGGATGCGTACGTAACAACGACTAAGGCACTCATCTCTAAATTTGAGACATTCGAGCTCACGTAAAAATCCCTCGCGCCGAGAACTCATCTGCTGACGCGTTAGCCGCCCTGGCATCCAGTTCCGACCCGCATATGAAGAGAAGGATCCAGGTCGAAAGTATCTCAGAGCCAAGTATCAAAACCGCGCTGGAATGCAATGTTGCTACTCGCCGACACAACTACGACGAAAATCCGACCTCGGTAAGTACACAAAGCAGGAACTCGACCCGGACGAACGAGAATGCCGAGCAGGAACTTAAGGAAAATGCCGAGCAGGCTCCAGAAGACCTAGCCGCCGATCATGACTTCGAGCACATAACCGAAGGAATCCACAGTCTGTCAACTAGCGAAAACCAGGAAAGCGAATCCGCCGAAGATTGGACAGCCAAACTGCGAGAATACCTCCTCAACGGCAAAGTCCCTGACGACAAATGGGCTGCTCGCCGTCTTAAAGTCCGGGTTGCCCATTACACAATGCACAAAGATAAGCTATTCCGTTGGAGTGCATCTGGAGTACTCCTGGCCTGCGTTTCCGGGAATGATACAGTCGAAATCATGCGCGAAATCCACGAAGGGTCCGGCGGCAATCACTCCGGAGGTCGATCTCTTGCTCTGAAAATCAAAAAAGCCAGCTATTTCTGGCCAACGATGAACGCGGACTGCGAAAAGTTTGTCATGAAATGCGATAAGTGCCAACGCCACGGTCCAATGATTAACGTACCAACCGAGCTGCTGCAAACCAGTACGGCCCCTTACCCGTTTATGCGGTGGGCTATGGACATCGTTGGCCCTTTATGCCGATCAACAAGTCAAAAGCAGTATATCTTGATTATGACCGACTACTTCACAAAATGGATCGAAGCCGAAGCATACTCGGAGATTACCGCACTGGATGTACAAAAATTCGTCTGGAAGTACATCATTTGCCGACACGGGGTCCCGCACGAGATCGTCACAGAAAACGGACCACAATTTATTGCGGGGACATTCAATGAGTGGTGCGCAAAGTTCAAAATTCGCCTTAGTTTCTCTACCCCGCTATATCCGCAAGGCAATGACCAGGCCGAGACAACCAACAAGACAATCCTGGACGGCATAAAGAAACGTCTCGAGGCTAAGAAAGGTACCTAGGCGGGCTCGACGGAGTCTTATGGTCGCACCAAACTACTCCCAGACGATCGACCGGACAGTCACCTTTTTCCTTAGCGTACGGACTCGAAGCCCTCTGCCCGACAGAAGTGAGTATTCCAACCTTAAGGTACTCAGTGCTCCCCGAAGATCCCGATCTCAACGACCAGATGATGCTCAATAACTTTGATAACTTGGAATAGCAACGCTGTTTAGCTCTCCTCCGAATTCAGAACTATCAAAACCTCGCTGCTTGGTACTACAACAAGAAAGTTCGAGGTCGGCACTTCGATGAAGGCGACCTCATCTTACGCAAAGTGTTCCAGAACACTGAGGAGCTAAATGCAGGCAAACTGGGAACGAACTGGGAAGGTCCATATCAGATAATGAGAATCGTCAAACCTGGGGTTTACGAACTCATGCAGCTCGACGGAACGCCGATCCCGCGATCCTGGAACTCAGCCAATCTCAAACGATATTATTATTAAAGTCCCAACCAACAAGCGCGCGGACCCAAAAAAAAAAAAAAAAAAAAAAACCAGTCCGGCTCCGGCCGAACTCACCCCTGTAAACTGAACTACGAGTGGCTTGATCCTTTGCAAAAGGGTATGTAGGCAGCTCGATTTCGAGTCCAGCTACAAATCCAATAAAAATCCATCTTTTTCATTTCTATCACTAACTCCACATATCGACTCCCCGGCCAGGAGATCGAACTAAGTATTCCCCACGAATACAATCTTAAAAGCCGAGATCCGTCTCGCCCGTACCCCCATGGTGCCCACTATTCAAAGCCAGAGCCCAACCCGCACTCACTCTTTCGAACAACAATCCGCCAACCGCGATTCAAGTTCGAAGAGTTTCCCGAGTTCGTCTGCATCGTCACAATAACATCACGAACTCCAAACTTAATCAAAACAAGCCGAACTCCCAACAGTTCGCAATAAAATAAGAGAAAAAGGTTCTAAGTAAAAATCGCGATAAAATAAACCATGTTCATTTCATTAATACCCAAAATTGCCGAACTAGACGACAATAAATACAACGCCTAAAATCGGCGACTAAAGCAAAATCAATAAGTTAAAACCCGAGCTACGCGGGCAAGACAGTCTTTACAACAAACACCAAAATAAAAAATAAGGAAAACTAAGAGAATCATTGGCGAGCGACGGACGCCGGACTCTTGAGACTCGCTGCCCGATCAGCCGAGATGGATTTGGAGTTCGAGCCAAACTGGTCCAAACCATCCGAAACGTGCGTTCCCGGCGGAAGCACGATCCTTGGGATGAGGTCGTCATCACTCAGAAGCAAGAAGTCCTCATTTGCGAGCCGCGGGAGAGGGACATCATCGACCTCCTTCGTGCAGTTCTTAACCCTCCGCCCGTACATCTCCACGATGTGAGGCCGGACGATCATATTGTGCTCCCTCCTGAGGAAGTCGCAGAAACCGACCAGAGCAGTCGCCAAGTTAAGCTTGAGGAACGGCGCCTTTCTGAGCTCGGACTTGTCCATGAAGTCCTTCATCTTGGCAAGCTTCCCTTCACACTTGCCCCTAAGGGCGGCCAGCATCTTCCTGCCCTTGGACTCGGCGTCTCGGTACTTCCGCTTCTCGAGCTCGCTTGTCTTGAACGACTTGGACAAGGCGTCCACATCCCCCTTCATCAGGGCCTCGACTTGCTCCTTCAAAGCCGCGTTCTCCTTCTCCTTTTCGGTAAAGGCCAGCACAGCAGCCTCGTACCTTTCCTTTTCGTCCTGATACGACGTTTCCAGAGACGCCCTCTCGGCAGCAACCTCAGCGTTGATCCTCCTCAGCCTCTCGACCTCGGAGTCGTACTCGCGATCGTTGGTATCACAGACGAGCTGAAAATAGAGGGAAACTTACAGCGGAGGCAGATTTCGCGACCCGAGCGTAAGACTTGGGGCGGAAGAGTTCTTTGGTCTCTAGCATTGGAGACGAGGCCGGCACGATCTGCCTGAAGAGCTCGGCACAGGCGGACGAGTCGTCGAAGAAGGACCGGTCCTTGTTGTACTTGAGCCGGACTGAGAATGAGGATGAGTCAGAGGTCCGACGCCTCTTGGATGACCTCGGGTTCTCGGTCTCGGCAGCCGGATCCGCTGGAGGAACCTGAGAAGCGTTAGAAGATTCGTGAAGGACCAAAGTCCCTTCACTCGCGGCCGTCTCGGGCTCACCACCCTTCTTCCGAGACGATTTCTTCAGAGCCTTGCCCTTCTTCCTACGGGCGCGGTCGGCAATGGTGAGCTCGTCCTCATCCTGCTCACCAATTTCCCCCTCCTCTATTTGAGCCTGAGGAGTCGCCTCGGGAACACTAGTTCCCGCCACATCGCCCTCCGGCTCCGCAACCGGGATCAGAGGGTCAACTGGGCCAACCGGGATGTTATCGACCCCATCCCCGACAGCAGCTTCGACGCCGTCACCAGCCTCGTTCCCATCGAGACCGACGATGTCGATTGGGGCATTGTCATCTTCCTCGTCAGCCCCAAAGTTCATGATTGGGATATCCGACCTGTCGAACGCCATCCTCCGACTCCTCTTGTTGCTTTTCCTTGATTTCTTCTTCTTCGAGACCGGTCTCGACGAACTGGGTTCCTTCTTATTTTTAGCTACAAAAAAGGACAAGTGTCAGCTATAGTCTAAATGATAGCAAATTCAAGACGATCTGAGAACTCATACCTCTGTCTTGAGCCCTCTTTATCCGGCGGTCAATCTTCTTTCGATACGCTAGTGGCCAACGGCGCTGACCGGCGAGACTAAGCTGCTTCGCTAGGTCGGACGTAAGAGAGCGTTGGATAAACCCCAGAACGTGACGATCTGCACATAGGAAGAGAAATCAGTTAGAATCAGTCAGGAAACAAAGAGATGAACCGTGAGATATGTACCAAATTCAACACTCCAGCCAGTCCGGAACGTGCTCTCCGGATTCTCAGCAGAAATTGAGTCGACGCGAAGAAAAAAGTAGTTCTTGTCCCAGTCCGTAAACTTGATGGCCTTGTTCCCGGTGGCCAAATCGAATTTCGGATTACAATTCACCGACATGAACCAGCTTTTGGCCGACGAGACTTTCATGATGAAGAGCTCCTCGAACTGTGCCACATTGATTCGAGTGCGGATATCGCGCCCGAGTTGGAGAATCCCAACGAAGTTTGCAATCGACGCTGGCTGAAGTTGGACTATCGCGCAGCCACACCGGTTGCAGTACGCGAACAGAAGGCGAGGCAAGGGGAAAGTTAACCCGGCCTCGCGGAAATAAGCCTCGTAGACGCAAATAAAATCTTCAGGAGCGTCCCAGGGACGCTCCTCCGGTTCGGGGACCTGGATTATGATTCCAGGAGGGGCTCCACCAACCAGCATAGCAGCCTGGACTGTTTCGGGGGTTGATAGAGTAGACTTCACCGGAGCACAGATACACGGCCGATCCACGATCGGCATCATGTCGTCATCGTTGGGATCCTGCACTCCTCCATCCCCGACCTCGCACAGTGGAGCGTCTTCATCTGTCTTCACATCAGGCTCCCGTCCCAGGACCAAATCAGCAGGAACTTGGCCCTCGGGCTCGCGGAGATTTTGGTCCATCCGTTTCGGAGCCCGAATGGGAACTCGGCTACCAGAGCCGACCTCGACGACCCGGGAGTTCTTACGAACCAAAGAAGCATTTGAGGAATGCTCCGTAGATCCCGAGCTCGAGATCTCGGTAGAAGTTTCCTCCCTGCGGTGTTCGGGAAGAATCGCGGCCTCGGAATTGGAAGAAGAGTCGGAAGACATCGTCGGAGAACTCGAGAAAGCGATCGTCGACGAGAGAGCACGGCGGACGGCAACCGGAATCCTAGAGAGAGAAAGAAGAAAACTTAGAGAGAAGGGAGAGCAAAATACCTTGGCAGAAGAAGCGAAAATGAGAAATGGGGAGAGCTGGGCTCTATTTATAGGGAAAAAGCGAATCATTGCGACTTCTCGAGTTCCGCGCTTCGTAACGTCTCTATTTTCCTCCTGAACCAAAGCGTCTTTTCGGTTCCCCGCAAGCAAAAATACTAAAATACCCTTGCGAAGACATCAAGGGGATAAACGTCGCCGACCTCGATCATTAACCGATCCTGCTCCAATTCGGCAAAAGTCACTCAGGTCCGTTTACCGAACTGGAGGGGGGGGCATACTGTTGGTGGTACGCTCCGCTCCCCGGTTCGGACCGGTTGAAGACCGAGACCGGCCCAATTGATCCCGGTTTACGAAGGTCTTAGCCAAAATGGGCCTGGTCTGGCGACGCGGCCCATGAAAAAGAAGCCCAGCAACGAGAGGCGGTGAGAGCCGAACGAGAAGCCCTAGGACGTCTCCTCGTTCTTGTACTATAAATAGTAGAATTGTTACTGTAGAAGGAATCTTTTTCGGACCCGGAGAGTAGAGACCTGAATATTGTATTGAGTTCGTCGAGAGACCTCCGAACTGAACGAACTGTAATTGAGAACTTAATAAAATCTAATCAACTTAATCTCTTTCGAACTCAAATTACTGGACCGACCTCGAATAGTTGAATACAGTAATCAACAATGATCATTAAGAGCCTGTTTGTTTGCTCATTTGGATGGATCATCCAGATGAATCAGTCAAATGATGTTTGTTTAATTACATAAATTGACTCATCTAGATGATACATCTAGATAAATCATTTGGATGACTTATAAATTTATGAAGAAATTTGAAACTCATCCAACTGATTCAATTTGAAGCATTTGGATGAACATGACTCAGTCAAAAAAATCGCATTTTCTCGATAAAACATGTAAAGTCTCGTTTTTTTCATCAAAAACGTAAAATCTTGTTTTCCCGTAAAAAACGTACAATCTCGTTTTACCATTACAAAATGTAAAATCTCGTATTCCCGTCAAAAACATAAAATTTCGTTTTCCCGTCAAAAACATAAAATCTCGCTTTCCCATCAAAAACGTAAAATTTCGTTTTACTGTAAAAAAAAACATAAAGTCTCGTTTTCTCGTCAAAAACCTAAAATTTTGTTTTCCCGTCAAAAAACGTAAAATCTCGTTTCCCCTTCAAAAACGTAAAATTTCGTTTCCCCATCAAAAAACGTAAAATCTCATTTTTTCGTTAAAAACATAAAATCTCGTTTTCTCGTTAAAAACGTAAAATCTTGTTTTAACGTTAAAAACGTTAAATCTCGCTTTCCGTCAAAAACTTAAAATCTTGTTTTCCCGTCAAAAACGTAAAATATCGTTTTTCCGTTAAAAACTTAAAATCTTGTTTTTCTATTAAAAACATAAAATCTCGTTTTTCTGTCAAAAAACATAAAATCTTGTTTTTCCGTTAAAAACGTAAAATCTCGAAACATAAAATCTCGTTTTCCCGTTAAAAACGTAAAATCTTGTTTTCTCGTTAAAACGTAAAATCTCGTTTTTTGGTAAAAAAATATAAAATCTCGTTTTCCCGTTAAAAAACATAAAACCTCGTTTTCCCGTTAAAAACGTAAAATCTCGTTTTCCCGTTAAAAACGTAAAATCTCGTTTTCCCGTTAAAAACGTATAATTTTGATTTCCCTTCAAAAACGAATTTTGTTTCCCGTCAAAACGTAAAATCATGTTTTCTTTTTGTCAAAAACGTAAAATTTTGTTTTTCCTCTGTCTAAAAGCGTAAAATTTTGTTTTTCCGTCAAAAAACATAAAATTTTATTTTTTCGTAGAAAACATAAAATCTTGTGTTCCGTTAAAACGTAAAATCTCATTTTCTTGCCAAAAATGTAAAATCTCATTTTTCATTGCTCATTTATCAATTTCTCATTTTAATGTTTGTTTGCTCATTTGTAATGTGCATCACTCAGATGACTCATCCAAATGAATCATTTAAATGGATTATCTAGATGTCATTTTTTTTTTGTTGAGTAATTTATTTGACATTTTACCCCCCCCAAAAAAAAAAATTAGAACAATGCATTTGCCTGTAATATTGAGAAATATAACCAACTAACAGTGTGTTATATGTTTGCACACTATTTTTGTGATTGTGATTTAGAATTAAACTTTTACGGTTAGAGTTTAAAATCTCGGATTGATGATTAGATTTTAGGGTTTTGGTTTTAATTTATATATATTATTTGAAGAATTAATTACCTATATGTATAACATATCATTTTATTTAAATAGAATAAAAAACATGCTGTATTGTGTTCTCGTAAGTACTGAACTAGAATATGGTTGAAGACACTTTAATATCCATTGGATACATAAGTTTAATGACATATTTTCCTCAAATACTATATTAATCTATTCAGACAAAAAAAAAACTAAAACAAATCTCCATCTACTTTCTACATAGTCTGTCTACAGATAATCGGTTCGGTACTTCGGTGTTAAAAAATATTCAACCGCCAAAAAAATGCTTATTCAATTCTTCAAGTATTTGAAATCGACTGATTTATGTTTGACCAAAAAAAAAAAAAGAAATCGACTGATTTATTTGTCAAAGCAACTTAAATACAAAAAAAAAAACAAAGTCAACATTATGGGCTAGTAAAAAGTTAATAATAAATTAATATGAAAATTTAAAATGCAAACTCAATTGTTGGGAATGCCAATTTCAAATGCTTGTAAAATTAAATGAGCATTTCCTCATTCAACAGCCAAATTTACACCTAACGAGTTTTCTTAACACTGGTTATAACGATTGAAGTTTTTTTTGTCGGCAAACGATTGTAGTCTACATATGTATTTCAAATTGATCAAATATCTTATTATTTTAAATGAGTAATAAATAATTTTAGGTTTATTAAGGTGTATTTATTGGTGTGGGGGTCCCATGCGACGATGCGTAGTCGGGTAATATATTGGCGATCAGCGGACGGGTCAATAGCCCAAGCCCGACCCGTTTAGCAAAAGTTTTCAAAAAGAAATGCACCAGCGGAACTAACTAGACCCGGCTTATTCATCAGAAACTCTTTCATCTTAAACAAAAGGGACAAAATTACTTTCTTTCTTTTTTTGCTTCTGTGCGTAAAACAAAGGAAAAAAACTCTGTTCTCCTCCGTCCAAGAAACCGATCCAAACATGAAGGATTACTCAAAGATCGGTGATAAATTGGTGATGCAGAGAACACGACGACGATGTGAAGGCACCGCCATGGGCGCCACCGTCTTCGATCTCCGACCCGGCGTCGGCATCGGACCTTTCTCTATCGGTATGCGATTCTCTCAAAAAATTTCTGCTGCTTTTCTTTAGTCTTGGAATTCGAGAATTACTTTACCATCTACCCTGCGGCGATTGGACTTGGAAAATGGCAATCGATTCGCGATCGGCGATTGCGTGTTAGTTTGGGAATTCTGTGATAACGTATCTCTTGAGGTGGAAACTCGATAAATAGCTGTGTTGTAGATAACTGCTGGATCATCTTTAGTTTTAGCGAACGTTGTGTCACTTGTTTTAGTTCATTATCACACTGTTCAACTTCCGATCACAGTTTGACTGGCGATCAAATTGTGGTGTTGTTTCAGGAATGCCAATCTGTGAAGCATTTGCTCAAATAGAGCAGCAACCGAATATATATGATGTTGTCCATGTTAAATACTACGACGAGGTTTGTAATCATAAGACTAATTCACACATTGCTTATGGTCGCCACTTCTTTCATCCAATCCATATTTATTTTTGTGTTGGATTTTTTCTACAATCGCAGGATCCTCTGAAATTGGATGTTGTTATTAGCTTTCCGGATCATGGGTTTCATCTTCGGTTTGATCCCTGGTCTCAGGTACTACTCTTTACTTGATGATGCTGTTGTTCATACTTGTTTTTGATAGAACCAACTTCACTGCTTTACATACTATTGTGAATATCCTCATGTTTACCTGCAATTCGGAATATCTTTGTTTGACTAGTATTAAGTAGAGTAAATTTTTTCTTGTGGAATTCAGTTTAGTCTTCTCTTGTTTGTTAAAGACACTCTAGTTTACTTCATGTTCTTCCAATTTTGTTTCCAGAGGTTACGCCTTGTTGAGATATATGATGTCAAGCGGCTTCAGATGCGCTACGCAACTTCTATGATTGGGTGAGTCTAGCAGTTAAAATTAATGGGTCTGGTGTAGTTTACAGTTCTAACGACTGTCTTTTGCTTGTACTTCAGGGGTCCATCTACTCTGGCCACGTTTGTGGCTGTTTATGCACTTTTTGGACCGACCTTTCCTGGGATTTATGATAAAGAGAGAGGGATTTATTCTCTGTTCTATCCGGTGAGCACGAAATAAAACTAGGTCACGCTGTTTTTTTCATAAATGTTTGAATTTTTCCTATCAATGTAAAACAAAATTTTAACTATGGCAGGGGCTATCCTTCGAGTTTCCAATTCCTAACCAGCACACGGACTGCTGCCATGATGGAGAAGGTATGTTCTCCGGAATCCAGAGAAATTATGTTTATGTTTTTTGTCTTGTCCAATCTAACTTCTCACATTTGATTTCCTCTTCTACAAAGCGGCACTGCCATTAGAGTTTCCAGATGGCACCACACCAGTAACATGCCGGGTCTCTATTTATGACAACTCAAGTGACAAAAAAGTTGGTGTAGGAAAATTGATGGATAGAGCTTCTGTCCCTCCTTTGCCTCCTGGCAGCCTCTATATGGAAGAGGTTCATGTCAAGGTGTGGCTTATCTTCGTTTACTCCCATTCCCCTCTATGTGTTTTAATATCTCTTAGTCTAAAATAATTACCAGTTAGCCCCCTCCTTACTCTTCAAATGACTTTATTAAATATTTATGCAGCTTGGCAAGGAAATTTTCTTTACTGTTGGAGGCCAGCATATGCCTTTTGGTGCATCACCACAGGTAAAGTTTGTATCTTGTCTTATTGTACTTCTTCTTTGGAAATCATCATTTCGTGCTCCATGCAGGATGTATGGACGGAATTAGGACGACCATGTGGGATCCATCCCAAGCAGGTGATTTATACCTGTCTCTATTAACTTGTTTGTTGTATTTCGCGAACAGAAGCCTACATTACTATTTTGCCTGCATTATCTGTCACTGTTCAATGATGCCCATTTGGACATTTGAATTTCTGCTTCTGAATTTTCCTTTGCTTTCCAGGTAGATCAAATGGTTATTCATTCCGCATCAGATCCACGACCAAAAACAACTCTTTGTGGTGATTACTTTTACAACTATTTCACTCGTGGTTTGGACATCCTGTTTGACGGCGAGGTAGGCAACTTGTCAAATAGAGTTAACATGTTCCCTTCATATGTTTTTCTTATCCATGACTACATTTTCTACAGACTCACAAAGCTAAGAAGTTTGTTCTTCACACCAATTATCCTGGTCATGCTGATTTCAATTCATACATTAAGTGCAACTTTGTCATCTCTGGTAAGCAATGCAAATAATAGCAGCTTCATGTTAGTTAACTATCCTTTATTCAGATATATGTTGTGTCTTCTTTTTCAACAAAACTACGCTTTCTTGCTGCTTTTCAGTTGGAGAGGTTGAGGCAGAATCAAACAAATATGGAAGCAAGATCACACCAAGAACGAATTGGGAGCAGGTTAAGGTAAATTATTTTCAGACCAAAGTGGTACAAGTATAACAGGAAAATGATAGGAAGCTAGTCTATGTTAGGCCTTGACCAATGTCCCCTGAGATGTTTTAGTTATGTGAAATCTGTTGACCAACCCTAAAGGATCTCTCATGAAACCTTGCTTTTCACCTTAGGAAATACTTGGGGAGTGTGGCCCAGCAGCTATTCAGACACAGGGCTCAACTAGCAACCCTTTTGGATCTACATACGTTTATGGCTATCAGAATGTTGCTTTTGAGGTGAAACATTTTTTAGTAACAATATTTCAGTAGTTGGGATCCTTGTTACAGATTTGCAGATTGTTAAACAAAACATTAAGTTGGGTTAAAATTTGCAGGTGATGAAGAACGGTCATATAGCCACCATAACTCTGTTCCAGTCATGATGAGTATGCCGTCGAGGTATGCCCTCACTAATTCTTCGTTTATCTTAAATTTTCCTTGTAGACATTTGTATTGCAATATTCATGTGCTTCACTGTCTGATTCGGTAGAATAAATTGTCTCAAGTTAGTTTTCCTCTGTTGTATGTTGTTGAACGAAGACTCCTCTCACATGTGAAAGATGGACCAATGTTTTTTTGTAGGGACTTATACGCTTTGGCTCGAGAGGCTATCTTCTACCACACTCCGTAAATCTAACGTCAAAAAGCTGCAAGCTATCGATATTACCAAAAATCTACAAATGCATGAAACAATCGTTGTACAGTTGATATCAAGTGTTGTATAATAACAGTTCTCTACGAGTCGGAAAAAAACAAAAATAACAGTTCTCTATGGTTCTTTCCATTCTTTCAGACTGTCTGACTGACTATGTATCCATCTAATTGATGAATATGTTGTATGTGGCTATATGAAAATTTTAAGATTTTATTTTTAAAAGGGATATTGAAAAAAAGTCTCCGTCGCCGGGACTCGAACCCGGGTCTCTCGGGTGAGAGCCGAGTATCCTAACCAGCTAGACTACGACGGATTTGTTGACTGCACTCTTCTCTTAAAATTAAGAACTAAATAAGTTAGTGGAAGGAGCTCTTGTTGTGCTTACCTCTCTTCTATCCGTTGCTACTTGCGAGCAGCGTTTAGTGGAAGGTTCCGGGAGGGAAAGAGGAAACTGGTGTTGTGGATTGTTTTCATCGGCGATACGTCTCTACTCCTCTGGTACTCTTTCTTTTGATTTTCCTCTTTTGTTTCAGCTCGACTTTTACTTCGAAGCTACTTCCAATTTATTGTGTAAAAGAATTGGCTCGAGCTTGGTTCAATCCATGGGGATGCGAGAACTTGAACTTTGGAATTTTCCGACTTCTTTTCAGTTTGCTCAACTCGTCAGATTTTAGCTTCAACTTTTTAGCTTCGCGAATTGATTTTAGAATGCGTAGTAATTGTGCAATTGGTTTCGCCACGATTGTTTAGGGTTTTTGATTTTGCATTATTGGTTTATTTAGAATCTAGGGTTTGAATTGAGCTGTGTTACTGTGAAGGAAAGCCCCGGTCGTTTTTCTTGCCAGAGATGAGTGCGTCCGGGTTAACTGTTGCTCCGCCCAGATTTCACTTTCGATGGCGTTCAGATTGTTTTGGCACATCTCAGAGAAGCTCTCAAGCTTTTACTGTTCTTAGCAAACCGAATCGTCGAGATGCAGCTTGGCCTGTTCTTCAAAGGTAGTTTTTGTTCTTGTTCGATTAAGCATATGCTACTTCTTTCTCATTGTTATACTTATCTGTAATGGATTTTTTCTCTTCGATGCTGCGCAGAGCTTGTTTGGCGCTTCCAACACAAAGAAACAATGCTATGATAGTCCGTGCCATGAGTGCTTCCTTTGGTGATATGGCAGACGATCCAACTGGTAAATACATATTTCTGAGCTATGCATAATTCTAGGTAACTGGCACGGACAAATTACGCGTAATCTGTGGGTTATACTTGTAAATGGTGCTTATGTCTTCCTTAGAAATGATTGTTAATGTGCTTTTGAGCTAAAGTTAGTGTCAGTGAATGAAGCAAGCAGTGTAATGCAATGCATGGTTCTTAGTTAAACTTAAAGGTTTACAAAGATGACTCGAAAGCAAAATGACTAATGTTCCCTGCTACTTCCATAGGTTCAGCTGTTTTTCCTCGGCTCAATGTCAAAGACCCATACAAACGGCTTGGGATAAGCCGGATGGCCTCCGAGGATGAGATTCAAGGCGCTAGGAACTTTCTCATTCAGCAGTACGCAGGTCACAAACCCAGTGTTGACGCAATCGAATCAGCTCATGACAAGATTATCATGCAGAAATTCCATGAGAGGAAGAACCCGAAGATCGACATAAATAAAAAATTCCGCCAAGTGAGGCAGTCCAAAGTTGTCAACTTTGTCTTCGAGAGATTCCAAACTCCTCCAACTGCTTTCCTTGTCAAAACAGCAGTCACGTTTGCAGTTCTCGCCGCCCTAACGGTCTTGTTCCCTACAGAAGAAGGACCGACTCTGCAGGTTTTGTTATCAGTGATATCTACGTTTTACTTCATCCACCAAAGGCTGAAGAAAAAGCTCTGGTCTTTCCTTTACGGGTATTAAGCAAGCTGATCATTATCGCCAAAACCTTTGGTACCTTCTTGATTTGAGTTCGCACCTGATTGGTTTACATTGTGAAACAGGACCGGAGCTTTCATCTTCTCGTGGTTGGTTGGGACCTTCTTGATGGTATCTGTGGTTCCGCCGTTCATCAAAGGACCAAGAGGTTTCGAAGTCATGTCTTCGCTCTTAAGCTATGTATTGCTTTGGGTGGCTTCGAGCTACCTTCGGTAGCGTTCTAGCTCTTTTCTTTCCCTTTTTTGGGTCCCAAATTCTCAAAGTTTTATCTCGGATATATGAAAGCACAGAAAAGAGAAATTGTATCATCTTCATGTGGCATAGAGAGAGAGATTTTTTTTGTTCATTGAGTTGTTATTTCGCTTAGACCTCACTATCTTTCTCAGCTCAATTTCCAAGTCGTGTCTTGCGCTTGCCGGCTACTCTATTCATGTCTAGCGATAGAAAAGTAGAAAGAAATTGTCTTTCTGGAATCTAGAGCAGTTAAATATAGTATTGGAGATAGAAAACAGAAATTTGGGAAGAATTCGTGGAGACGGATCGGGAAAAGAGAACTCGGGAATGAAATTATTTGTCTCATTTTAGCATAATTTCTTGTATTCGACTGCCAAATTGCCCTCACTTTTCACACTACATAGCTTGCATAAGTGATTTTTAGTCTTCTTTCAATCTAGAAAGAGCAAAAAAAAAAAAAAAAAAAAAAAGAGTATGTTTGTCTTCTCCTTTTTTAGTATTTCTTAACTAATTTATTGAGTTCTGTTGACTGATTAGATTTGAATGCTTTCACTTTTGGGTTGTCATTTATTAGATCATAAACTCAAATAATATGTTAAGAATATTAATTAATACTTTATATAGGAGTACTAGATTAGGATATAGTGATATACATATTCATCAAATTCTTGATAACTAATACGCTATTTATCAACCATTGACTTTGTGAACATTCTCATGTGCCGACGTCTCATAACAATAATGAAGGGTGCATGGTTTTGTCCGTAGCTTTATCATGTGCAATTGTGCATGACCCCCTTTATTTATATCTCACCAAAAAACACATTTAGATAAATGTTTTGTTTTTTCGACCTCAATATTGCGGAAATAAGTTTGTTGCAGTGTCCCTTCCAATTTATTGACCGTTATAAAGTTTGGCTATCATCAAAAGTTGAATCATAAAGTCGTCTATTTAAGATGTATATTAAGATAATACTACTTTTACACTGTATTTAACAAGGGTATATACTTTTACATATATGTTTATTTAGTAGTAAATCCATCTAGATTACTAGATTGGTTGAACGTCGAGGACTAAGGTTTTTAGACTTTTAGTAATCTAGACGATATTTGCATTAAACCACTTTATGCATTGCAGATGTAGGTAAGAAAAAAGCAAACGCACATGCCGACATGTGCTCTGCTTTTATATTATTTTATTTACATTAACTTCAAAAGTGAATCCAAAGCTTAAAAACGCGAAGAATATGTAAATATGTGTTGGTACAAATCATTGCCTGCAAAATCATGTTAATTTTTTTTGTGGTTGTGATGTGATGTGCCATTAAAATCGAAGAATATGTAAACTCAAAGCTTAAAAACGCGAAGAATATGTAAATATGTGCAGGTACAAATCATTGCTTGCAAAATGATGTAAATTTCTTTTGTGGTTGTGATGTGATGTGCCATTAAGATTGAAATAATGTACGTTCTTCATAATAAGTGATTAGGTTAATGCAGTTTGTGATTAGCTATAAAATTGTTCCTCTAGGTTATCTTCTTCTGTATCATGTGCATTATTTGTCTTGGAATAATAAAGACAAGACATGGTCTAAACATATTAATAACATTTGTTATTTATCAGAGCCATTTAGGGACGAAATAATCTTAACTAAAAAGAAAATAATTAGCTGCTCCAAATTTATGCTTTCTTTAGCGCGCTAATATAATTAGCTAATTCCCTAATTCACCAACGGTGATCTACACGAACAAAAAGCCATTAACGATTAACAGCTCCGCAATTCCCCCATTTTTTTGAAATACCTGATTTATCGCTGTAGCTAGCGAAATAGGTCGAACCGAGAATCTCTGGTTTCTTCCGATCTCCTCCTTCGTTTCCCGTTCATTTCCTTCGTCGGAAACACCGTCGTAGTCCGCATCGCTCATCGTCGCTTCTGCCATTGTTCTTTCATCTCGCATTGGGTCTCGTTTCTCTAATTTCCGTGTCTCCTTCGCGAATTCAGAGACATTCGGAGTCACAACGGTGTCGCAGGTCAGAATTTCGTCGATTGTTCTTAATTACCCTGCCGGATTTTGTGGGTTTTTACTTTTCTTAATTGACCAGCGTGTCACGAGTTCGTGTTAATGGTTTGGATTCCAGTGGAACTACGCACGATGTTTGAAATTTTGTGGTTTTGGTTATAAATTCTCCGAGATTCATTGATTTGAAACTCCAGTGTGAGACTGTGAGCCATTGGAGGATTTATTATTATTATTATTTTTTTTTTTGGAGTGCAGTTGTGGCGAGTTTTTTTTATTATTGTTACTTTCTTGGATCTTACGGCTAAATTTGTGTTGGATTTTTTCTCTTTGTTGTTTCTCGGAGGCAGGTGTAATTAGTCAAAGTTCTGTTTCGTCACTGCACATGAAGTTCTTAAAGATTCTTGGCTCCAGATCGAACATTTTGCAGAAACGGCTGTGAAATCCTTTCAGTAACATCAAATCTCCGAAGGTAAATGGTTTGTTTTCGCAAGTTATTTCTTCGTGATTGTAGAGAATGAAATATAAGCTTAGGCTTGAAACGTATGGAACATGCGAGGAAGACTTTTTGACAGACAAGAGAAAACACCAAATATTATATGAAACCTTCGTTTGTTTATGTCTCAAACAATGTTGAAAAAGAACCACGTTGTTACTGATTTCCCTGTCATTCTCTGCTGACATATTTGGAATATAAAACACGTGGTTAGAGACAATGTTCTTTTGCTCGAGAAGAATTAGACAAGTTTTTAATAAGTGGTCTCATGATCTACAATGATTGAGTTGTCCTCATAATTGCCCTCTCTCCCTCCTCTATATATATATATATGACATTGCTGTTGTCCTCGTCTTGGGTTTCTTTTGGGTTAGGATGAGGGAAGGAAGGTGAGAGATGAAGATGGCTACAGGAGAGGATCAGATGCAAGGATCGAGCGAGAGGGAAGAGAAGATATTTGTTTCTGTTCGTCTGAGGCCATTAAATGTGAAAGAAAGGGTAAGGAATGATGTGGCAGATTGGGAGTGTATCAATGATGAAACGGTCATATACAGGAGCCATCTTTCCATTTCCGAGCGTTCCATGTATCCCACTGCCTACACATTTGGTAAGACTTGCTTACTCTTGCAGCTTCTTGAGTCAAAGGTAATCCTTAGTTCTATCTTGCTGAGCTTTCCTATGCCTCTAGACAGAGTGTTTGGCCCCGAGTGTTGTACGAGGGAGGTGTATGATCAAGGGGCGAAGGAAGTGGCTCTCTCTGTTGTTAGTGGGGTTCATGGTAAGGCATGTCTAGTAGTGATTTTTAGTCTTTACCCACAGTGGCTCATGTTTGATCCAAATTTCATCTGGTTTCAGCTAGTGTCTTTGCATATGGACAAACAAGCAGTGGAAAGACATACACTATGAGTGGAATTACTGATTACGCATTGGCCGATATATATGATTACATTGAGAAGGTAAAGTTAACAATATCATAGACTTCACATCAGTCTTACCGCATTAATTCCAGTTTGCTCAGTAACTGTCTTTCTTTTCAATTTTTTTTTTTTTGTGTTTTCTGCAGCACAAGGAAAGAGAATTCTTTCTGAAGTTCTCAGCCATGGAGATCTATAATGAGTCTGTAAGAGATCTCTTGAGTACAGACATTAGTCCACTCAGAGTTCTAGATGATCCTGAGGTAAAAGTTGACACTAACACCTTATAGAATTGGTTATGCATACCCTCAGTTTGCTGATCATTTGCTTTTTGACAGAAAGGGACAGTTGTTGAGAAACTCATGGAGGAAACTCTGCGGGGCTGGAATCATTTTAAGGAGCTTTTAGCAATATGTATAGGTATTGATTTTCCAAACGTGTATCTAAATTATACCGTTTGATGTGTTGCACCAATTTGACTAGTATTGTTTATTCGTCGCAGCTCAACGACAAATTGGAGAGACTGCTTTAAATGAAGTTAGTTCCCGCTCTCATCAGATTCTGAGATTGGTAAGGCATTTTATTGGTTTACATTAAAGATTCAACGCTGCAGTCCTCAGGCTGATTATGTTGGAACTTATTTCTGACTGATATGTTTTACAGACAGTTGAAAGCACAGCGCGTGAATCTTTGGCGAATGATAAATTTAGTACACTCACAGCGACAGTGGTATGTACTTTTGAATCGTCCATCATGTATCATCCTCTTGATCATCCTAATGAAAGAAATTCATTGGTTAACAAATTATCCTGCAGAATTTCATTGATCTTGCTGGCAGTGAACGTGCTTCTCAATCGTTATCAGCTGGCACAAGGTTGAAAGAAGGTGGTCATATAAATCGAAGTTTACTAACATTAGGAACTGTTATTCGAAAGCTAAGGTTAGCCTGTGTAGCACCTTTAGCTTTATTGAAATTACCCAATTATGGCACCCCAGTCTGCTCTTTATTCTTCGAGTTTTATAAGTAAATTCCCTGTCTTGAAATATGGCTGAGCAGATTCAAGCTGAAACATATGATTTTTTAGTACCTGTTATTAGCAGATTGCTGCTATTAACATCTAATATATGTATTGTCTTTGAGTGGCTTCCTTTTACATTACTAAATTACGTGGCTCGCTTTATGCAGTAAAGGAAAAACTGGGCACATTCCATTCAGAGATTCAAAGCTGACACGCATACTTCAGTCTTCCTTGGGGGGAAACGCCAGAACTGCCATAATCTGCACCATGAGTCCTGCAAGAATTCACGTTGAGCAATCAAGAAACACATTGTTATTCGCAAGCTGTGCAAAGGAGGTGACAACAAATGCACAAGTCAACGTCGTCATGTCTGATAAAGTTCTGGTTAAACATTTACAGAGGGAGTTAGCTAAACTGGAGAGTGAGTTGAGAAGTCCTCGTCAAGCTCTTGTTGTGTCTGACACAACAGCATTACTGAAGGAAAAAGACCTCCAAATAGAAAAGGTAATGCAATTTACTTCAATCAACCTATCATGATATCTAAAAACCAGATGCTGTATGAGAGCTCACTTCCCTAATAAGTCTTTCGTATTACTGGGTAGCTGCATTCATACTGGTGATCGATTTAAATTTATTCGTAATATATTTTTCATGATCCATTCACTATAGAAACTTTATGTTCTTTTCATTATTTACAGCTAAATAAAGAGGTATTCCAACTAGCACAACAACTAGAGCGGGCGCATTCTCGGATTGAGGATCTCCAACAAATTATTGGAGAATTACCAAAAGAAGAGATACTATTATCAACAGACTTAGAACAGACAAATGTATGTCATCTTCATTTTCTATTTATTTTACCGAAAGCATGAATAAAACCCTTCAACTGCTTGATTTATTTTGGTATCCGTACAGGTGGTTCTGGGACATCAATACCCCAAGCTGCGGGTGCGCAGTTCATGGGAATCTCTGAATATAACACCAGAAAGCCCTGTATCAGCTCAACCGTCCAGTATGATTTCCCCACAATCAACCGAGCACTGTTCTGACGAGAACGTCTTCCAGCTTTCAGATTTAAGGATACATTCTGGTGCAAGTAGTCCAGGCCAACAACATTCGTTTGTAACTCCTGGGAAATTCACAAAAGTGCAACTTAATATTCGTGGGGCAGAAAGTAAAAACCAACCGCACATTCACAAGGAGGAATCTGTAGATCAGTCTCGTGTTCAAGAGGAACGATCTTCTGAAATGGACGAACCAAGTGAGGTGGATTCGGAAGATACTTGCACGGAACTTCGATGCATTGGAACAGAGAGTCCCGGTATCATCATGTATCCAGAGCCAAACATGCGTCCAGACCGTTGTGTGGCTGAGAGTGCGCTACCTGTATGTGTACCAGATTCAAAGAACTTAAGACCGCCAACAGAAACTGAAGAAGAAGAAGAAGAAGAAAGAGTAAAGGAAGTCAATGCTGTTTTTATCCAACCAAAGGAAAGAAGCGAATCCATCAAAGTCTCTCCACCCCGTGTTTTGACACTAACTGACAGAGCATTTCCTCAAAAGTCTTCTAACATAGCGTCTCCTGAAAAGCCTTATGCTCGGCAACTTAAGAGAGATTCGCAAACGGTAGGAGGCGGGGGGCATACTAGAAGCCGAAGCTGTGGAACAAGCTTGGTCTCGAGCTCTTCCTCTCCTTTGTATCAGTATGAGAGAGATTCTAACACACCACCAAGCTGGTATCAGAAAGAAAGAGCTGAGAGCAACCTGAAACCTTCCAACATCAAGAAGGCGCCATTACCAAAGCATTTTAGCCGGACGAGCATGCCAGCAAATTGGTTCGAGCAAAATTTTAACCGCACGCAAAGAACTCCAGCAGCTTTAGATGGTGCTAATAAGAGAAAGTCATCACCGAATGAATCACAGATGTCTCTCTCTGAACCTCCTCTGTATGAGCGTCAGACAAGTGGTAGACCTTCCATCAGGGAAGAGGAGGGTGAAGAGACTGCTCCTCAAAGGGACAAGCGAATCATTCATTTATCGGTTAGTTTACTTACTTGGTCAAGCGGAGCTTGCTTTTCGCTTACCTATACTTGATACGACCTTAAAATGTTGTCGTTATCTTGAGGGCTAACTCTATTATCAAATATGGCAGATGGAGGAAATAGAACAAAAGTTCTTGGCTCTAAGATCATCAAAGAGTTTCAAGGATGCTGCGGTGGACCCTATACAGGACTACTTAACCATGCCACTAAACTGGCCAACGGAGTTCAAGAGACTCGAGATGGAGATAATAGAGCTATGGCATGCTTGCAACGTTTCCATGGCACACAGAAGTTACTTCTTCCTTCTCTTCAGAGGAGATCAGAAAGATTGCTTGTACATGGAGGTAGAACTCCGTAGGCTCAAGTACATCAGAGAAACCTTTACTCACAATAACAAAGCTATTGAAAATGGACGCACTCTTACAACAATGTCCAGGTATATATATATTCATAACAAAAACACCTACCTTGCGTTTCTTTGACAATTTAGATCAAGAATTGTATTAACTATATGAGACGTGAAACAAAACAGCCTGAGGGCGTTGAACAGGGAGAGGTACAAGTTAAGTCAGCTGATGCAGAAGAAACTGACGAAAGAAGAGAGAGAGAATTTATTCTTGAGATGGGGCATTGCGCTGAACACAAAGCACAGGCGGCTCCAGCTAGCGCATCGCCTCTGGTCAGAGAGCAAAGACATGGATCATGTCCGAGAGAGCGCCTCTGTTGTTGGAAAGCTCATGGGGTTCGTGGATATGGATTTGGCGTCCAAGGAGATGTTTGGCCTCAACTTCTCTCTCAGACCCCGTCGCAAGAAATCTAGCCTGTGGAAACGCAGTGTTTTGTCTCTTTCCAATTTGTAATTAAACAGAGAAAGTAAAAAAGGGGTCAGATATCAGAAATCCAATTGATTCAATGCCGAGTACTGGACTGAAAGTGATGTGGCTTCTGTTATGATTCGGGCCTGAGACTGAGAGTCAGCGATCTCAAATGTAATTTCAAAATGCCAATTCGTCAAAAATGTGTAACATTCACTATGGTTTTTATATGTCAAGTGAGTTATGTCTGTGTTTCTGTAGATAAAGAGCCAATTCCAAGGTAAAGTAAAAGAGTCAATTTTGTTTGATGTAACTTAGGGGAGATACAAGACTAGAAAGAACAGAGGATGTGCTTCCTTTTCCCTTTTCATACAAATATCACTGTCCTTCATCCTCAATTCATTGAGGAAAACAAATTGGATAACTTTGACAAAAATACGACAAAAAACAACAAAACAAGCATTAAAGCCAAAAAAAAAACAAAAAACGAAATTTTCAATTCTATAAAAGCAGATTAATATGACTCCCTCTTGTATTAAGCGCAAATCAAGGTTGCTGCTGAGCATCCATGTAACCAGCATCCACAAGCACTTTCTCCCTCTTGGCAAGCTCAAGATCTTCGTCAACCATCATCTTCACCAACTTCTCAAACCCTACTTTCGGTTTCCATCCCAAAACCTCCTTTGCCTTGCTTGCATCTCCTTTGAGGTTATCTACTTCTGCAGGCCTGAAGTACCTCTTATCGATCTCCACATGATCTTTCCAGTTGAGTCCCAAGTACCCAAACGAAACCTCCAGAAACTCCTCCACCGTATGTGATTCCTCCGTTGCCACAACGTAATCGTCTGGCTTCTCTTGCTGCAACATCAGCCACATTGCCTCCACGTAATCCCCCGCGAATCCCCAATCTCTTGACGCCTGCAAATTCCCGAGGAAGAGCTTCCTCTGCAAACCCACCTTGATCCGTCCCAGGGCTCTTGTGATCTTCCTCGTCACGAAATTCTCTCCACGTCGCGGCGACTCGTGGTTGAACAGGATTCCGTTACATGCGAACAGACCGTAGGCTTCTCGGTAATTCACTGTGTACCAATGAGCAGCGCACTTCGACGCTGCGTAAGGAGATCTGGGATGAAACGGCGTCGTCTCCGATTGTGGTGGCGGAGTTGACCCGAACATCTCCGAAGATCCGGCTTGGTAGTACTTGATGCTCCGGCCACTGTCGGTGGTGTGAGATCTGACGGCTTCCAGGAGACGGAGAGCACCGGTGGCGACTACATCGGCTGTGTAATCAGGGATCTCGAAGGAGACAGCGACATGAGACTGAGCGGCGAGGTTGTAGACTTCGTCTGGCTTGATCACGTCGAGCCAACGGCGGAGCGACGAGGCGTCGGAGAGATCGGCGTAGTGGAGCTTCATCAGAGCCTTGTCGACGTTGTGGGGATCGATGTAGATGTGGTTGATTCGCTGGGTGTTGAAATTCGACGATCGGCGGATCAGGCCGTGAACTTCGTAGCCTTTTCCGAGGAGGAACTCAGTCAGGTACGATCCGTCCTGACCGGTGATTCCGGTGACCAGTGCTACCTTCCTCGGATGCGACGGCATTTCCACGGCGGTGGAATCAGCGTTGGGAGTGGTGACGGAATCGGATCTGGATCCGTTGTTTTCTGACGCCATTGATGGTTTTTGGATCTGGATTTCGCGGTGGGTCAGAGACACTACACGTCTGCTCTGTGTTGAATTGAGCTCTGAGTTTTTTTTATTTGTTTAAATAGGACAGAGACGGAGATGAAAGCTTGAAGACGAAGGTGGTATTTTGGTCATTTCATGAGGATTGAAGGCTATTTTGGTCAATCATCGTGGGTCTTTTATTTTCATTGTTGACTAATGAGATATTTTACCATTTTGAGCCTAACACGTTAATGGCTTACTTATTTTGCTGGTCAAACCAACTCATATATTATTGGTTTACTATAGAATAATCTTCGCAAACAATTCAAATCATTTACAGACTATACAAATTTGTAAGAAGATTGTTATGACAAATTTTACTTGTATTCTTTAGCAATATATAAAATCGAAAATTACAAGTCTTAAGGTTATATACCAAATTTGGTTTAGTTTTGTTGAATCTTGAAAGGAAAAATATCTTATCATGAATGAGGGTTCAATTCTTATCATGAATGAGAGTTCTTAAGTTGGATTTTTTTTTTTTTTTTTGATGGCCTGATAGAGTCATAGGTTGGATGAAATGTTTGGATGTTGACTCACAACCCTTAATCGTTATGTCAAGCTTACTTTTATAGGATTTGAAATAAGAACAATTAAATGATTCGACTGCCAAATTAGAAACGAAAATGGTTTTGTGATAGTCTGATAGTTTAGTCTTGCATAGGTTACTTATATCATATGGGGTGCTGAGTACGGTGTACACATTGGGTTAAAAGTATTGAGGTGGTCGTGTGCACCACACTAAGAGATTTTACGAGACATAAAATCATACGAACTTGATTGTTTCAGCATGGTTTGTAACTATAATTTATAGGCGTATGAAGTTGTTTCGTTACGTTGAGTTTATTGGGATATATATTCATCTTATAACATTGTATACATTCCTATGCAGGTAATGATACAAATTCCTTTTTGTATTAGGTAAAGTTAGCCTGGGATGTATTAAAATTATCCCCTAAAGATTTGTAATACAAGTCAATCGATATTCTCCGATTTTGTATTTGTAATGCATGCTTGGTATCATAGTCATCAGGTGCTAGAATTAATCATGACATCAAGCTGTACAGAATCATGTATCCTAGTTAGTACCTTATGAGTGTGTACAAATTATACAAATACATGTCTTTCACTCTGGATTACCTGAACAAAACATCTACGGGCTAAGGCCGGCTATGATAAGGCAACTGGCAACATACGTGCATGCTTCTTAATGTGTATCGTTGATATAATACTGATGATTAGTCGCATATAATCTCATAGACCAATAAATTGGACAACACACTGGACTACATAAATAGAAGATACTGTTGGTTAAGCTTGAAGACTTGTGTCACAAGTTATTCCTATTAGGATTAGGAGTCTTTATGTTTAGGAGTTATCTAAACATATTAGGAGTTATCTAGATATATTTGGTGTTATCTAAAAAGGAAAATTGGTTTTCTAATAGGATAAGGTTTGAGTCTATTATATAAGAAGATGTCGACTTGTGACATACTTATGAGTTTGAAGTTTTGAGAGCTTTAGTTTTGAGCAAGTTTCTAAAGCTAATAAAGAGAGCAATTCTTTATTAAACCTAAGTTCTTGATATAATACTTCTTTGATTTCTAGAATTGGTATCAGAGCAGCAACTAGAATTTAAGGAAGAGAATCTGTTACAATAAACAAACATGGGCGACATAATACCAGCAACCGATAAGATCAAAGACGGCGGAGGACCATCCTCCATCCAATGTCCGATGCTTACCACAACAAACTATACGGTTTGGTCAATGAGGATGAGAATTTGTCTCAAAGTACACAAAGTGTGGGAAACCATCGAGACAGAAAACGCAGATGAGGAAAAGAATACCATGGCAATGGCCTTGCTATTCCAGTCCATACCGGAGACTCTTGTTCTACAGGTTGGTGAACTTGATTCGGCGAAGAAAGTATGGGAAGCTATAAAATCGAGACATATGGGAGCTGAGAGGGTAAAAGAAGCACGATTACAAACCCTTATGGCGGAATTTGATCGATTAAAGATGAAGGATGATGAAACAATTGATGACTTCTCCGGCAAACTATCCGAGATCTCATCAAAATCTACTGCCCTAGGAGTGAGTATTGAAACACCGAAGTTGGTCAAAAAGTTTCTTAAGAGTCATCCTCGAAACAAATACATTCATATATAGTGGCATCTCTTGAACAAGTCTTGGATCTTAATACTACAAGTTTTGAAGACATCATTGGACGCCTGAAAGCATATGAAGAACGTGTCTTCGAGGAAGAAGAAGAAGCAAAGGAAGACCAGTCCAAACTGATGTATGCCGACACAGAAAAACGGGATTTCAATGGACAAAATAGAGGCAGAGGACGTGGAGGAAAGTTCTACTCTAGAGGAAGAGGCCGTGGATGTTTTAATGGGGAAAGAGATCAAAACACTGATTTATCAAAGATCACCTGCTATAGATGCGACAAACAAGGTCACTATGCTTCGAGTTGCCCAGATCGACTACTTAAATTACAGGAGACACAGGAAAACAACAAAGAAGATACCGAAGCAGCGGATGAACTTCTAATGCACGAGGTTGTTTACCTGAATGAAAAGAACTGCACACCAAGCAAGTATGAGGCAAATACTGGGGAAGAAAACCTATGGTATCTGGACAATGGAGCTAGCAACCATATGACAGGTGATCGAAAATATTTTTACAAAGATTGATGATTCTGTTACAGGAAAAGTACGTTTTTTGGAGACGATTCAAGAATCGATATCAAAAGAAAGGGATCAATATCATTTATTGACAGAAACGGAGAACCAAGATGCATGAAGAACGTTTACTTTATCCCGGACCTAAGGAGCAACATAATCAGCCTTGGTCAAGCCACTGAAGCCGGCTGTGACATAAGGATGAAAGGAGATTTCTTAACAATGCATGACAGTGAAGGGAAGTTACTTGTCAAGGCGAGCAGATCAAGGAACCGACTTTACAAAGTCCGAATGGGTATAACAGACAACGCGTGTCTACATCTATTCACCATGAGTGAGTCTAGTAGATGGCATGCCAGACTTGGGCATATCAACCTAGAAAACATGAAAAATATGATACAAAGAAAGCTTGTAGAAGGGATTCCACAGGTGAACATTGAAAAAGAGATTTGTAGTTCATGTTTGTTTGCGAAACAGACAAGACAAGTGTTTCCTCAAGCTTCTTTGTATCGAGCTAGTAAGAAACTTGAGCTCATTCATGGGGACCTTTGTGGGCCTATTACACCAAGCACAGCAGGTGGAAACAGATACATCTTCGTAATCATTGATGATTACTCAAGATACATGTGGACAGTTTTGTTAAAAGAAAAGGGCGATGCTTTTGAGAAATTCAGGAAGTTCAAAACCTTAGTTGAACAAGAATCAGGAACAAGTATACAAGCATTCAGAACAGATAGAGGAGGAGAATTCGTGTCTCAGGAGTTCAACTCATTCTGTGATGAAACTGGTATAAAAAGGCAGCTCACCGCACCTTATACCCCTCAACAAAACGGGGTAGTTGAGAGATGCAACAGGACACTAATGGAGATGTCGCAAAGTATTATGAAACACATGAAGGTGCCGAGTTATTTGTGGGGTGAGGCAGTGAGGCACTCAACCTATCTTCTCAATAGAGTAGCAACAAGAGCAATAAAGGACAGAACACCATACGAAGCATTCCGAGAGAAGAAGCCAAACATTAACCACCTTCGTATTTTCGGTTGTGTAGGCTATGCGAAAGTTGAGATGCCTCATCTGAAGAAATTAGATGACAGATCACGTATACGTGTCCACCTTGGAACTGAACCCGGTTCCAAAGCTTACCGAATGTTTGATCCCCAGAATCGGAAGATAGTGGTAAGCCGGGACGTCATATTTGATGAGACTAGAGGCTGGAACTGGAACTCCAAAGACTCAGATCATAACAGAGATGAAAGCTTCAAGATTGTATTTGGAGAAACTGGGAATCGCGGCATAAGAAAAGACGTCACAACAGAGTGTGAAACAGAGCCACAAGAAACAGAGCCACAAGAAACAGAGTCCCCTGGATACAAGAATGAAGAAAACGATCATGATGTCATAACCGCTTATGAACAGAGTCCCGGAACTGCAGAGGCTACGGAAGCGCAGCCGGAATCACCACTAGTCCTAAGACGATCAACACGAGTTCCAGTAAAACCAAGACACCTTGAGAATTTTGTCGTGCTTGCAGAAGAAGAAGGAGAAATGCTCTTGTTCTGTCTAAACGATGAACCAAAGAGTTTCTTGGAGGCAAAAGAATCAAAGGATTGGATGCTAGCTTGTGAAGATGAAATATGTTCGATTAAAAGGAACAAAACCTGGAGTCTCGTAGATTTGCCAGCTGGAGCAAAACCAATAGGTTTAAAATGGGTTTTTAAACTTAAACGCAACTCAGATGGAAGTATTAATAAGCACAAGGCAAGATTAGTTGCTAAAGGGTATGTGCAGAGGTATGAAGTTGATTTTGAAGAAGTGTTTGCTTCAGTTGCTAGACTAGAGACAGTTCGAATTTTAATCAGTCTTGCTGCTTCCAATCAATGGGAAATACATCACTTGGATGTAAAAACAGCTTTTCTCCATGGAGAATTAAAGGAAACCGTGTTTGTCACTCAACCTGAAGGCTTTGAAGAGAAAGGCTGTGAAAGAAAAGTTTATAGACTACATAAAGCCTTGTATGGTTTAAGGCAGGCCCCTAGAGCATGGAACAACAAATTAAACCAGATATTACAGGAGCTGAAGTTTGAAAAATGTTCTAAAGAGCCATCTGTATTTCGAAAGAAAGTGAGCAAGGAGCTTCTGCTATTAGCTGTCTACGTTGATGATTTATTCGTTACAGGTACAAACTCAACCATCATTGGCGATTTCAAGAAAGAGATGTCTCTGAAATTCGACATGAGTGATCTTGGAAAGCTAACATATTATCTTGGGATAGAAGTATGTCAGCAAAAGAATGGAATAACTCTACATCAAAAGCTATATGCACAAAAGATTCTAGAAGAAGCAGGTATGGAGAACTCTAATTCGGCTCACATACCAATGGAAGCTGGACTGCAGTTATCAAAGGCTGAAGAAGAGAAAGAAATCGATGCAACATGGTATAGAAAGAATGTTGGATGTCTACGCTATCTTTTACACAGAAGACCGGACATGTCTTTTTGTGTAGGAGTGCTGAGTAGGTATATGCAGAGTCCAAAAGAGTCTCATGGAGCTGCCATGAAACATTGCTTGAGATATCTGCGAGGTACCACCACCTTTGGTCTGATGTTCAAAAGCTCTACTCCAAGAATACCGAGGCTAATTGGTTACAGTGATAGTAGCCATAATGTTGATCTTGATGATGGTAAGAGTACAGCAGGACATGTTTTCTACCTTGGTGAAAGCCCAGTGTCTTGGTGCTCACAAAAACAGGACACAGTAGCTTTATCCTCTTGTGAAGCCGAGTTTATGGCTGGAACTGAAGCAGCGAGACAGGCAATATGGCTACAGGATCTACTTAGTGAGGTCATCGGCGCGACATATGAGAAGGCTCTCATTAGGATTGACAATCAGTCGGCCATCGCCCTCACAAGAAATCCTGTGTTTCATGGAAGGAGCAAACACATTCATAGAAGATATCATTTTATAAAGGAGTGTGTGGAGAATGGTCAAGTTGAAGTAGAGCATGTTTCAGGAAGCAAACAAAGAGTTGACATTTTGACAAAGACGCTTGGAAGAATCAAGTTCAAAGAGATGAGAGAGCTTGTTGGAGTTCAAGACTTAGAGTCAAGTGACTTCAAGCTTAAAGGGGAGATTGTTGGTTAAGCTTGAAGACTTGTGTCACAAGTTATTCCTATTAAGATTAGGAGTCTTTATGTTTAGGAGTTATCTAAACATATTAGGAGTTATCTAGATATATTTGGTGTTATCTAAAAAGGAAAATTGGTTTTCTAATAGGATAAGGTTTAAGTCTATTATATAAGAAGATGTCGACTTGTGACATACTTATGAGTTTGAAGTTTTGAGAGCTTTAGTTTTGAGCAAGTTTCTAAAGCTAATAAAGAGAGCAATTCTTTATTAAACCTAAGTTCTTGATATAATACTTCTTTGATTTCTAGAGATATGTGGTCAAGTCAATAGGTAAAATGCGATATAAAATTTCGGAAGTGGTTCAGAAAGAGCTTCAAATGTCCATACCTGGATCACGGGTTCCAGCATCTGACCATGTCTATGTATTGGGACAAGTGTTTTGTTGACAGTCATGTCATGTGCAATCCTCATCATGGACGATTGTGAGTTTGTGGGTTTAGAGTTATAACTTTATTTTCTTTGTAACGATTAAAACTTAGTTGTCGTTTAATGTGGGATTTTTATAATAATTGCAAGGCATATGATTTTTTAAGTTTTTTGTATGCATGTGATTTTTTTTTTTTTTTGGTCGAACCCCTGCATGCGATTATAACTCAATATAGTGCGTTAAAAAATAACTCGATCAATATAGTTGGTGATTATATTGAGACTCGATCAATATAGTTGGTGATTATAACTCAATATAGTGCGTTAAGATCCTAACGAAAAGGATTCCTAGTATCTACACCGTACCGTCGCATTTCGATAAAAGTCAATTAGGAGGCCATTGCCTTTGGTGACATTTTTTATACGATTTTTTGTATAGTAAAGTTCAAATTCACCGTTTTCGTCTCATAAAAACAGTTCTCAAAATAAGAACGAATATTGGAAATGATTTGCGCAGTGAAATACCGATACACTTGGGCCATTCTAATGATTTGGAAAATAGAAAGCCCGCCTGATAGTCCATATGATCCACACATCTATGAGGTGTGTAAGTCGCGTAAACTCTGAAGAGCCCATATCATAATATATCACCTGTGTGATTTTATTTCTTGTTTTTTTCTTTTGGGTTAAATGGGGCACCTGTGTGATCTAAAACAAATCAAGCTTCGCCAGCATGAAATAGGAATGCACATTTGTAGCAAAAATTAACTTACTAGTACAATACATATTTAGCAAAAAGAATACTTCGTCATGAAACAGATATGAACAATGATTTACTAGTACGATACATGTTTTTAACTTTTTTCAAAAAAAACGTCAGTTATTAACTACATAAATCATTGTTTATTTATTTTTTCCTGACACAAGTTTGCTTGATCTGACAATACATGTTTAGTTATTTTATTTACCGTGAGTGTCATTCTGCCAAATTCCAATAACATAGCTAAAAGGCTGTGTTCGATTTGACCCTACATGGCTACATACATTCTTTCATGTTCGTCACAGACTCACTTGAATTGACATTTTTCGAATATACCTAAAACATACGATTGACATTTATCTCACATCATAGTTTAGTTTTTTTTTTTAGTTTGCAGACAATAGACAAAATGAAAATTTTGTATAGCTGTAATTTCTCGTTTTGCTATATTCTGAAATGAAAATTTTGTATAGCTGTAAGTTTAAAATATTAGAAACGTTACGCTATCGAATACGATTCCCTTGATTATATTCGGAGTAGTTGAGACTCGAGCATTACACGCCATTCATTATTTAAAATTAAAAAGAAAACGAACTATATAAATGCAGTCTCTATAGTGACGTCGAAAAAAATAGACCACCGCAATTAAATAGAAGAGACCTTTCTAGGGTTTTCTGATTCGCGCTAATCCTCGCGCCGACGTCTCTTCACCTTTCTCTTTTCTCTCTACGATCTCTGACTCAAGATCCCGAATTTGACCTCATCTGTATTCGAATTCTTCGATTCCCCAAGTATTCTGTTAAAATCAAAATCTGTAGATCTAGCGAATCGTATTGGTCGCCTATTTCTATACCTGAGAATCTGATAAACGCGAATCGATTGACTTTTTTTTAAAAAAAAAAATTCAGATTTTTGTGTGACTGGTTTGTTCTTTGAGATATTTGATTTTATAATATGAAGAGATCGAAGAAATCCAGGGTTTCATGGCCACCGGGTCCTTTGCTTTGTCAGGTATATATATCGTATGTTCGATATTTTTATCAAGTTTTGTGATTTTGAATCCTGAATCCGAAAATTGATTAAATCATGTTATTATTTGTTTAAACTTGATACCGGATCTAAAAATCTCGATTATAAAGCAAGTTTGGATGTAAATCCGTATTATGAATCCCTTATCAATCCTCGTTAGAAGCAATTAACCTAATGGATTGATGCGATTTTCGTTGTTAATTAATTTAATTAATGTTTAATCCAATTGACAATAAACAAAACTTGGATTGTGAAAGGGACGAACTTGATGAGGAATTAAGTTCAAGTTTATCCTTAAAGATAACGCATATTGATAATGAGAAATAGCAAAAGTTACGATCTTTTATTTGAAATCTATAATTTTGTTGGAAACTTGAATCAAATATCAGTTGGATTTGGATCCGATTCATCTACACAGGATATGAAAAAGTTTTGGAGTTTTGAGAAAAGAATTGATGAATGTATCTATCTGTTACTCTGCAAGTATTAATCTTTGATAGATACCCATAAAGCCTGAATTGAGTTTGATACACGAAACCAGCTTTTTGTCAGCTCCTAACTATACGGATTGGAACAGGTTAAGATTTTTAGAACAGAAGACTGTCCGGCCAAAGTTGCTTCTCAGCCTCAACGTCATAACTTCACCAAGATATCATCTGGGAAACCTCGAGCGCCAGATCTTCCACCTGGTTTTGAAGGAAGTCACTATGCAGATAAGCTGAATGTCTCAAACATTCCAAGGATCAAATGGAAACGACCTCCTAAGGTATTATTACAGTTCAGAATTGGGAAAGCCTTTTGAAGTCTTTCTTATATCTGACGTTTAAGTGCCTTGGTGCAAAACAGTTTCTCGTCAATGATGCTTTGCTAATTGGAGATGGTGTTGAGAGCACAGAAAGGCGAACTGAAAACTTGAGAATCACAAAAGTGTTGGAAGCGATCTACCCGCATCGCTCTACCATCCCTTCTCGGTAATTTGCCTTCTTTTCTTGCTCCACAATACGTTTAGCTTACTCAACATTTATGTTGTTGTCTTACTGGTTGTCTTTTGTTTACACGCAGACCATCTGTTTCACCGGCTGTAGAAGCGGAAAGCTTTGATGACAGCAAAACTCCTGTTATTCGTCTCACTCCAATTGAGGACGAGTGGGAACCTGCAGAGGAATCAACCCACAGTGTGCTTGAATCCAACAAGCAAGGTCAGTTGGAGACTAAACCTCCCTCTTCACCCCAAGAACCGGTTTCTGTTTCTGGTCTTGCACCAGACTTGAGTCTGGCTGCTTCTGCAGCTCTGGCTGCACTGATGAAAACCAAGGAACAGGGGAGTATGGTTGATCCTGAGCTACTTATCAAACTCCTCACCGACCCGAAAATGATCAAGAACCTGATCACCGACACGACAGGTAAATTGTCTGAAACTGAGAATCAGCCTGTTGACACTGGTATCGACCCTACTAGACTTGTTCCTCAGCATTTCACCGCCTCAACCATGGCTAGAAAGCCACAGCCACCAGTAATAATACCTCAAAAACAGAGTCTTGCAGCTTCTCAGCCTTTAACGAACCCTGACCGGAGACGAGTGTCTCCACCCAAGCCTGGAAATGGAAACATAACCCAACTAAATCCTCCCCGTAGTATACCAATGCCCGTTCAGTTCTCTGTTGGCATAGCTACAGAACCATCTCTGCCAGCTCGGCTACCATCGAGTTCACTGCCAATAAGCCTTAACCTCCAGAGACCTCAACATGCTTTCTCAGAACCAAAGGTAATAGTAAAGCCTCAGCCTCAGCCCCAACCCCAACACACTTCTGCATTCCGCACATCTGAAATGAACAATGTTCAAGCATCAGTTGGATTTGGGAGGTATCCTCAAACCGGTTTTGATACGTATCCAATGAACTTAAATGGGGTTGATGCTAATGGTAGGCTTAAACCGATAGTGCAACCCTTGAAGGGTCTAGACTATTTCAAGAACCTTATAAGGGAACATGGCACAGTGAATCATGAAAATACTCAATACCATTCACAAACTGGGAAATTCAACGGAAGGTTTGATCAAATTAAGGTTCAGAAACAGTGCATCTACTATGGCACTGCGAGAGGATGTAAGCTGGGTGATAGTTGCGTCTATGTTCATGACCGAGTGAGACCCAGTTTTGAGGCCGAGGCTCCAAGGGCTAAGAGATTAAAGTTTGGTAGGTATGAGAAAAATGGCTTTTGAACATATAATCCTGACGCTGATTCATTTCCAAACCACATATTAGAATCTGTCCATCACTGGTTGAGTAAAAAAAACAGAACCCGAGGTGAAACCACTTTCAGTTTTGATTAATTTTTGTGCTCAAGATTTTTAAATAATTTAGCAAACTAGTTCTGTTTAAGAGCACCATAAAATGAGCAGACCAGGATTAGTAGTCCAAAATTCATGATACGGCGGCTATATGTTTAGAAGACTGGTTCAGAAATGTCGAGAATTACCTGGACAAAGATTAATAAAGTCATATTCTATTCAAGATACAAACCAATTTTGTATACGCGTAGTAAGAAAATCAACCATTCTAAAGATGTAGTTCTGAAATTACTTTTTTTTTTTTGGTGCCGTCTAAAAATTCATTGACGATGCATACAATAGAGAAGTTCTCAAAGACCGGATCATAAATCCAAAGACATTAACAAAGTCTTAACAAGCCACCAGAACCAATTGGAATCACAACTCACATATTTTCCAATTTGCTTCGTTTTTCTGATTTAGGTCAAGGAAAAATGGTTTCCTTGACACTTACCCCTCCGCAAAAACAAGCATGATTCTCACCGTTTCCTTGTGATCAATCACCGGCGGCCATTCCTTGTAAATTGTTGTTTTTATGCATCTCTAGGGTTTAATATATGAGATTTTGCTTTTAAACAATTGATATCTAAGATTTTGAAAATGCTAGAGAAAGATCGAAGATGTAGTAGAAGAGTAACGTAATAAATAAATTATAACTCTAACTTCTAAGGGTACAAAGCTCATAAGCTTTCAAAACAAAACAAAAACTGATCTCAAGGGTGTAATTAAGAAAAAAAAAAAAAACCAGCAAAACAAAATCCAAAGAAAGCAGAGAAGAGTGTGTCAAAGTCTAGCCTGCCTTGGCTGCTGCTGCGGCAGCTTGACCTCGGAGACGACCAGTTCTTCTTGCAGCAATTTGACCAACTTTTTGACCAGCAGAACTATCTCGCCTGACCGTACTGGCGTGACCAATGTGCTGGTGGTTTCCTCCTCCGTGAGGATGCTCAACTGGATTCATAGCCACACCACGAACCTTAGGCCAGCAGTTTCTCTTCACTCGGTACTTGTGGTATGCGTTTCCTGCCTTGAGAAGTGGCTTCTCTGTTCTTCCTCCACCTGCAACTTGCCCTATCATGGCTCTGCACCCACTCTGCACTATCTTCTTCGATCCAGAAGGCAGCTTAATCCTTTTACATAACACAAATATCATCCATGCGTGTTATTATCATCAAACGTAGGAAACAAGAAACTATACAAACAAAAACACTTCACATCAATACTTCTAGCGTGTCACACACGTTACCTAGTGGTGTCGTTGTCAGGATTGTGAGAAACGACGATTGCGTAATCACCGGAAGCCCTAGCGAGAGCTCCACGGTCACCGACCTTGAGCTCGACGTTGCAGACAACAGCTCCCTCGGGAACAGATCTAAGAGGAAGAACGTTCCCGACAACGAGATTCGCCTTCTTACCACAGTAGAGGAATTGTCCGGTGTACATACCTTCGGCGGCGACGAAGAGTTCCTTCTGCTTCATGTAACGGAAAGGATGACGGAAGTCGACGCGAGCTAACGGAGCTCCACGTCCTGGATCGTGGACGATCTCCGTCACAACACCCTTTAGATATCCATTTCTCTCTCCGTAATCGAGGCTTCGGAACTTAGCCGGACCTTTTCGGTGGTGAGTGTGCGACTTGAAGACCGAACCAGCCGCTCCTTTACGCTGTGCCCTAATCACACGACCCATTACGACCACGCTCTTCTTCTTGCCCTCTGCGCAAGCTATTGGGTTTTTGCAGCTACTCTGTTTATAAACCGTGCCTTCTCTGAAAACCCTAGTTCGTAGTGGGCTTTTGTATTGGGCCTACGTATAGTTTAGTTACAATTGCAAGCCCAGTGTGTTCTTTGATTGATAGTGAGAAGAGGGGGAAAAAATTGTGTATGTATATTTACTTATATCTTGATCGAAAAGAAAAAATGTCACAATAGTAACATAAATGAATCCCCAAAATTTATAACAAATAAATTTTGGGGATCTTATTACGGAGTGAATTAGTAAGACACATATGAGTAAAAGTGAGACGAGGATCGCTAGAAGTGGTTAACTAGACCGGTTTCTTGCAAAGAGCCAAGCAGCCAATGGAACCAGTGGCTTCATTTTCTTGGTCGTCTTTTTCACCATTGCTTGGCTCTTCTTCTCCTCTTTGCTCTCGATGACCTTCGTCAACAATGGTGGATTCGCAAACTTCACTGAACGCCTCCTCTCCAGACGATCATCATCATCTCCAAACCCTTCGTTTTGATCAAACCGGTTCATCTTGATCTCGGTTATGTTATCCGGTTCAACAACCGTGGATTGCTCTATGAATTTAAGGTCATCTTCAACTTGAGGGTGTTCTTGGAAGTTCCTGAGCGATTGGTTTAGCTTTTCCTTAGTGGTTTCAAGCTCTTGTGCGAGGGTCTCGAGAAGCTGAGACAAAACCTTGTTCTCTTCTTCTGCTTTCTTCAGACTCTCCTTTGCTTCATCCAGCTCAGCTTCTATGCTTTTGCTTCTAGTAACCTCATTACTAACTCCATAATCTCCATCGTTTCTCTAAACCACATGGTTAGAAAATCATTGCAAAAATATTAGATCATTGACACATATCTTACTTTGTTGTTATATGTTGATGTAACTATCTCCGAGGACTTGTTGATGTAACTTAAAAGAGTATACATTTATTTAAATTATTATAACCTCTGAGGACTTGTTGATGTAACTATCTCCGAGGAAAATTCTCTCGCCGAAGAGAGTGACGGCCTCTTTAACAGACCGAAAAGGAGCTCCGGTGTCGATCTCGGCGCGCACCATTTACTGCAGAGTTCAGTTAGTTCAAAGAAATGTTTTTGTTGCTTTAGTTGTATCATGTAATGTTTTGGGTGTTGGTCCATGCCCTGACGAACCAATCAGCTTTTTATAAAGAAAGAATCAATCACCTTCCAAAATATTGCAATGCAACTACTGGTTGCTGTTACTAAAACGGATGGTGACTCGTTTAGTATAATTGACCACGTTATGATTAAATTTTGTGATCATATTATTGTCATTTCATTCATAACACCAAAGTCGAAATCCAACTAAATGACAAAAATTATTGGAAGTTGTTGATTTGTTCGTGGTGCTTGTGTGTTTTTTTTTTTTTTTAATATAGCAACAGAATATAGTTGAAAATGTCTTCGCTTTTACTTCACACAAAAATATAACTTTGGGTAAATGGAGAGTAGAGAGGTTCGTTGGAACGTCCTTGCGTTTTCATGTGTTCTGTTAGATTTTTATTAATCCCATCCTCAATTCGATAACGACCTTTCGCCTATTCTCTCTTAAATGGGCCCTTTTTAGGCCTGTTTATGTAAATGCAATTTTGTTAATTGTATTCGTGACGGATACAAATTAGCCCAACAGAAATTGGGGGAAATCGAGATGATGATAGATAATGGGTTTGAATCCCTTTCAATTGCAAAATTTCTTTGGACTATATACAATCTCCTCATAATGATTTAACCTCTAATGCGCTAGTTACCTTAATGACTGTTTGTTTTATTTTTTTAATCTACAAAAGTACCAAGTACAAACTCACACATCACGATGAAAAATCAAGCTGTTGATATAGTACTAGTAAAAAAACTAATACATTACAAATCCAATAATTTTGACTTTTCACAGTGTAAAGAAAGGTTTGGATTATGTATATTGTTAAAAGAAAGGTTTCTTCTCTCCTCAGAGGGATTATGTAACAACCATGAAAAATTGCATTTGGATTGTTTTTTTCTATGAACCAGAACAATCTATGCCATGTAAATCTTCACCGATCGCGATCAAGTTTTAATTCATTTTGGATAAAAAGTCATTTTTGTGTTTTGTTTTTAAGTACATGCAACCATTTTGGAGACGTGGCTTTAAATTCACCGTAAAAAACGTATAACTATATTAAGCATGCATGGTGTAAAAGAACTGTAATAAAAATGTACATATCACCTAAAGAATACGTTGGATTGTAGCAAAAAAAGTGTATGGAAGAGATGTTTTTTGAAAGTTATAATTTTTTTATTTTTTTTTAATAGAAATTAAAGACAGATGCACTTAGGTAGTTGAGTTACCATATGTTCTAGAAACAGAAGAGGAAGTACAATCGTGGTAGGTACCCAGCGAACTCTTCTCGTTCGTCAGTCTTCACAAGCTTTGAAAGGTTTTTCACCTACCAGTCCCTCCTTATATATATATTCCTAACATCTTCTCTCTTTCTTTTTATAATAAATTAGCCTTTTGCCTAAGTAACTATCACTATCCGAGAATATAATTAATTAAATATGGCTCCAGGAACTCTCACTGAGCTAGCCGGAGAGTCTAAGCTCAACTCTAAATTCGTCCGGGACGAGGACGAACGTCCCAAGGTTGCCTACAACAAGTTTAGCAACGAGATTCCGGTGATCTCTCTCGCCGGAATGGACGATGTTGGTGGGAAAAGAGAAGAGATATGCCGTCAGATCGTTGAGGCTTGCGAGAACTGGGGCATTTTCCAGGTGGTCGATCATGGTGTCGATACCAATTTGGTGGCTGATATGACTCGTCTAGCTCGTGACTTCTTTGCTTTGCCTCCTCAAGAGAAACTTAGTTTCGACATGTCTGGTGGTAAGAAAGGTGGCTTCATCGTCTCTAGTCACCTTCAGGTAATGCCACACAATTTATCTTAAGTTTTACGTGATTCCAACTTTGTTTGTTTGTTTCTTTTTTCTTTAACCAAGAAACTATTGACCTAGACCTAATGTTTCGTGCCGTGAAATACAATTAGGTTTAATCTTGTAGCTAAATACAAAATAGTGATTATAAATGCAGGGGGAGGCTGTTCAAGATTGGAGAGAGATAGTGACGTACTTCTCGTACCCGGTGAGAAACAGAGACTACTCAAGGTGGCCAGACAAGCCGGAAGGGTGGGTGAAAGTGACGGAGGAGTACAGCGACAAACTGATGGGTTTGGCTTGTAAGCTTCTTGAGGTTTTGTCTGAAGCTATGGGGCTCGAGAAAGAAGCACTTACCAATGCTTGCGTCGATATGGACCAAAAGATCGTTGTGAACTATTACCCTAAATGCCCTCAGCCTGATCTCACCCTCGGCCTCAAGCGTCACACTGATCCTGGAACCATCACTTTGCTTCTCCAAGACCAGGTCGGTGGGTTACAGGCCACACGCGACGGTGGGAAAACATGGATTACGGTTCAGCCTATTGAAGGAGCTTTTGTCGTCAATCTCGGCGACCACGGTCACGTGAGTACTCTCTCAACCTCTCTCTCACACTCTGGTCTTATTTTCTCCGTTTGTTGATTTTGACTAGGGCAAAAATTGCATGTCTTATTAAAGTATTTGAGCAACGGGAGGTTCAAGAACGCGGATCATCAGGCGGTGGTGAATTCTAACTCGAGCAGGCTATCTATAGCGACATTTCAGAATCCAGCGCAGGAAGCAACCGTGTATCCGCTTAAAGTGAGAGATGGAGAGAAACCGATCTTGGAGGAGCCAATCACTTTTGCAGAGATGTATAAGAGAAAGATGGGGAGAGATCTTGAGCTAGCTCGCCTCAAGAAGCTGGCCAAAGAAGAACAAGACCAGAAGGAAGCAAAGCTGGCCAAAGAAGAACAAGACAACAAGGAATCAAAGCTGGCCAAAGAAGAACAAGATCACAAGGAAGCAAAGCTGGCCAGAGAAGAACAAGACAACAAAGAAGCTGCCACTTGTCTCAAGAAGCTGGTTAAAGAAGAACAAGACCACAAGGATGATGCCACTCGCCTCGAGAAGCTGGCTAAAGAAGAGCAATACCGCAAGGAAGCTGTCAAGCCTCTGGAACAAATCCTCGCTTAGAATCCTTGTTGCTCCTTTTACTAGGATTTGGTTTCGGTTTGGTTATGTAATTTTTTTTCCTTTATATTTTATGGTCAGGTTTGTGTTACCATTTCAATCAAATAGAAATAATTGATAGATCAAATGAGGTACACATCACATGCCACTGTCACTGTCACTTGTACTCGCCGTGTCAAGTTTAATGTCTGAAGCATTTATTAATTAAATAATACACCAAGCTCCAAAATCTCTTCCAATTCGTGTGGATGTATAAATTGTTTATTAAACCATGAGTGGACCCCACATTTTATTTATTTATAGTCTCTTTACGCCACATGTCCATCTAAAAGAAAGTTACCTTGAAAATTGAAAATCTTCCCTTTTTCAGTTTTCGATTTTTTTTTCGTCTCTTTCTGAGTAATTTTGTTCTTGTTCTAAACGAGGACGCGGCGGAGATGAATCCTTCTCACGGTGCCGACGGGAAGCAACGATCGGCGATATATCCTGAAATCGATCAATCCATTCCGGATAATCCCTTTGCTCAGACGAACCCTTACGCCGCTTCTTCTCATAATCTCTATCCATCTCCCTCCTCGCACAATCTGGGGCCCAATCTTTTCCCAGACCACGGAGATGCATCCAACAACCAGTCACCGTCTGCTCCTCCTCAGGCGACGGAGGAGGTTCTCATCCGTTTCCCTGGCGCCATTCTCAACCTTATCGACAAATCCTACAGCGTCGAACTCGCTTGCGGCGATTTCACCGTCGTTCGAATCGTCCAGGGCCAGAACATCGTCGCAGTTCTGGCCAACGTCGCGGACGAGATTCAATGGCCGTTAACCAAGAGCGAGGTTGCTGCGAAGGTTGATGGATCGCATTATTTCTTCTCGATCCACTCGCCGAAGGAGAAAGGTCACGGATCTGGATCCGACTCAGATGATGAGAAAAAGAGTAATTCAAAATCGGAGGATGAAATCCTCAATTACGGATTGACCATTGCTTCGAAAGGGCAAGAAAATGTATTATCTGAGCTCGATCGGGTTCTTCGGGACTATTGTTGTTTCACAGAGCAGAAGATGTCTGAAAAGGCAAAGGAGACGGGAGGAGAAGTGCTGGGAAACTCCATGGCTGCAGCGACTTCGCCGGAGGAGCTTAAGGGTGAGAGGAAAGACGTTGTGGAGGGTCAATGTGCGGCGTACTGGACCACACTCGCGCCTAACATCGAAGATTACAGTAGCAAGACTGCTAAACTGATAGCTTCTGGGTCAGGTCAGCTGATTAGAGGGATACTTTGGTGTGGGGATGTAACCGTGGAGAGACTCAGGAAAGGAAATGAGGTTATGAAGAACAGGCTGAGTCGTGCTGAAAAGGATAAGAATGTTAGCCCCGAGACACTGAGGAGAATCAAGAGGTATGGTGATGTTTCGTTCCATGAGAACTTCTGGCCATTACTCTTACTTAGGAATTTAGCATCTTTGACCTTGAAAAAATTAACTGCCCAGGAAAACTCTAATCTTCTTCTTTGTGTCATGATCATTAGACAACTAAGTTGTAGGAGATGCTTTTGTTTGCAGAAGGCCACTCCTCTGAGAAATGATGAGAATTCTTTGGTTTAAAATGTCTAATCAATGTGCATTCTCATGATAGTATTTCTTGAATGAACAACTTTGGTGCTAATCTCTCTAGCGCGGTTTCTATGTAAAGGGTCATCTGAGTAACATAAATAAATAGAAATGCACATTCTCGTGATAGTATTTCTTGAATGAACAACTTTGGTGCTAATCTCCCTAGTGCGGTTCAACTTTGGTGCTAATCTCCCTAGTGCGGTTTCTATGTAAAGGGTCAAGTGAGTGACACAAATAAATGGAAGTTGTTGTTAAGACATACAATGCACATTCTCATGGTAGTATTTCTTGGATGAACAACTTTTGTGCTTGTGCTAATCTCCCTAGTGCGGCTTCTATGTAAAGGGTCAAGCGGGTGACACAAATGACAGAGAAAGTGGCGACTGGTGTACTTTCCGGTGTTGTCAAAGTCTCGGGATTGATCACCGGTTCAGTGGCAAACTCAAAAGCTGGAAAGAAGTTTTTTGGCCTCTTGCCCGGAGAGATCATTCTTGCATCCCTCGATGGATTTAGTAAGTAGATTAATTGTTTTTGGTTTCCCAAAATTTCAATCCCGTGCTTAAAAGGGTCATGGAAACACTTCTTGCTTCATGAGTTCCCTTGCTTTCTTTCGTATCACCAACATTTATGCTTATTTGTCCAAGTTTCCTTCTATGACTATTTTCCCATCGTTTTTCCAAAGTTTTTTTCGAATATGACATTTTCCAGAAGTTCCTTGATTTGGTGTTGCTTCCTGCCTTGAGAAATATAGGCTGATAAAGCCCTGGAAATTTGCCAAACGAAATATAAACATTTTGGCTTATTAACTGGAGGGTCTTCATCATAGATGAACGTGATCTATGTGTTTTCTTTCTTCAACTTCTTTGATTTACCTACTTCTTTTTTGAGGCACTTGACATTAGTAACATTGCCTTCTTTGAGTTCGTGTTTATGACATGTTTACTTCCTGCAGGCAAGATCTGTGATGCTGTTGAAGTGGCTGGAAAAAACGTCATGTCAACTTCTTCAACTGTCACAACAGAACTCGTCAATCACAAGTATTGTTTTTCAGTGTCATATGAAAATAGTAACATATATCAGCAAAGAGTGATCTCCAGCAAATGATCAAAGTTTGCAACAGATGTTAAAGAAACCTCATGGATTTTGCTGTGAGATTTGCAGGTACGGTACAAAAGCAGCCGAGGCTACTAACGAAGGGCTGGACGCAGCAGGACATGCTTTTGGAACCGCATGGGTTGCTTTCAAGATCCGAAAGGCACTTAACCCCAAAAGTGTCTTAAAGCCTTCAACATTAGCCAAGTCCGCTGTTTCTGATTTGAAGGCTAAGAAAGGTTCTAAGTAACAGCTTTATTGGGAAAGTAAATGAAGTATTCATGCTTGCATTTAGTTTATCTATATGAAGATTTACTTGATGTACTCTTAAATTTTAGTGTTCTCTGTGTATATTGTTGATTCTATGTAAACTGTATATACAGATTTTTTTAATTTACAGTAGCTGTCTCAGTTCTGAGTTGGAATTGTTGGTTCAAAGTCAGATCTTTGAAGATTGAATAAAAATTTGGAAAACGTGAAATCGTTTTGTTGCATTATCAGCCTGTTTGACCTTCTTGCTTCAAATCTTAACTGACATTTTTCGCAGAGCACCATAATCAGCCATGAGAATAGATGTTCTGTGTTCATGGTACTTGTTGGACCTATGAGTAATGAGGCTCTGACAATTATCTTTATTGTTTCTGGTTATTTATGGATCGATGTGGAATGTTTCCTAATGTTTTGAAATCTTTACATACTTTTTGTCATCCTGATGAACATAAGATGAAGAGAATAACTGTCGGAAATAAAATCATGAAGTGAATAACAACATAAAAGACTGATCAGCTGACATCAACTTTCATATCTAAAAGAATGCATGGTATCACAATAGTCTTGAGCCAACAAAAATTCGATAAGCAAACAACAAGATCCATTGAACGCATAATTTTTAATTTTTCTATAATTTGCAATACAAAATGGTTTCGTGGTGTAGTTGGTTATCACGTCAGTCTAACACACTGAAGGTCTCCGGTTCGAACCCGGGCGAAGCCAATATTATTTTTCTAAATTTTATTTTGCAGAAATTCAGAACAAAAAAAAAAAACGTTAATAAACCCTAGAAGGCTTTAAAAGTATCTCTACTTCTCTAGCGTTTGGATATTTTCAGAGGAAGGGACTGTTGTGTTCACAATCAGAGTAAAACATCGCTTCTGAGGTTTCGTTTCTAGCATAAGCTTTCTCCGTCTTGAAGGTTTGTATGGATCGATGCATCTACTTGGGATTAGTCGGGATTTAGATCGTATCCAGTCGGCATCTACCTGCTGCGTCGATGGCCATATTGTTAACTTTAAAAGTTTAATTTTAAATTTTGTTGTTGATCCTGGGTTTTCCATATTCATTCAGTATATTACAGCAATTTGAGAAATTCTAATTTTTTCTCAGCCAGGTTGAATAAGCAGAGTAGAAAGGGTCATACACTGAGGCGTAAAGGATGAAGCTTGACGTGAATGTGTTGAGATATCTTTCGAAAGATGATTTTCGAGTTCTCACCGCAGTGGAGATGGGAATGCGAAATGTCAGTGTTTTTTTTTCTGTTCAATTAAATTTTAGGGTTTAGGGTCTCTGATTGTGTTACCATTTGCTTTTTCTTTTTCTGATAATACTTCGTTGTTCGTGTTTGCAGCATGAGATTGTTCCTTCCGAGCTCGTAGAGCGCATTGCTTGTCTAAAGTATGCCCTTTCTTGATGCTTTGAATGTTTCCTTTTTCATTAAGTTTACTTCTTCGTTTTGATGATTCATATTATGTAATTCACCTACAGGCATGGAGGCACATACAAAGTCCTGAAGAACTTGCTCAAGTATAAGCTGTTGCATCACGACAGCTCTAAATGTGAGTACTTATCTGTAGAGGAATTAGTAATTCTTCTGTTTGGCAGTCTTTTAAATTCGCAGAATCTAATTGTTGTTGCTTTTATTTTCCCCCTCTAGATGATGGATTCCGACTCACATATCTCGGTTACGACTTTCTTGCCATTAAAACATTGGTCAACCGTGGTATATTTACCGGTGTTGGTCGTCAAATTGGGGTCGGTAAAGAGTCAGGTAAGTCTTTTACCTGTTTATTTTGATACATTGGTGTGTTGAAGAGGTTGTGGTCGGTGTGTTGAAGAGATTTATGGATTATTTTGCATATAATAGACATATTTGAGGTCGCTCAAGAAGATGGAACTATTCTGGCAATGAAGTTACATAGACTAGGGAGAACCTCCTTTAGGGCTGTCAAATCTAAACGTGACTATCTGAGGCATCGCAGTAGTTTCAGCTGGTTGTACCTCTCCCGTCTTGCGGCTCTCAAGGAGTTTGCTTTTATGAAGGTTATTTTCTTGTTCCGTTAATGTTACACTATTCTTGTATGTGTATCATCTTTTATTATTTTTCGGCCTAATGTTTGTTTGGCTTTTGGGTGAGCAGGCCTTGGAAGAACATGACTTTCCGGTTCCAAAAGCTATTGACTGCAATAGGCACTGTGTTATCATGTCTCTTGTGCAAGGCTACCCCATGTAAGGACATTTTCATATTCACTTAAAGAAAAGATGTTATGATTTCTTGCTAGACATCATCTACTGATGCTTTTTGGTTAAATATTTATTTTAGCTAACTTTATGGATCTTATGCATTGCATTCGAGATTCCTAAAATGTTGATCCATATGCTTATCCGCGCACTAGGAAACAGTTGTACCCTTTCTGCTGTGAATCACATTCTCTTCACATTTTTATTTATGACAGGGTTCAGGTGAAGCAATTACAGAACCCTGAGACAATTTTCGAGAAGATCATTGGCATTGTTGTTCGTTTGGCTGAGCATGGTCTAATTCATTGCGACTTCAACGAATTCAACATCATGGTGAGATACTACGATTCATCTATTTGATTAATGCCTGCATGCAATTATGTGATGAGGCCTCGTTATTTGAGATAATAGTTACTTCTGCAAGCATGCTAGCTTTTTCCTCTGCTTGCTAATAAATTTCATCGACAATTTTTGTTTATCTATGGTTATATTAGATTGATGATGAAGAGAACATTACGATGATTGACTTTCCACAAATGGTATCTGTTTCACACCAAAATGCACAGATGTATGTGATTTCTCATCTCTGGATCATGCCTCTGTCCTCTTTTTTTTTCATTTCCCATGATTGTTTCTTGGTTTGTTTATGAATTTTGTCTTTCAGGTACTTTGACCGTGATATCGAATGCATCTTCAAGTTTTTCAGAAAAAGGTTAGTTACCAGTTGATTTTTTTTTTTTTTTTTAAAATCTATATATCATTTGTTCACAGTACCTGATAGCACGTAATCTCATCCGTATATTCTCCTTTTCTGTGAACTCTGGTCCTTTGTTCCAGGTTTAATATGTCCTTCCAAGAAGATAAAGATGAGTCAGATGAGACAGAGGTGGAAGTAGATGAAAACAGCAGACCATCTTTCTATGATATAACAAAAAATGCTAATGCTATGGATAAAGAACTGGAAGCTAGTGGATTCACAAAAAAGGAGCAGAATGACCTCGATAGAGTATGTAAGCCGATGAATTCAGTAATAAGACTCCTTAATATCCGGAGCTGTATATACTCAAAGAAAGATCTTTAATTGGTTGATTCCTCACTCCTTTTGGTTCTATCTTGTGCAGTTTATTGAAGGTGGGCAGAAGAAGAGTAAAGATTCTGATGAGGATGAGGAATCTGATGATGAAGAACAGACTTTTGAGTCAAATGAAGAAGAAAACCTGAATGAAATGAAATCATTACAGTTGCAAGAGAAGGTAATAAAAGTTACCAATTTCAATCATATAAATGAAGCAAAAGCTGAGTGGAGATGTTCTCAGCTTTTGCGTGTCCTCCTCGCGCTTACGATTATATATGCTTGGCATGATGTAGGAACAAAATAATTCAGATGGTGTTGAGGCAGAATCTAAGTTGGATAATAATGAGAAAGGTGAAAGCAATGGAGATAAAGATGATGTTGGAAGTGATGAGGTTAATTTTTTAACTCGTTAGTGATACAGAGTGAGCAAATCAAATCACTTCAACATATATTGATGTTCCTTCCTTTGTGCAGGAGGAGGAAGAGGATGATGCAGAGCTGGTTAAAAAATTGGGCAAGCAAAGACGCAGAGCCATGGCAGCAGCCAGGGGAGGTAGAAAGTCACAGTCTTCAAGAAACACGTACAAGGACAAAGGAGGCCGTTCCCAAAACTCCAAGATCCACAACAACATGAGCGGCTGGTGAAAGCTTTTTTACAGCAGTTTTGATACACAATGACAATCCCTGTCCAACTATGGGTTTAATGGGCCTTTTAATGATGTAAACGGGCCCATATTTCGAGCATCTAGTGACTTTTTCCCGATTCGTCTAGATTCCAGTGTACGAAAAGACAGAAATCTAAACTATTATGGATATATATGTTTTATAAATTAATATCATCTCAAATGCGATTTGTCCAAATTTGTTGGATTTTGTTTTGGAGGGGCGGAAATAAAAAATACAAGCAAGTCAAGGGAGTAGATGAGAAACGCTCCCTCAATAAGCGGAAAGAGAAACAAATAAAAAAAGATATACACAAAATACAACGCAACGGCTAGTGATCTCAACGGTCAAAAATTTAAAACCTTTAATAATTCCGATCTCTCTCAAGCCGTCTTCTTAAATCTCGACTTCTTCACACATCACTCTTCCGCCTGAGATTCTTTTGTCTTCTTCTTCTTCCTCTTCTCCACTCACTCCAAAGATGATGAAAGATGTATTCAGACCGACCAAATCTGCTCCGAGTTCTCCTGCAAAGCCACTAGGCATCTCACGCACTCGGTCTGAATCATTTCATGCTATCCACAAAGTTCCTATCGGAGACAGTCCTTATGTCAGGGCCAAAAATGTTCAGGTGATTGATCAGAATTATATCCTTTTATTTAGATCTGGATCACAAGGACTCTGAACTTGTGTTCTGGATTTGATTTTGCGTTTTTGTTTATATCTGATGGATTGTTTTGCGATTGATTATGGATTCAGTTGGTGGAGAAGGATCCAGAGAGAGCTATTCCTCTGTTCTGGTCTGCCATTAATGCCGGAGATAGAGTGGACAGTGCTCTGAAAGACATGGCCATCGTGATGAAGCAGCAAGATCGCGCTGAAGAAGCCATCGAGGCCATTAAGTCTCTCAGAGTCAGGTGTTCAGATCAAGCCCAGGAATCACTTGACAATATCCTCCTAGATTTATACAAGGTCCTCAATTCACACATTTTCTTATGTTTCATTTCGCAAACTGCTTCATTTTGTATTGAGATGTTGATTGAATTGGATTGTTTGTTGCAGAGATGTGGGAGATTAGATGATCAGATTGGACTTTTGAAACACAAACTCTTCTTGATACAAAAAGGTCTCGCCTTTAACGGTAAACGAACCAAAACCGCTAGATCTCAGGGAAAGAAATTTCAAGTCTCTGTGGAGCAAGAAGCCACTCGGTTACTGGTAAGCAGCAATTCAATATTTGCATATCGATTGTAGGCTTGTAGCAGTCTCAATTTCTGAATTCTAATTGAATGAAAACGTTTCGAAACAGGGAAACTTAGGATGGGCTCTGATGCAAAGAGACAATTTCGTTGAAGCTGAAGATGCATACAGGAGAGCTCTATCAATAGCACCAGACAACAACAAGATGTGTAATCTCGGAATCTGCCTTATGAAGCAAGGCAGGATCGATGAGGCCAAAGAGACATTACGGCGTGTGAAACCAGCGGTCGTGGATGGTCCTAGAGGAGTGGATTCACATCTGAAAGCTTACGAGAGAGCGCAACAGATGCTCAATGATCTTGGATCCGAGATGATGAGAAGAGGAGGGGATGATAAAGTTGAGCAGAGGAGGCTTTTCGACGCAATGTTCGGGTCTTCTTCTATATGGCAGCCTCAGCCTTGTAGAGAACAGAGCATGAAGCCCATATCGAAGCCGGATTTGAGCAACGATGGATACGCAGACGAGAACGTGAAGAGGAGTGTGAATCAAGTAGTAGTGAACCCTTTAAGAGTGGATGCAAAGCCCTTCTTCTCTTCAAAGTTGATCAGCAATAACGAGAAGCTGAAGAGAACGAGATCGTCGAGCCAAACGATGGGAGTGTTGAGTTGTGATGAGGGAGAGACAAACACGAAAAGAAGATTGTCAATGGAGAAGAAAGCAACAGACTGTGGATTACCAGACAACAAGGAGTTTGAAGAAGCGATGATTATGGCTGTTTTGGGGACAGAAACGAAAGTGGACAAGAAGAGGAGGCTCAAGGTCTTTCAGGATATCACTTTGCCCTCCCTTAGCCCAAGAGCCTGAGTTATTATCTATCAGTTCAGGATCTCTAACCAATCTATTTTTATCATTCTAATTTATGAGTTCTCTAAGTAAAGTTATTGATGATGCAAAAAAGGAGATGAGCTCTTGTTCTCCTTGGTAATTTATTATCAATGTTTTTGTCAGCTTAAAGTTTGCTACATTTTTATTTATTGTTCACAATTATTGTCATTGACCAATAATAAAAGTGAAAGTTGTTATGTTCTTTGCCTATCTAGATTGTAGCTGATAATAATAATACTATTGTAGATGTTAAAAACTAATGAGAGAGACAAAAAGAGAAGAACAAGAGTATATGTGTTCTTGTTCCACATGTTATAAATAATTTAATACTGAGTGGTTACCATTACTCTTCTCTCTCATTCATCTACCCAAATCTTATTAGTGCATCACCATTGGATACAATTGTTCCCTTTAATCTTTTGATTGACCTCTCAACTTTTGTGGTTAAGTTTGTCGAAAAATTAGGGGAAATTTAAACAATTAATGTGTATATACTATATATTATACCAATTTGGTCTCTTCTGCTTACAATTAATGAAAACGCTTGCCCGCTTGGCACTAAAGTGTAGTTAATACTTACGCCTACACTTTAAATTCCGCCAAAATACAGCCGTTGAATGATATTAGGTTCCGGAAGTGCCCTCTTTATTCTAACCATGACAAATGAAAATGTTGTAAAAACATAACCTTTATTTTGGGGTGAAACAGTTAACAACACCTTTTTCTTTTCTAATCTCTTTCCAATAGATTCTCTATTTCAAAGTTTTGGCATTTTTGGTATCCGCATTAATTCGAGTCTCACAAACTGAGAAAAGTTCAAAAGTAGTAAACTTTGATATATCCATGGTACAAATTGAAAAATAAAGGTTATTTTGGTCAAGTGGCACTGTTTGGGAAGAAAAGAAAGAACAAAAAAGAAGCGATTTTTAATTGGAGGAAAGGGCTCTCCGTCCAAAGCCTAAGGTAAAAACTGAAAAAAGAAGTCCCAAATTCCAACTACATTCCTCAGGAGAAGCCAAAGTACCTTCAAAAGCCAAACCCCTTCTCTATCCTTTCTTTTTTCTTTGAAAAAAAAATATCATCAACCTCCACATCTAAACTTAAAGTTAAATCCTTTGAGTTTCAGATCAGGACAAAGTTAGGATCTTTTCTTTTTTGCTTTTTCTTTTTGGTTTAATTTTGACACAAACGAGGTAAGCGCACTTCTATCACTTCATAAGTAGAAGAAGAAAAAATGGGGTTTGTGGGTAGAGTGTGATATCAGTTCAGATTTGTTAACAAGTCGAAGAACATAAGAAAAAAAGATTTTTTTTTTCTTTTTCTTTTTGTTTTGGATGCATGGTGAAGAAGAAGAAGTAGAAGACCCACTAAAATTTTCAGACAAGAGTTTTTTTTTTTTTTTTTTTAAATGGGTTGTTGTCAGTCAAGAATAGATAGAAAAGAGATAGTGTCTCGTTGCAAAGCGAGGAAGAGATACTTGAAACAGCTTGTCAAAGCTAGACAAACTCTCTCTGTCTCTCACGCGCTTTATCTCCGTTCTCTACGCGCCACCGGCTCTTCCCTTGTTAACTTCTCCTCCAAAGAAACCCCTCTTCACCTCCACCACAACAATCCTCCTTCTCCATCTCCTCCTCCTCCTCCTCCACCGCGTCCTCCTCCACCTCCTCTAAGCCCTGGCTCAGAGACCACTTGGACCTCCACCACCACTTCCTCCGCTCTTCCTCCTCCGCCTCCTCCTCCACCACCACCTCCTCCTCCGCCTTCCTCTACATGGGACTTCTGGGATCCGTTTATTCCGCCTCCTCCTTCTTCCTCCGAGGAAGAGTGGGAGGAAGAGACAACCACCGGAACAGCCGCCGCAACCGCCACCGGAACTGCTTCTGACGCTACTGTCACGACGGCTCCGACGTCAGCTACTCCTCAAGGCTCTTCGGTGGTGAGTGGATTCTCTAAAGATACAATGACGACGACGACGACGACAGGAAGCGAGTTAGCAGTTGTGGTGTCGAGGAACAGTAAAGATCTGATGGAGATTATTAAAGAAGTCGATGAGTATTTCCTTAAAGCTGCTGATTCCGGTGCACCACTCTCTTCTCTCCTTGAAATCTCAACCTCTATCAACGCCACAACAGCTCATACCAAAGGAGGTAAAAGATATCAATCAAAGCCTTTGTCTTTCTTCTTCGTAACGGTTACAGGCGGCTGAGTGAATTTGATTTATGTCTAAATTGTGTTTTTTGTTGTGTCTCTAGGGAAAATGTATAGTAACTACGAATGCAATCTGAATCCGACGTCGTTTTGGACAAAGGGGTTTGCTCCTAAGTTAAACGAATACAGAAACGCAGGAGTAGTAGTTGGAGGAAATTGCATTGTTGGTAGCCATTCCTCTACGGTGGATAGACTATATGCGTGGGAGAAGAAGCTCTTTCAAGAGGTTAAGGTATTCACTTTTTTTTCACATTACGAAAGTTTCAATCTTTGAATAAAAAATTAAGTTTTGTGGAAGATGTTTAAAATGTAGTTTCTTTCAGTTTAAAATTAAACCCAACGCTTACGTTGAACTTTGAATCTTTAAGTTACTTGCTTAGTGTTTATCTATATATGGATAAAATAATAAGATTCGAATTTGGTTGTTTCATGTCGATTTAAAGGCGTGTGGTGGGTCCAAGAGTTAGCAGATAGTGTAAGAGACCCACATGTGCACACTTAATTCTGATAATAATACTTGTTATGTTGTGTACACTGACACAAATATAATGCCAAAGCATTGTTGGAGAGTGAGTGCTTGTTGTTTTTTGAATGTGGGGTTGTTTACAGAATGCAGAGAGCATAAAGATGGAGCATGAGAAGAAAGTTGAGCAAGTGAGAAAGCTTGAGATGAAGAGAGCTGAGTATGTCAAGACTGAGAAGGCTAAAAAAGACGTCGAGAAGTTAGAATCTCAGCTAACAGTGTCTTCTCAGGCCATCCAGAGCGCCTCTAACGAGATCATCAAGATCAGAGAGACCGAGCTATATCCTCAGCTCGTAGAGCTCGTTAAAGGGTTAGTTGTGTATCTCCATTGCTCCATTTTATTGAGAACAAGTGAACAAGGGTTGTTGTATAATGTTATGTAGGCTGATGTGTATGTGGAGGAGTATGTACGAGAGCCATCAAGTTCAAACTCATATTGTTCAGCAACTTAAGTACCTAAACACCATCCCCTCCACTGAACCCACTTCAGAGCTTCACCGACAGTCAACTCTTCAGCTTGAGCTGGAGATCCAACAATGGCATTACTCTTTCTGCAACTTGGTCAAGGCCCAGCGTGACTACATCCAGTCTCTCACGGGTTGGCTCAGGTTAAGTCTGTTCCAGTTCAGCAAGAATCCACTAGTTAGGAGTAGCTATGAGTCAAAGATCTACAGCTTCTGCGAGGAATGGCACTTGGCTATTGACAGGATCCCTGATAAAGTAGCATCTGAAGGAATCAAGAGCTTTCTGACTGCAGTCCATGGAATTGTGGCTCAACAGGCCGAGGAGCATAAGCAGAAGAAGAGATCTGAATCCATGTTAAAAGATTTTGAGAAGAAAGCGGCTGCACTGAGAGCGCTGGAGAGCAAGTATAGTCCATACTCGGTGCCTGAGAGCAAAAAAAAGAACCCGGTGATAGAGAAGAGAGTAAAGGTTGAGATGCTTAAAGGTAAAGCAGAAGAAGAGAAAAGTAAGCATGAGAAGGCAGTGAGCGTGACTAGAGCCATGACTCTGAACAACTTGCAGATGGGATTCCCTCATGTTTTTCAGGCAATGGTTGGGTTCTCAAGTGTGTGTATGCAAGCCTTTGAGTCTGTGTACAACCAAGCTAAGTGCATCGGTGAGGAGCAAGAGGAAGTCAAGAGATTGCTCCTTTAGAGAGAGAAAGAGATATCTAACAAATAGTTTTACCATTTGCTCTCTGTTTTTGCTTGATCGAAGCCAACCTTTTAGGAACCTGTGTTGAAACTTGAGTTAGGTTTATGCTATTTTAGAAAATGAAATTGGTTAAAGACTTACTCATTGATTCGTTGCCTGAAATCTTCATCAAGTCAAGAACTTCTAATCCATATACATTGATTGATAGAGAAGTACTAGCATTACATTTCCATTGAAGCCAAGCCAAACGCAAGTCACTTTTCAACGACAAGAATGTCTCCCTTGCACTTGAGTTATTGAAGAACTCGAGTGCCGCAAAATAGACATTCTCTTCTAAGCCATGAATCTGATCTAGCTCTCTGATACACTCGGAAAGAGAGAACCTGCTCGCCAGCTGCGTCAAAGCAGAAGTCCGCAGCTTCGATGCAGCCGCCATTTCAAGTATAGCATCAGCAATAGCAGCCTCGACGCCACTAATACGCCTCCTCTTGGGAGTAGGAGGACAAAATGCAGCGGCATCATCGTACTCAGACAAGCATTCCGTTTTAGCTTGAGGCAAAACATGTTTCCCGTTTGTCATGGAATCTTCAGCGAATATCTGCGACAACTGCTTGTAAATTGGACAACCACCTGTTTTAATAGACTCTGCGTCTGGATACTCCTGATTTTAGGAACAGTAAGATCAGCAAAACAGATAGAGAGTAAAGGGAATTTGAAAAGAAGCATAGAAGTTAGTAAGACAAGACCTTTACATATTTGTCCCACGCCTCATCAGTGGCAATAACAGAACCACTGGATTCATCAAAGATGAAGTCATCTCGAGCCAGAAGCAATTTAACGACTGAAAATTGGCGTCTGAGAAAAGAAAATCTGTTCTTGAGATGTTCTTTATCCCATTTGAGGCCACTTCTTTTGTAAAACTCATCGGTTATAAAGTTCCAAGCTTTATTAGAGAAGGAATTGTTGACTCTGTTTCCTTTATGGACCTGATTGACTATAAGGTTCGCGAGTAGCTTCGTTAAAAACGCCGTCCACTTTGGCTGCTGCTGCTGATTCTGTTATTCTCCGGTGTTCCCAGTCGTCATCTAGAGATTCCGGCACAAACCGATTCACATTCAAATGTGAATGCGGAGAGATGGAGAATCTTTAAACCTTAATCGATTATACCAAAAGGTTCACAGGTTTCAGTCATGAATGAAAGGATCAATTTTTTCGAAAACCCTAAAATCTAAGCTCAAGGTACTGATGAAGAAGAGGAAGAGTGTTCTCGCAAAGGCGTTGTGATTGTATTAATTTATTAATCACAGTCAGACAAGACATTAGAACGAGTCTTAGAAATGTCTGTTTGATTGGAAAACCCCCAAAGTCTTGCTTATTCCCGTTGTTGCCCCATTTTCTATTGAAGTGTCATAAAAAACCCATTTAGTTTCGCTAATTCACATTGGTGTCCCCATTTACAACAAATAAAGCGATCCTTGACACCATGAGTCCATGACTGTACATTGAGCAGCAGAGGGTGGCCAAGAAAACCAGCACGGCCGCTTCTATCGGTCGATTACGAACTTAACTTCTATCGATCACGAGTACCGATTTGAGATTCTTTGAAAAGGGTTAGTTCGGCTCTGTAAAATAATGGGATTTTCACAACAAAGTGCCGATGCAAAACTGGTTATGTCAAATCATTAGTAGTGCGTCATGATTTTGAAACCTACCTTTTTTTATTATGAAAACTACCTACTACTAATTAACTATGGACAATTGTTTGTGTTGTTAGTTACGGCATTGCTTAAAGAAGAAAGAAAGCTTAATGATATGATTAATCACTGTCAAGATTTGTTACGCAACACAAGAAAAGAGAAAGGTTTCGTTTTAACGGATTGAAATGAGTTTGGGCGGCAGAAGAAGACAATTCCATAAATAAACACACAAATCCATCGGTGTTTAGTTGGTTTTGTTGAGAGCGCTATTAAAAGAGAAAATCCACAATTGTCGGAAATAGAAAGAGAAACAGAAGAGACACACACGAGTTTGGTTGGCGAAAAAATTGATTATTTCAACGCCATTTTTCCCGGCCAAAGCTAACTAACAAACTCTTCGTTTTCGTTTCTGTTACCTTCAATTTTTCATTTTTTTTCCTTTTTGTTCTGTTGGGTGAATAGGGTTTTCTAATTTCTGGGACAAAGTCCGCTCCTTTGGAATCCACAATGCCCAGATGGTCGATCAACGTTGAGCACCGAGAATAAGAAGCAGATTAACATAAATAGCAAGGATCTCCAATTCCAGGCTTGTTTTCAAGAGTTTTGAAGATCTCAAGGCTCAAATCTTTCATCTTTTTTATTTTCCTTGAAATTATTAATATTCTTCGAGGGAGAAATGAGCGCTTCGAGGTTCGTAAAGTGCGTGACGGTTGGTGATGGAGCTGTCGGAAAAACATGTTTGTTGATATCTTACACAAGCAACACTTTCCCTACGGTTAAAATCCAATTTCCCTGATGTTCATGTTCTTGTTTGATTAGATTGTCTCATTTGCAGCACAACAACATCTCATATTCGTTGGTTTTATATTATGCAGGATTATGTGCCCACCGTTTTCGATAATTTCAGTGCAAATGTGGTGGTTAATGGAGCCACCGTTAATCTTGGATTGTGGGATACTGCAGGTTTTCATTTTAACTAATCTTGTTTCTTTTTAACAAAATTTGAAATATGGCTTTCTTTTTTTTGTGCTTTTTGGATCTGAGATTTTGAAATTTGGGTATGAAAAAAAAACAGGGCAAGAGGATTACAACAGATTAAGACCACTGAGCTATCGTGGGGCAGATGTTTTCATATTGGCCTTCTCTCTTATCAGTAAAGCCAGTTACGAAAACGTCTCCAAAAAGGTAAAAAAATTCATCAAAAAATCTTGTTTTGGTGTTAGTATTGTCAACTATCTCTCTTTTTCTCACAAAGTTACAATTGTGTGTTGCAGTGGATCCCGGAGTTGAAACATTACGCGCCTGGTGTCCCCATTGTCCTTGTTGGAACAAAGCTTGGTGAGATTTTCATTATCTTTCTGATCTCACGTCTTTCAGTTTTTTACTAGTTGTGACACAGAGTATGTGTGTTGCTTCTCTGTAGATCTTCGAGATGATAAGCAATTCTTCATCGACCATCCTGGCGCTGTCCCGATTTCTACTGCTCAGGGAGAGGAGCTGAGGAAGCAAATAGGAGCACCTACTTACATCGAATGCAGTTCCAAAAGTCAAGAGGTTATATTTTTGATCGTTGACTTGATTTGTTTTGATGTTTATTTATGTTAAATAATGCTTAATGATAGTGTCGATGTTATGAGTGCAGAATGTGAAGGCAGTGTTTGACGCGGCCATTCGAGTGGTGTTGCAACCGCCGAAGCAGAAGAAGAAGAAGAGCAAAGCGCAGAAGGCGTGCTCCATCCTATGATGATTGCAAAAAAACTCTGTTTTTATATATTTTTTTGGTTTTGGCATATTAATCTTCTAACAGTTGCATCAATGTGTTTGGTTTGGTCCTTTTTGTTATCAATATTAATATGGATTTTGTCGGAATCAACATCTTTTTGCTTCTCCATTCAGTCTTATGCACAATTAACACCCACACAACCATGAACCAATTTTCAATCCCACAATTTCTGTATGTGTATCCCTCACCTGTAGTTCTCCGCATGTTTCAAACTTAGCAAAATATTTATTGATAGAGATTATAATTAGGAAAGGAAAATTGATGATACATTAGGAAAGGAAAATTGATGATACAAGTTTTATTTCTCAGTGTTATCTTTCATGCTTTTTCAACAAAGAAACGAAGCCATGATTATTGGGGTGATGAGACTAAAAAGAATGCAAGAAAGTGTAATCATTCAAACCATTCCATTTTGATTTTCTGGTATTTCTCACTCATGCCACCATCCTGCTGTTGTCTCTGAAACTCCATGTAACGCAGAGTGCTGGATATGAACGACCCTGCGTCTGACTCTACTTTCTTCGTCTCGCTTCTTATTAATTCAGCTAAGCTCTGGATTGTATCGCCTGTTACTTGTGGATTTCCTTTCTCCAAGAAGTAGAGATACCTGCGTTTCACTCGTAACGCCATTAAGAGAAAGCGGAGGCAAAGTGCTCAATTACAAGCATTTTGCAGCGTAGGTACTAAATAGGTGGAGCTACACCGAGTAACTTACTTGTTCAGCACTTCGACATATAGAGCCACAGAGCCGGTGCTACTGTTACCACGGGATGCGTTGGCCATTTGTTGAACAGCATCTGCGATTTTTTGCGCCCTCTTCAGGCAAAGCACAACCCTGTTCTCATTTCATAAATTCCATATTAGCCACCCAAAACAACGACTAAGTATCAGTATGCCTCAGATTTTCCCCCTTCTTAATTGTGTATGGTTCCCAATCTTAACTTGATGATATAGTGCATTCATATGTAGCATACCTCTCTCCATCTTTCAGGTTCTCGCAGTCGTCTGCCCAGAAGAGATGCGCACATTCGTAAACAGCTCTACACTGATCTGGCTTCTTAAGGAGTTTTGCAGAGTACTACACCAATAGAATATAATTTAGCCTTTTTAGTATTCAATGTAACACCCACTAACTCAACTGGAATGTCAGGAAAGATACCCCTGTCGCCTTGTGAGCCAGAGTTTCTCTGTTCTCAACATTAAATACACGCATCCGCTGGAGTGTCCCTATTATTAAACGCAGTGCTGTTACTTGTGCCTTTGAATCCTAAAACACCAAAAAAATTTGGCCATGTCAAGGTTTTTTTTACAGAAAAATGCTTGTAGCCTCGTAAGAAATTCACTTACTGAAATTTCTTCTTCATATATAAGATAAGCCTTTGTGAAGAACTCATAAGCGACTGCTTCTAATTCACAGTCATTGGCTGCCTGAGGATTGAATAAAAGAATATTTCAGATCATGCACTATATCTAATGGTTTTTGATACTGGGTGATCATAAACCAAACGATCGTATACCTGAGCACATTGCAAGTAGAGTCGAAATGCCAACTCAGACGCTGAAACATCAGATAGAACTTCCACGGTCTGTAAAAAAATAAGATTCAAAATCGACTCGCATCATTGTAATTACGGCAAAGGAAAAGCAGCTGGGTTTCACTGGACAATAGCAATGAAGTTCGCAAGGCAACTAAACTTTCCTCACTCTTTTCTAACAATCAAGATGTATGTACACTTGCCTCATTTAAGAGCTGTAGAATTTTCTTCGGTGTTGCTGACGTATCATCTCCAAATGGGTTTTCATCTCCACCTCGTAATCGCCGAACTAACTGCGCAAGCATATCAGCACAACAAATTATATATGAGCATACTTCCAATTTCAAATATAATGTCTATTGTATCCTTATAAAAAATGGAAGGACATACAACTCCTTCCAAATCTTAGACAGAACTTATACTTTTTCCTAAGTTGGAGAACAGAGGAACAAGTGATCACAGTAAGAAATACAAACCTTGAGAGCGGAAAAGACAAGGGGTGGTATCGTAAGAGGCAGACGCTTAGGTCCTCCAGTCAGGACGTGCTTCCTTACTCTGAAAATTATCTATAGTTGGGTATATGAATTAGCAATGGCACACACAGGTCACTTTGATAGCGTCTCTGATGTGCAGCAATATATATAATTATATGCACACCTTAGACATTTCTTCTTGATCATCATTGTAAAGCATGTGAACCAACCGTGCAACAGAGTTCTGCTCTTCCTGGAAATCTTCTTCATCAACCTAGAACTCATCATAATTTTTCGTTTAAAACCATGTCGGGTACAATAAAAGGTCAGTTATCTAAAGAAATACTCTTTCGAGTGACTAGAATACTGTGAACACGAATGCAATAAGTATTGATTAACAAATGTTAAGTACCTCATCATTATCAGTTGTCTCATCAAAATCCTTGATAAGTCCTTTTATCAGTTCAAACAAAGCATCGACCTGAAAGACGCAATAAGGACACGTCACATCAATAAAGAACGCTATAGGAAGAAACTAAACCAACAGAAAAGCACACCTCATCAGCGGTAGCAATGCGAGTATTGTTTTTCAAAATGCTCTGAATTATAATAATTGCCATGGCTTTGTTTGTCTCATGGTCAAGGTATTCCATTACTCGAGGATAGTTGGTAAGCTTCAAAATAGTTACAACATCATTATACTTATCCAACGGAGCGCTAAGAAATGCAACGATCTGTTTTGATGCCTTGTCATCACGAAGCTTTCCTGTGGCAGAGAGTTGGCCAACACAAGAACCCTAAAGAAAATTTTCAAAAGAGAGAGAACAATGTGTATTAGCAACTAGGCTACTAGCAGAACAGATTAATTAGATACAACGTAATTCTAAATAAACTTCATATGCTTATACATGCTCGGAAGACTTTATACCAAAACTTGGTCCACATAGTCTAGACGATCGGAATGGACATGGAGAGTGAACTTCAGAAGAAACAAATACAATGTTACAGATCCTGAGGCCGGCAAGTCCACCTGTGCTTCTACAACCTAAAATCATATACAAGATGTAGACTCAGTCAACGGTTTATATAATATAACTGTGAAGAGATTATCAACGTGATACAATCAGAGAGAGCTTAGAGAAAAAAATTACACAATATTTACGAGCTAGAGAGAGAGAGCATGACAACACCATTGGCGATAAAACTAGATTTTTAGATGTTCTCTAATACTAGCCACCGTCATAAATAAACTTAGATTTAAGTGTTAACTGCAGTTAAGTTCCTTTTACTTCATGATTAGATGCAAGATTTACCTTCCCAATAGCATGATTCAACTTTGAAAAGGCGTCTACTTGCAGGAAATTAGGCAATGCTTCCACACTAGATGCAGCATAGTTCGAAAGCCTTTCCATCAGACCCGAAAGGACTGTCTTGATATCAACAGACGGCTGAAAAACACATTGACGAAAAGGAATATAGAGGAAACATGTTCCGATGGGATAATTTATTTAGAAGTGTTATGTTTTATCAATTTTGCATATAAAAGAAGAAATGGTTGATTAAAAGAAGTACCTGAAGTTGTGGACAAGCACCTAATAATACATCGAGAGTTTCAAGGTGAAAATCATCAGGAAAGACTTGTATAATGCAATCCATTAGGTAGCACTGTGCAAGATCATCCTTACAGTTGACAACCTTTTACAACAATGATAGATAATTCATTTTCACCAGCAAGTAGACGGAAGCTTGGATGCAGAAACTATCTAAAGAAAGAGAAAAACCAGACCTGCTCCAGTATTCTAGGAAGGACAGTATCTCTGTAAATTCCGAGGTCAACACCTTCCAACTGACCCAGTATATGAAGGTTCTTCCCAACCTAATTAGCAGTAAACAGAAGAATTTCAGCAAAAATTAGAATCATTACTCGCAAATCCTACATGAGAAAAATCAGCTACAAGTTACTGCTATTACAAGATCACGTAATTCCTTCCTTTCTCTCTCCCGTTTCTCCTTCTCCCGAGTAGGTCCCTGGGTAAAAGAAAGCCTTAACTCAGATTCAGTTCAGTAGGGGAAATTCAGAAAGAGTGGACAATAGCAGACATTGGACTCTCGCGACATGAAAACATATTCAGTACATACATGCTGAATATGAGAGCAGAAACACATCATAAGTATTTCCAACCAACCTGATGTTGCATTCGGACCCATAGTTTGTTCATCTCAGTAAAATTCTGAAGCACGAACTCTAAAGCATCCATGTGTGTATCAGCATCTCTGGAGAGAATAGCAAAAGCATTGGACTCTTTACATGTACGTCCTAAATTAGCAAAAATCATCTAACAGCAGGTTAAAGGAGAACTAAGTAGTGAAGCCTTACCCTTCCAGCTCTGAACCAATGCTGGGTAACTTTTTACTAGTAGCTTGAGCAAGGTAACTTCTCAAGAAAAGACCACGTAATGGATGTTGAACAGCTCGGCACATTTCAATAAGATCCTTAAGTATATCCGTGGCAGTAACGTCCTTGGATTTGATATATACAGATCCTATGGTACAGAGGAGATACCTGCAATTCGATCCATGTGTGTGTATCTATAAAGCTCGAAACAGAGATTGCGAAGTACTCGGAAACACTACTCCTGATAAGAGAAAAAAACTTACAATCTTGGCAAAATGTTACCGGCATGCTGCACTAGCTCGTAAAGCTCTGAAATGGAGCAACCACGCCCCGTTTCATCCATAAAGAAGATCTCCAATTTCCTCAGTTCATCAGAAACTCGAATATCTGAAGAAAATCAGATCGCAGTAAGATAAAGCAAGTAACGCACAAGAGTTATCTCCCTGAATTTGGAAATGCGAGTGCGAAATAGAGAAAGAGGGTAAGGACTCACAGAGTTCATAGTATTTATGAGGAGAAAGCTTGGAAGTACGAAGCTCGCTGAGCATCTGAGCAGAAAACTTAAGAACGTCTTTGAGATTGTTGGAGTCCTGCGATAAATAATTGGAGATCCGTTACAAACAAATCCAGAAGTTAGGGTTCCAATGCGAAGGAAATCCCCAACGGAAAATTTGATTGATGAATAACAGAAGAGAAGATATATACGATCGCGCGCTGCATGTAGAAAGCATTTTGCTTAACGGCGGCGATGGCGGCGGCAAGCCACTTCTCATCGTCGTCGGCGATCATCATTCTGTTTAACTAACTACTTTACAGAGAGAGTCTCAATTTTGACCGAATCTCTTATGAGCTAGAGACTCTCCGCATTTAATCGTTTTTCTGTTCATCATCCACTTTACCAATATTTTCTTGTCAACATTTCTAAATAAATAAATTACATGGAGACAAATAACTACATTCACGGTCATGTGATCAACTACTGTGTATAAGATTGTACCTCCAAAAAAGAATTATCATCATTCATTCATTCATTCATTCATTCATTCATTCATTCATTCAGTCGCAAGTGGGTAAAATCTCAATTTCTAATTGATTGTGTTACAGAGAGCCTTTTTCAAAACTAAGAATTGGCAACTCTGACCCCAAAAAAAGAAAACAAAAAATGAAACAGGATCAAATCTAACTAGAGAGACCATAGTTTTTCTTGTTTCCATTCTAAAACAGAATTTTACTACTCTTCTCTACAAAAACAGACCAATTCATGCGCATTCCTTGTACTATTCTAGCCTCTCTGCAAGACGACACACAACTTCCCATTTATGACTTCATATAGTGTGGATCTAGCAAAGGAGAGCAACCGTAAGCTTTGACTTGGGGATTAGCTTATTAAGTCAGTAAATCACTGTAGCGTTTTCCTCTAGACTAGTCTCAGTAATGACCTTGTCTGCCTCTTCGCATCCTACTATCAAGCCATGGACTATCTCCTTCAAGTCCACAAGGCCACACCCGGGCATTCGTCCTATTTTCCTCTCCTTCACCACCTCTCTCACTATATCAACATCTTCCCACCGCCCCGCAACACTGTAAATGTTCATCAAGAAATGGTAATACTTGTAGTTCATGGGATCTTTTTCTATCAGGGACTTGCCAATGCTCTCCCCAAGAGCCGGGTTTCCTGTGAAACGTGAAGAGCTGAGCAAGTTAGCCCATTTTGCAGATTCTGGCGTCACATCTTCCTCTGGCAAGTTCTTCAGAGTTTCCTCTGCTTCTTCAGGGAACCCGGCACTAAAGTAAAGATTAGCCATGCACCATTGGTGTCCAAAGTTTCGTTTGATCTGGAACTCGTCAACCATCATGGCATAGTAACTTTTTCCTTGTGAAACAAGCCCGGATCTAGCACAACCGCAGAGAACACCAACAAACGTTACTTCATCAGGAATGAGCATACCATTAATCATGTCTTGAAATAATTTGAGCCCGTCTTCAGGATCCCCGTGAAGACAATGTGCCAATATCATCACATTCCACGTAACTCTGTTCCTACGGGATACACTGTCGAATATCCTACGTGCTAAGTCTACTTCCTTGCACTTTCCATACATGTTAATAAGAGCTGTATCAATAACTACGCTCGTATTCAGCAAGATTCTTATCAAAGAAGCATGAACCGACCTACCTTCCTTCAGTCTAGCTGATCTGCCACAAGCACTCATTAGCAAAACCAAGGTCCTCTCGTTTCCATGGAACCCTGCTCCAACCATCTCACGGAACAATTTAATAGAAACCCCGGGATTGTTAGCACCCAAATAAGCGCTGATCATGATATTCCAAGAAACCATATTTTTCTCAGGCATTTCATCGAACAACTTGTGAGCATACAGAATGTCACCGTCTCTCACCGCCCCAGCGATTATCGAGTTCCAGGACACAATATCTCTCTTGGGAATTTCAACAAACAGCTTCTTGGCAAGCTCCAAGGCACCACAACAAGTATACATATGCATTAACGAATTCTGGACAGGTAAAACTTGATCGCATCCATGTTTAATAGCCTGCCCGTGACACATTTTTCCTGAGTCAACGCAGCAAGTCTTCTCGATACAACCAAACAATGGGACGAAGCTGTAGGTGTCAGGAACAAAACCGCATTTCCGTATATCAAAGTAAAACCCCAACGCTTGTTGCGGAGTAGAGGAGAGCAAATACGCCTTAAACACCGGATTTGCGCAGTAGAGCTTGCCAATGCTGCGGAATATCGAAACGGTGTAGCTGGCGTCACCAAAACGAGAAGAACACTTCAACAATCTGATACCCCAAGTGGAATCCCAGAAGTTACCGGAGGCGATGAGCCTCGCGTGGACTTGGAAAAGGTGTCTAACAGTAGTAGATTCTTCAACAAGTTTGAAACCCCTAAGAAGGCCCAGAACGGGGGAGATAGATCTGGATGTGACGAATTGGCGAATAGAAGAAGCTCTTGCCATTCATCTCCGGCTTGGATCCTTTGATTTGAGTCAGCGATGGATTCAGAAATCGCCATTAACCCAAGCTCATATCTGTGTCAGGGACTAAGAAGCGTCAACGGAAAACGGATTACAGAAAGGAAGGAGAACGTAGGCGGCGAAGGAAGGCGAATCGGTTCTGTGTAAAACCTTCAGGGAAAAGTAAACCCCCTGAACGAGCCAGAGAGTTTCGGTTTTGCTGAACCAAGTCAAATCATGCAAAAACAGAGGTAAAATAAATTAGAGGGGCCTCGTCATATAAGAAAATAAAATAGTAAGGAGCATTTATGCAATATCTACTTTTTTCGTTTCTTTTGAAAAGAAGATGAAACGGTTGTGTAAAATTGGTATGAAGGGGATAAGGCACCTGACAACCTAATTATAGTCAAGATCAAATCATATTACAGACATAAACAAATCACAAAAGCAAATCTATTTAAAAAAACAACAAACAAAATTCAAGATATGCTAAATCATCTTCTTATCTGGATATTTCTTCTGTTGGAATCCAGACACACACATACGCAAGCTTCTTACCTATATATAATAAATTCAATCGAGCCTTTCAATTGATTTTAGAATGTGATCTGCATGAATACGGAAACAAAGAAAAGGTGGATACGTAGAGAGAAAGGAGAGAAAAAAAAAAAAAGAAGGTGAGAAGTAAGGGTCTTGGTGTTGGTGTGTGAACATAGAGAAAGGTGTTTTAACGTACATTGTAATCCATAAAAGAGGATAGGCATTGCAAATCACGCAACAGTGACCAACCCTTTTGTTGTTGTTGTTGTTGTCTCTCCAACACACACACCTCTCGCTCTGTTAAATTGATAACACGAAGTGTTAGAGAATCACCCAGTAAGAAAGAAAGAAGATGGGTCTGGAAAAGTGGCTGGCTTTGCTGTACCCGAGAGTGCAGGGAGGAGGAGGAAGAAGAGAGGAAGAATGTTGCAGTGTGTGTCTGATGAGAATGGACGAAGAGGATGTCATCAAGTCCCTGCCTTGTTTACATGAGTTCCACAGTCTCTGCGTCGACACGTGGTTCCATGTCAGCCGTAAAATCTGCTGTCCACTCTGCCGCTTCTCACCCGCTACCATCCTCCTCACCGATGAACTTTTCCTCTGGTTCTCTTCTTTCCATTTCTGATTCCTTCTGTCTGAATTCCTCTCTTTTTTTTCTTCAGGGGATCAAACATCTTTCTCCTTGTAATGCTATATAAACTCTCTTGTAGTACTAGTTTTTCTTTCAAGGGTTCTGAGAAGTTTGATTCCTCTGTAAAAAGATACCAAACAAAAGCTTGGAACATATTGTTCTCTTCCTCATGCAAATGGGGTTCCTTTCCAAAACCTCAGTTCCAAAATTAGAAAGACTGTAACTGTTGATGCACCAGGAACAATGAAACATTCTGCCACACAGTACAGATAGACAATTTGCTGATACCGCTTTCTTGCTCTCGTGATTCCCCATCTGCTTCCGGATTTCTACTCTTTGTTAGTGTTCTATTCTAAAGATGCACTGGTTATCCCCTGCTCCTGCAGGACAGAGGGCTGTAAATGCTTGTATCCCTGTGATCAGAACGCCATATATGTATATGTACACTAGTCCCAGTCATCTGGCTTCCTTATAGATTCATCCTGCAATACAAACACATAGAACAAGCTCCAATAATCAGCTTCACAGGCTTCAGAACAGTTCAATATGAAAACACGACTAGAGTAAGCTACATACTACTGGTCAGCTCGGCAAACTGAACCTTTTTAGAAGTGACAAAAAGAGCCACACTTGTGCATTGTTAGTTCCAACACAAACACAAACACTTGACTGTGGTTAGATGACGTCATGAAAAAATACTTCCAAACTCAGATTCATTCACTCATATGTAATACAAAAACTAGACCGGAACTCGAAGAGCGGTAAGAAAGGTAGAGTAGACCCGAACTAGACAAAAAATAATTTAGGAGTTGATCAGGCATGATACAGCAAGACTCAGGACTTTAAAAGAGATGATGACTTAAACTTGAATAAATGCCTTCCAAGGCGGTAAGAGAATTAATAACTTATTTTCCTAAACCCAGCAATGAAGCTAACAAGGACCCAAGCCTCATTATTCATATGCTGCCAGTGGCCCCACCCATCAGCACCTTACATGTGATGTCTTTCCTAACATGTCTCCGCTTATGTATTGACTATTGAGTGTTACTGGCAGGAAAAGACAGAGTCCCCGTCAGCACCTGAGTTCTCACCTTACTCATAGTTTCGCCTGATTCCATGGTTCTGATCCCACGAGGATAAGAGCAGTTATTTCAGTTCCTAGGAAAATTCCGAAGCTCAGGATTTGTGAGATCATAAGGGCCACGTCTTTGGCTGCTAAGAAACGGTACTTGAAGGTGCAGCTGCTGCATTGCCAGGACTGAAGGGATTAGAGATGGTACTTTTGAAAGATGAAGTAGCACCAACACAGCCTAGGGAATATTTGGTGAGCCAACATGTTCAAAAAGAAAAAGAGCTGCTTGGGTGCTCTAAACCATTCGGGTAATCAAAGAAGACATTGATACAAGTTTGATTTTTGAAGTAACATGCAAAACAATGAGCTTGCAGATAAATGGAAGGAAATCAATCATGATCGCAAAGTGGTACAAAATCACCCAATCCGTAAACCCAAATTACACTGAAAAAGTCTGAAAGCAGAAAGCTCGACGGCACCAAAAAGAAAAAGAGGGAAAACGGAAAGTACCGGGACCATGATCTGACGGATCCCAATAAGGCAATTGGTAGAAACCCTAGACGAAAAAGGCCAAGAGTCGCCCACCCATCAGAGGCTCGAGCTCGGCGGAGCTATCTGAAGGTTTTGTTTTCGCCGGTTTCTTAGCACCAATTCCGTTACCAGAATTCCGCTACTCGCCATCGCAGCCGTCACCAAGCCAAGCAAGGTAAAAGAGAATCGAGAAGAAGCGACGGTTTGGTTCAACACTGACATAACCACAACATTTAGATAACAAAATACATACATTTAGCAGGGAGATAAACATGGCCACTTACAAATCCATTGATTATTGTTTTACTCATCAGACGGAGACTATTATTAATTGAACATACAGTGGTCAAACCAACACAAAAACGAATGGCTTCTGTGAGAGTCAGAGGAAGGCCAAAAGAGGTAGGAGAAGCAAGATTTGAGATGCGAGAGGGCTGAGATTGGCTGCACCGCCTGTGCCAGCGTTTCTGGTGGAGGTACGATGGTCGATTCGCGGTCGTGTAGCAGCAGCAGCAGGAGGAGGAAGAGGTGGTGGAGTGGATGCTATTGGTGGAGGAGCTTCGATCTCTGGTGGTGGAGGACTCGTAACAGGTAAGCTGTCATCTCTAAAACCTGCCATCAATACATAACATTTCATTTACAATGGTTTGTTTCCTATGTATATATAGTCACACCCTGATCTGGTCACTTACAATTAGACCGCTTCCAACCCAAAATCATCCTCTCCCGGTCGAATACAATGCGGTAGCCCCTCATCAAGTTCTCTGCAACCACCCAAACGTGAAATGCATTCAACACATACTCTCTGTAACAAATGTGTAAGGGTAAAAAACTCAGTATTGGGTGACTTACGTCCAATAATGTTAAGCTTGAAATCCACGCTCTTCAGAATACCCAAGCAGTACATGATGGTATTGTCCTATTATTCAGGTTGAACAGAAAAAAAAAAGAAAAGGTTCGTACGTCAATGTATATCAATAAGCTAATGCATAAAACTAGACAACCGTAAAAACACCCATGTCTAACCTTAGTCACCACCGTGAATAGCGGATCCATCCTCATCTGGGATCCTCCTCCAAAAGTCATCACTACTCTAGGGAATATAATGACTGTAGTATTTGGACTGCATGCGAAGAGTAAACACATCAGAATTCAAATGTGGAACAGATATGTGCCATTTTACATATTACTTAGCTATTTTTAACTGTTTGATACACTTATACTGTTCTTCTCTAACATTCAATGTTCCCCATCTTTCTTATTTCATGGCATTCGTTAGTTATTCCAACACATTCTACTGAAATGGACAAAAGCGTGAGGCAAGAGTGCACGCTTGACCTTAAGTCGTAACAGAACTCAAACGGAATCTCAGGATCAGTCGGGCGTCGCTTGTCTGTGACTTTATCGTGAAACTGTCAAAGTAAGAGAATGAAGGTCATGTGATGTAACAAACACAAGGAATAACATTTTTTCTACCAAGTCTTCATTTCAACGCGCACTGGAAAACAACAGATATAAGATATCTAATGATTTAACGACAAGAAAGAATCTTAAAGGAAGAGTCTTTCACTCAGATATGGTCCTTGTACAACAAATTTGGTAAGGCTTTATTAGAATAGTCTGATCTTAGGCACTTACAGTCTTGGTAATCAGACCATATGCCGGCTCCAGTAAGTGTGTAAATGATGTGCCAGTGTCAAAGAGTGCGAGCAGCTGGACGTCAAGATCATTTCGCCCCACTGATACTGCCGTCAAATTCACAGCATATGTGGGACTAGTTTTCATTTGGGAGAAAGAAAGAAAATCACGGGAGACAAAAGAAACAGAGTCATTGGTATAGATAATTCATTGAATTTAAATCAAATCAAATTGGAATTGACTACGTACTTTGGTTCAACAGGAATTAGGGGCGTCTCCAGCTGATCTGTGTAGCCTTTGTCTCCGAAGCTAATTCTTCCAATAATGCCAACGCTATTAGTATCCGGGAAACACATTGAGAAGGAGTTTGCGGTGATATTTGCTTTTGCCAGTACACTCGGAACAGAGTAATCTTTCAAACCAAGCCCGAGAAGACCGTTCACAGCCACTCTGCTCTGGAGCGAACCTGTCTGATTCTGACCGCAGCTGCATCGCAAACACATGTGCGTTATTAGAAAAAAGACAACTAAGGGGATAAAATCAAGTCATTACTTACCCAAGCGTGATATTAGCTTCAACAGGCTCTAACTCCTCGTCCTCTGTGACCAGATGCAATACATCCTCGAACAATGTCCCTCTGGTGACTGCGTTGTTAGAGAGGTACTGGATCTGATAAGGGCAAATACTTGCAGGAGAAGAACATTGTCTTGATCCAAAACAACGCTCGTCGCTGCATCTAATGGCTGAACTCGTGAAAGATGCGTTGGGACTGTATAGATTGAGTGGCCGGCTCTGTGTCAAAGAGGAAAACAACAACAAAAATTTGAGGACAAAAATAGTTGGAAGAAAATGCATATCTGAAAAGCAATTAAAAAAATGTATAAATCCTTGGAGAGGAGTAAGTTACCTCTGAAAGTCCAGCATCTTTCAAGTCGTGGATGCAAGTGGTACCACAGTTGCAAGGCAACCAAAACAAATCGCTGCCTGTGTCCAGAGCCACCAGGAACCAAGTAGCCGGTGTCCCCACAGATACATTAGCATAATGAAGGCTGAAACCAAATGGATATAACAAATCGATATTCATTAAGCAATGGAGTCATAAATAAAGAAGAAAACAAATTCTTGTGAATCAAGAGAAGAAGAGGCATTATTACGCTCCAAGAAGGTCGAGTGCAAGCGTGCGGTTTCCTCGCATGAACGTTACCGGAGGTTCGTCGTTGTTGGAGGCAAGACCTCGACCTCTGATCAACTGATCACGGTGGGCCAAAACCTTGAAGTACTCCAAGCTTCCCACTTCCGGCACAAGATTGTCAGCAAAACCAAGATTTTGCTTGACCGCATCAGAGAACACGTGGTGAACTTCGAAGCTGAACTTCCCTGCAGCCTCACATATCTTTAATCCCCAAGACGCTACTAACACAGACAATAACACAAACACTTGACGTGCAACGTCCATGATTTTACTCCTGTGGCTTTTCTCAGAGAAAAAGACAACACTTTCGAAGTAGAAAGTGTTTTTGCTTTCTCAGTGAACGAAATACACAGTGACGAATCGCGTATATGTATAAGAAAATTGAGGGGTTCAACAGTTTGACTCGTTCGCATTGTTCCAGACGAGCAGAGAGAGACTGATTTGATTCTTAATACTTGTTTAATCAGGATAGTGGCCATTATTTTTGTATCTTCGTCTTCTTCGATTGAGCAGAAGGTTGACGTTGACGATGATGGCAAAGTCTGTGATGCGGAGGGATACGACTTCTGAAGCTACCGTTATAAAGTCGTTTAGTCAACTATTTCGTTTTGCGGAAAAGCCGCTTTACTCTTCTTATTTTGTACTTAACTCCTCCTATTTGTATATTCTAATCATAGTTAACGAACATTTTTTTTTGTTTGACAAATAATCAACTAACATTTTTCGACCAACAAAAAAAAAAAAAAAACCAACTAACATTTTCCTGTCCTTTGACATCCTAATGCGGCGTGACTCAAGTATCTTTGTAAAGAGTAGGTTAACTAAGAATTTATCCTTGGACCAACTAAATCCTATAATTGATCTTTGATTTGTTATTTCTTACCACTAAACATGTTTGACAAGTGCATCTCCTCATTCCTGCATTTGCCCCCACGCACTTCGACATACCCAAAACATTTATATAACAAAAAACACATACATTGTAACAACAGGAAGATAACATTACCACTCTCAAACCAATGAATACTGTTTTGCACATGAAACGAAGATTCTTCTTAAATGAACATCAAACGGTCAAACCAACAAAAAACGAATGCCTTTTGTGAATCAGAGGAAGGCCAAAACAGGTAGGAGAAGTAGGAGTTGAGATGCGAGAGGGATGAGATTGGCTACACCGCTTGTGCCAGGAGTTCCGGTGGAGCCACCAGTGTCGACCGGGGGCGGTGTATCAGCAAAAACAAGAGGAGGAGGAGGAGGAGGAGAAGAAAGAGGCAGTGGAGTGGATACTGTTGGTGGTGAAGGAGCTTCGATCTCTGGTGGTGGAGGAGTCGTAGATGTTGTTAAGCTTTCATCCTCAAAACCTACCATCAACACACAACACTTCATTAGCAATGCATAGTTACTAAGTTGCATATATACAATCACACCCCTGATTTGGTCACTTACAATTAGACCGCTTCCAACCCAAAATCATCCTCTCCCGGTCGAATACAATGCGGTAGCCTGACATGAAGTTCTCTGCATTCCACACATACTCTCAGTATATGCACATATATAGTATTTGTGCATCAGTAATGAAATACTTACGTCCGATGATGTTAACATTGAGGTTCTTCAGAATACCCAGGCAGTACATCAAATTACCTTCCTGTTACTCATGTTCAAAACCAAAAACCAGAATGTGAATGGATACGCTAATATAAGAAAGAAAGAAAATTTAAGCGCCATGTCTTGCCTCAGTCATTGTTGAAAAAAACGGATTCTTCAGAGTCAGTATGGATCCTCCTCCCAAAGTCAACTCCAGTAAGGGGAAAGTAATGGTTGTAAGGTTTGGACTGCATGTGAAGAGGAAGAGCATCGAAATTCAGATGTGGTACAGATTAGACCATCTTACAAGTAACTTAGCTAGTTTAACTAATCTTCATACTTGATATTCTTCTTCTCTAAATTCAATGTTTCCTATCTTTCTTTCTTTTAGGTGTTCTGGAGAGTGTTAAAAATCCAACACGTGCGACTAAAATGGGCAAAAATCATATAATAACTACACTGATAAGAGTGCAAGCATGACCTCAAGTTGTAACAGAACTCAAACGGCATATCAGGATCGGCTGGCCGACGGGTGTCCTCGACAAGACTGTCAAACTACAAAAGTAAAAGAATTGAACGTCATGTGATGTAATAACAATCACAGGCTTGGAGGAATGGCATTTCTTCTAAGAAACCTTCATCAATCTAGTGATTAAAATAACAATCTGTCTTTAACATGAGTTTGGTCACAAAGCTTTGGAATACATGGTTAGTCTAATCTAGGCACTTACAGCTTTGGTAAAAATACCATATGCTGGCTCCATTAAGTGTGTAAATGATGAGCCAGTGTCGAATTGTGCAAACAAGCGAAGACCAACAGGATCTCCCCCCACTGATAATCCCGTCACGTTCACACCATATGCGATACTAGTTTTCATTTTGGATCAAAAAATGTGAAAAAGAAAGCAACGTCAGATAGGAACAGAAAACAACGGGAGATAGAAACTTCATCTTAGAAAACCTCAGGCGTTGTTAATCTGGAATTGACTTCGTAGTCGTACCTTGGTTCAACAGATATGAATGGAGTCTCCGCCTGGTCTGTGTAGCCTTTGTCTCCGAAACTGATTCTTCCAACAACGCTAACGACACGCCCAAAACACATCGAGAAGGAGTTCGCGGTGATATTAGCTTTTGCCAGAAGGCTTGGAACAGAATAATCTTTCATACCAAGCCCAAGAACACCGTTCACGGAAAGCCTTCTCTGGAACAGACCTGTTTGATTCTGACCGCAACTGCACCACAAACAAGGATTCAGTTCTTTGGCATCTCCTTTAGTTGCTTTATAGGTCATTTCTCAAAACAGAGGGTGGTTGATGGAGACGTATAAGAGTTCTACGAGAGGCAAAAGACCTAGACTTTTACATGTCCGGCTTTCACTTTCTATTCATTCTTACTGTTGATTCGGGAATTTTTAATGGCGTTATAGGAAATGAACCTTTTCGATCTAGAAAAAAGGGTGCGATAGCGCCCATGACGGTTTTTGTTCCGAAAAGACAGAGGAAAAGAGCCATTACATACCCAAGAGTGATATTAGCATTGATAGGCTTTAAATCCTCATCCTCTGTGACCAGGTTCAATACATCTTGTAACAATGACCCTGTGGTGGTTGTGGTAATAGAGTTGGAAAACTGATAAGGGCAAATACTTGTAAGAGAAGTACATCGTCTCGATTCAAAACAACGCTCGTCATTGCATCTAATGCTTGAACTTGTAGAAGATGCATTGGGACTATATAGATTAAGTGGTACACTCTGTGTCAAAGAAGAGAAAACGAAAAGAGTTAACAGGAACAAATAGCCTGAAGAGAATGTTTTAACTGCTTGAAGAAGGGAAACGTACCTCCGAAAATCCAGCATCTTGCAAATCGCGGATGCAAGTAGTACCACAATTGCAAGGCAACCAAAACAAATCGCTGCCTGTGTCCAGAGCCACCAGGAACCAAGTAGCAGGTGTTCCCACGGAGATATTGGCGTAATGAAGGCTGAAACATATGGATATAACAAAGTAAAGTTAACAGGCAATGGAGTCAAACATCATACACTCATTACCAAAACGCTTTTGCTATATCATACATGCAGCGAGTTATTGTGAATCAAGAGGGAGAAGAGAACTTACAATCCCAAAAAGCCGATTGCAAGCGTGCGGTTACCTTCCATGGAAGTGATGGGAGATTCTTCGTTGTTTGAGGCTAGACCTCGACCTCTGATCAAGCGATCACGGTGGGCCAAAACCTTGAAGTAGTCCAAACTTCCCTCTTCCGGCACATGATTGTCATACCCAAGACTTTGCTTGACCGCATCAGAGAACATGTGGTGAACTTCGAAGCTGAACTTCCCAGAAGCCTCACATCTCTCAAACCCCCAACACGCCACTAACACAGACAATAACACAAACACTTGGCGTGCTAAAGCCATGATTTTTACTCCCGGAATGGAAAATTTTCCGAGAGAATAACAACAACACTTCCGGAGTCAAACTATGTTTCCCTTATCATATAACGAAACACGCAGAGACAAATCCCATATATGTAGGGAATTGAGGAATTGAAAAGGTCACAAGCTTGACTCGGTCGCATTGTTGTTCCAGACAAGCAGAGAGAATCCGAATTGATAATTCGAAGTAATACTTGTTTAATCGGAGTAGTAGTAGCCATTATTTTGCTGCTTCGTCTTCTCCCCTGAAGCTGAGAGAAAGGTTGACGAAGGCAGAGTTTCTTTATCCAGAGGGTGAGTCATTTCTGCATGTAGTCAACGATTTTGTTTTGCAAAAAAGCCCCTTTACTCCTCTTATGTTACACTTAACTCCTGCTATTATATTCTAATGAACGAACAAAATTTTCACCTAACTCCTGCTATACTATGATGCATTATAGACAACAACGTTGTGGTTGACCTTTTATACAAAATATTTCACTCACGTCGTAATCGCAATTATCAACAGAATTTTCCCTATTATTTATACAACAATTTGAGAAAGATGACCTGCTTTAGAGAAGTCAACAGACGAGGAAGGCATTATGATTCTAAGTCACACAGATAGAAAAGTTGTTGAATCATTCTCATTTGCTCCATTCCTTTGAAACTTTATAGTTTTTGGCTTAACTAATATTACATCTAATCCATATTAGACTTTTGGATATTTTACAGTTTGGGCGAGGAATTAAGATATTTTATCTACAACTATCCATATTAGACTTGGATGAATGGAATTAAACAATGGTGGGGGTGGATTGTATAATATGTGAAACGCAGACTGTATGAATGAAAATAAGATTATAACGGTTGCACAAAGGATGCAATTGATATTCACAGAAATACAAAAAAAAGGAAGCAAATGATGAAAAGTGAAGAAGCAGCCAAAGGGTTTAAACGAGAGGAAGGGTTTCTTGGTCTTGGAGACGGCGTTGGCGGCAACATTGGCGGTTTGGCTGATCCGGTAGGTCCGGTGAAACCATTCTTATCGCTGCCTGAAAGTTTCAAGAAACAAAATTAATTAATTAGTAGCATATACTTAAATAGTTTTTCTTCCTTGGAGAAGAAGTTAGGGCAGGCATACAATCAGATTCTTTCCATCCCAAGATCATTCTCTCACGATCGTGGACGATTCTGTAGTTGGTCATGAAGTTTTCTAACAGAGAGAAAACCAAATGTATGTGATTAGAGATTGGTAAAAAGATGTGCAAGAAGATGATGCTATATAATTTAAAAGAAAACAAAACAGAAAAAAAAGTAACGAACGTCCGATGATGTTGAAGCCGGCAGTAACTTCCTTTAAGACGGCCAGGCAATAGACTTCTCCACCCTGTAAAATGCATTAATGGAGATTTAATATTTACGTAATTAATTATTATCGTCAACTGATAATATATATTAGTTTACCAAAAGTAAAAAAAAAAGAAAAGAATAGGAATTGGTGATATGAGAATTGAGATGTGTACACTGGAGAGGTCGAAGACAAGTAAGGGGCTGATAACATTATACGTAGCTCCTCCTTGCATCTCAAAGCTAACCGAAGGAATCTTCTCTTCATCTGTACTGCAAAACAACAACACACATGCATCAATATTCCTTCATAAATAAAATACATTAGTTAATCTGTTCTCTTCTTAAATCGTATGTATAGTAGTAGCTTAAGGAAGATGCACGTACGCTGATGTGATAATGTAGCAGAACTCAAACGGACTCTTCACACTTGCTGGAAGTCGTCTATCTGTTATATGAAGATGGAACTGAACATGCAACACATGATTTGTCAGTATATATATAGCTAGTGACTATAGTGAGTTTAATGTCTTGATTCTTTTAAACACAATTTATACGTTTCCCTTTGCATTTTACCTTAAAAACCAACAAAAGAAAAATACATTTATTAGATATAATTATAGTTAGTTTTTCATAAAAATATATGCAGGTTGTGGGTTTATTTGACATATAAACGCATACGCATATTGAGACCTGAATCTAATTAATGAGAAGCCAATATGTTTAGGGTATTTACGTTTGTGGTTATAGAAGTGTAGTAAGGCTCGATCAGCCATGTAACCGCGGTCCCAGAGTCAAAAATCGCGCTGAATTCTGTTTCCACCGTCACACTTCCTACCTTGAATTTGTTGATGCTCACATCGTAAAATGGCCTGCATGTGTTCAGATATCATGCTAATGTAATTTACTTATTGAAAAAACAAATTTAGAGAGAAAAAAAGGTGTAAGGGGAGATCTAGTTTACGGAGAAAGAGTGCCACTCAATGGAGTCTCAAGTTGGTCTGAACTGCCTTTGTCTCCGAAACTGATTGTTCCTTTCCCTTTCAGACCAAAACACATTGAGAACGAGTTTGAGGCCACACCGGCTTTAGCCAACATGTTTGGAACTGCTATGTTGTCTATGGAAAGTCCCATTATACCATTTACAGCCACTCTTTGGAACGACCCTAGTTGAGACTCACTACATCTGCCACCATTTAAGTATTTTCTATGTTAAACTTCAGTTAAGAATCTCACGTCTAATTAAAATAGCAGGGACCTAATTAGTAGTATATACACATTGGCATAATTAGTAATATGTTTTCAAAAGTTGAAAGAAGTGTTACAAACCCGAATGTGATCCGAGCATGTCTGGCTTCTCCTTCTTCTGTGATCATGTGGATCACATCCTCTACCAACACACCTGTGCTTCTGCTTCCAGGAGAGAGATATCGGATTCGGTAAGGACAATCGCTGAGAGGAGAAACACATCTGTTTCTTTTTGCACAGAGTGTGCTATTGCAAGGAACCTTTGAGCTTGATGTTGATATGGTTGGGTCGTAGATGTTTAGCTTTATCCTCTATGCATATATACACACAAATACATGTGTGTTATAAATGATGATCTAGCTAGATTTAATGTCATAATTAGTAACATTCAAAAATACTATATATTTTTACCTCGCCTTGGTCAGTCTCCATGCTCCGTACGCAGGTGGAATTGCAATTGCAAGGTAACCAGAACAAATCACTTCCCGTGTCTAAAGCCACCAAGAACCATTGAGCCGGTGTCCCCACCGTCACATTCGCATAATGTAGACTGATCATTAATAAAACATAGAATCAAAGGTTTATATATGAAACTGAAATGAAAAACAGTGGAGTTTCAAAATAAATTCATACAAACTGATTTCTTGGGTGGAGTTGCCTTGAGCAAAAGAAACAGTGGTCTGATTGTTGTTAGAGGTTAGCCGGCGACCTCGATCACGGTGAACCAACGTGTTGTAGTATTCGAGGGTGCCCATTTCAGGCAAGCCATGGCCACCAAGAACGGTCTTGACTTGCTCTGAGAATCTATGGTGAATTTCAAAGGAGAATGATCCTGAAACTGAAGCACATCCCAAACTCATAACACAGAATCCAAACTGTAGCACCCATCTCAACTTCTCACTAGTCCAAACCATTCTTCGATCTCTCTCTTCCTCCATGAATCTAGTTTCTGTTTAAATTTAGGAACAGGTCAATTGCTTCTTGCAACTTGAGTTTCTTTTACTACAAGAAACTTTCTTTGTTTTCATTTTTTGGTGGGTGTGTGAGGGAAAAGGTCAACGTTTTGTCTGGTGCTTTGGCATTTGTCAACGGATTTTTAAGATCGTTATTGACGGAATATGTTGCCAACGAAATTTCCCATTTTATAATTCAAATTTTAGAACACAACTCTCGTATTTAATTATATACTAGCTTAATTGTAGAAACCATAGTAGTATTTATTAATTCCCTTAAGTCTTTATAATTAAATTAAAACCACAAGTACTAGATCAACATTGAATCGTTGTGTTTGTGTGGCTGTTTGTATATATATATATATATATATATATATATATATATATATATTTGGTGGAAATCTGAATAGAGACGTGGAGGGATGTTTGTTTGTTCCAATGAGTTAGGTGCAGCCGGTACACATTTGGCATTGATAATAATGTCAAAATGAATACGAAAACAAAGGAGTGTTTTGGTCATAACATAAAATAAGAGGATGGAGATGAAAATTAGAGAAAATAGAAAGAGTTGACTTCGGATAAGGTCATGTACACGTGTCAGGCACATATATGGGGCCAGCCACAGATTACTCCTTTTAATACGGCTTTGTATATTGTTGATTAACGAACGCTCTCTTAATAATTTGGCTATAAGCCTATAAATAAAAGCTCTGTTTTTAAAAGTTCAGTTGCCTGAATGAATCACAAACTCATTGATCTCTTTTCTTTCTTTTTGGTCTGAAAGTGATTGATCTCTAGACTCCATTAACATGAAAATAATCACTTGACTACGATAATTGATTTATTTTTAACTGTCTTCTTGAGAAAAACCTCTACACAAGTAAGTACCCATCGAACTTCAAACTATTTTTATAAAAATTGATAGAAAGTTGAACACTGTAACTTACAAAGACGAGCAAGTACAAATGTACATGTACCCATAGAATCAAAGGAAACACAAGTCATATGTAAAATTATAGGAATGTTTCGAATACAAAACAAGGCATATAACAAACTAAAAAGAGAAAATGTTATATATGAGAATCGACATCCAAATCCTAATACATGTCTCCAATTATTCTTCCTACATATAATCTGCGTTTATAGTGTACTAAGTTATGGTTGATACTGTGATTTAGTAAGCCGTACTGTGGATCAAAAATATCCAAATACATTTTTTACAAAGAATAAATTCCAAACGTGTTGAGGAATAGATGCATATTTGTGTAAAAACCGTGTAGTTGATCAGGTTAATGTTCCTTTACGCGGAGATTAATCGATATGGCAAGTGTAGTGGACGTAAGGAGTTTTTCTTTTTCTTTTTTTTTGGTGTGTGCGGCTATGCATGCGTATATAGTCTAAGAAGATGGTGAAGATTCAAGCCTTGGTTCTTGATAAATTGGGGAGAAGGTCGAGGCAGTGAATGAAATGAAGGTCGTGTACAAGAGGATTTCCGGTTCTCCTAGGTGGTGACCCTGCGTACCACATCGACTCTATTGTTCCACCTTCTATCGGCTGCACCACAATTAACAAATCTATTTAATTAACACGCAAGATTCATACACGCAAGTATGGAGATACTCTTTCAGTTTCAGTTTAAGTGTTGTTATGACATTTTCCACGTTTTATTATATTACTACAAAAAAAAAAAACAGAGACTTTTTGACTTAGAGCTATTTTACAATTGATTAAGTTTAGATATGAACAACATCAAAGTTCTATATTGAAATAATAAAACGACATTTACTTTTGGAAAAGAATATCCATAAGCAAGTATGACCTTATCGATTATGCTGACAACGCCGCTTCTGCCCTCCGAACTTTGTTGGTTGATTCATTGAGGCACAAACAATGTATAAGAGCCATCAAGATGAAATTTCAAGAAATATAAAGAAAAAGCAGGGCAGGATATATATAGCCTTCGATTGTTTGAAAAACAATTTCAAGGTTTACATAAGTATACAAATCACAACTTCGAAAAATTGAAGCATTTTTGAGTTTTTCATCAAATATTTAATTTGTTGTGAAATGGAAGAAAAAAAACACCAAACGTAATTAAAAACAGAAACAAACTAATCTAGACCATATATAAAATGTTACCAGTTGGAAGAGTGTAAGGAACATGAGAGAGGTTTGAGGAAGTCAGGAAGAGAAGGACACACACGGCGTGGCTTAGGGCAAAGAGGTTGTTTCATTGACGTCGTCGTCTCCGAATGATGTTGCATCTTTTTCTTTTTCTTTTTTTCAATCGTATTCAAGAGAACAGCTAGTTATTTAAATTGATATCTTGTTAAAATGGAGTCTGTTTAAAACAGTAGTGAATCTCTATATATTCAAAACACAATGTAGTTCTGGTTAATTTGTAGTGATGAGTGAAGAAGCCAAGTTTGGTTAATCTCAGACCAAAAAAAAAACACAAAAGAAAACGTGACAATTTACAAGTGGGAGAGTTTCTGTGATTCCTCAATGGCTTGGTAAAGAGTGAAAGTAGGGTTGGTTTTCTTGACTACACTCCCCTCATTTCTTGCTTCTCACTCTTACTATATTGGCAGGGTGATAAAGGCTTTGTTAGACCAATCTAAGGCCCATTAGAGAGAAGGAAGGCCCATTGTTGGTTACTAAGAAAGAAAGAAAAGAAAAGAAAGAAAAAAGAGAGGGAGGAAAAATGTGATGATGGGAGGGAAGAAGGGGAAAGCCAAGGGGAAGCACATGGGAGAAGAGTGAAGGAGGAAACGGGAAAAAAGAAGTGCAGGTGCAGGTGCAGGTGGAGATGGAGGTGGATGCGGATGTGCACACGTATGTCCTTATTGAGACAGCTAACGTTTTTATGATCTCATTATTTCACGTGTCCCCTCTTTCAATCACTCACACATAAAAATTATATTCGACCTTCCTCTCTCTCTCTATACATTATATCTTTTAATTTTTCCTTAACTATCAATCAATCTTCTTCTTCGACCAAACACAAACACAAACACATCACACTTCTTCTCTTCACTTTTTTTACCATCTAGTATCTTGCAACAAATTTTTTTTTTTTTTTTTACTTTGTAGAACTTCTCAATCACCCAAACATATGTTGAACCCAAAAAAGAAAAGAAAAAAATTGAATAGGTGGTGGTGAATAGATAAGAAAAGATTAGTTAGTGGGCATAAAACGAAAATATTAGAAAGATAGAGGACTGTTGGAGAAAATAAAAAGGACAAGAAAAGTCAATTTGAGGAAACAGAGGGGTTAGGTTTAGAAAATCTGATCCAGTAATTGGGATTGGATTGTCTGGTTACAAGCAGTGGAGCCCTTTTCCTTTCTTGCTTTCTCTTCTCTTCTCTTTGCCTTCCTCTGGAAGAGAAGGTCGTCGTCCCTCAAGTGCTTCTTCTTCTTCTTCCTTTTATCTCCTCCATTTTTTTTCTGGATCTGATTCGGATCTATCGCTCTCTCTTTCTTCCACATCGATCCAACAACAGATCTCCATCATTTTCTCACTTTTTTTCCTTCTTCCACCTGTAACTTGATAAGACTTTGAGTTCAGATTTTTCTCTCATTACTAAACCCTAAAATCCCTTGTGTAGATTAAGATTGCCTTTTGATCTCAACCCTGGAACTCCTTTTGTTGACTCCAAGTCTGCGGGTGACTCTCTTCCTGTTACATCTGCAGAATCTCAGGTACTAATCCCCCGAGTTTAGCATAAAGTTTGGATTTTGTTCTGAGTGTGTTTCCTGTTCTCTCTGCTTAATGATTGATTCCCTCTTGCTCATCTGATCCATCATCCACTGGGTTTTTAGATTCTTGAGTTATTTAGTTGGTTTTACTTTTCACCTTATCTCGTACTGATTAGCCAAGTTTTCAGATTCACTATCAAAGCTAATAGCTGCTATCGCTGTTCAGATTTAATGTTTTTATTTTCGGGGAAATTCTGAGACTTGTTTCTCTTTTTGAAGTGCAGATTCATAAAGCTACATCGTTTCTAGTTGTTTGATCCTGCATCCCTTTGACGGATGTGGAGGAAAAAGAGGGTTTCCCTGATGACATGAGGAATGCTATCAACTTTGATGAAACTTTTGAGTGCTTGTCTGTGGCCTTCTTCCTCGGGCAAGTCCTCTGATTCAACAGGAAAACAAGATGGACTGCTCTGGTACAAAGACTCTGGTCAGCACCTACTTGGTGAATTCTCAATGGCAGTTGTTCAGGCCAACAATCTGCTTGAGGATCAGAGCCAGGTTGAGTCTGGCCCTTTGAGTACACTTGACTCTGGTCCTTTTGGAACCTTTATCGGAATCTATGACGGACATGGCGGTCCTGAGACCTCCCGCTTTGTCAATGATCACCTCTTTCAGCATCTAAAGAGTGAGCAAATGAATGAATATAATAATATGCATACATACTTATGGACCAACCATCCGCATGGAAACTAAAAATCTTATTGAATTTTACAGGATTCGCAGCAGAGCATGCTTCTATGTCGGTGGATGTAATTAGAAAGGCATATGAAGCGACGGAAGAAGGGTTCCTAGGGGTTGTGACAAAGCAGTGGCCGGTTAAGCCACAGATTGCAGCGGTTGGGTCTTGCTGCCTGGTGGGTGTTATATGCGGAGGCAGGCTCTACATCGCTAACGTTGGGGATTCACGTGCAGTTCTTGGAAGGGCTATGAATGCTACAGGCGAGGTTATTGCGCTTCAGCTCTCAGCGGAACATAACGTGAGCATAGAGTCTGTTAGACAGGAAATGCGCTCCTTGCACCCGGATGATTCTCATATCGTCGTGTTAAAGCACAATGTGTGGCGTGTTAAGGGTCTTATTCAGGTACGTTTCTCAATCAGAATTATACTTAGTTAGATTTTAGGGTGAAAGGATCAGTTTTTATACAAGTACATAGTTGTGATTTCTGTATGGAGATGAGGTCCCTGCATTAAACTTGTGGCTGTATAGTCAAAAGGCTTGATTTTTAGTAACCTTGACTTTGTCACACCAAACCCTCCAACCCGAGAGCTGTTGTTGAAGTTGGTGGTGTCTTAAAGCCAGTTTATGTATGTCATACATTAAGATAGATGCTATAACCGACACAACAGTTGAACCAGTGTTTTGTCTCCATGGCTGCCTATAGACATTATGCGCAAATACCTAGATATGGTTGTTCCTTTGCCATGTCAAGATAAACCCTGATGATTGAGATTGAAAAGGCTAGATATGGTTGATCCTTTGCAGATATCTAGATCCATCGGCGACATCTATCTTAAGAAGGCAGAGTTCAACAAGGAACCATTATACACGAAGTACAGACTCCGCGAGCCGATCAAGAGACCGATTTTGAGTGGGGAACCGTCAATAACAGAGCATGAGATCCAACCACAAGATCAGTTTCTGATATTTGCTTCTGATGGACTATGGGAGCAGATGAGCAACCAAGAAGCCGTTGACATCGTTCAGAACCACCCACGAAACGTGCGCTAGATCCATTTCTTCTTTTTACTTTTCTGTTTCAGTAAAAACCTATTTCAAAACCAAATATTGACTCTGTCCTTTGCTGTGGGAATGAGTGCAGGGGATTGCACGGAGACTTGTGAAGATGGCACTGCAAGCGGCGGCAAAGAAAAGAGAGATGAGATACTCTGATCTGAAGAAGATAGAGAGAGGCGTGAGGAGGCATTTCCACGATGACATCACTGTGGTCGTCATCTTCCTTGATACCAATGTAGTGAGCTCTGCCAAAGGACCCTCTCTTTCTATCAGAGGCGGCGGTATGACTTTCCCCAAGAAACTCTAAAGCTACTGCTACACTTTTTAGGTTCCATCTTTTGTAGTTATATGAAATCACTCTTGTTTGGTATAAGAATGTAAAATTGTAACGTGAAAGCCATACACTACTGACGTTTGGAACTCATTCCAGTAATTATTAATTGTTATTTTATTCAGCAAAACTTTGTGTAATGATGTAATTTGTTGTTGATGATGAATGAATGTAGGCCTTTCTTCTGTCGTATTGTTGTATTGCATAGTTCACACTATACAGAGGAGTCTTTGATAATCATTTACATTTTAAATATGTGAAAGAAGCCAAGAATCAGTAAATACTTGAGAAAGCTCAAGTGTGCAGTATACCTGATAAGGGATCATCCATCAAATTACCTTTGTCCTCGTTTCGTTTCAGGTCTATTTTTTCGTTCTATTTCTCTCTTTTTCTTAGGCTTTTAGAAATTAAAAAAAAAAAACCATAAAAAAAATTTCTTTAGCACTTAGCTTTCACTTGATAACATGCTTGACGTTTATCTGTTTCAGATGACTCACTTGCTGATTTCCCCATCGCTGTAACTAAATTATAGACAATTCTGCATTTAAAAATGTGGACACAAGGAATTTGAAGCTTCTAGGCGTTCAGCTTCATGTTCTGTAAAATCTAGTGAATCCGAGGTTGGTTTCTGAACATCTCTCGTGTTGTTGACTTCTTGCTTCACATTGTTGTTAGGATGCACGTGAGCACATCCTAGAACTTGGTCCTATATATCCTTGTATCTTGAGTGTTTTTCTCAGGTTGTAATTTCTGCTGCTACTTATTAGATTCTACTTATCATACCACAGTATATGAGAATGACGGCATTACATGCATTAATTTCACTACCATCAGATGCCATACATGTTGCACCGGTTAAACTCGCTATCTCTTACTTTCGGATTCTCTGTGTCATCCGGTGCAATTGAATAGAGGAAGCTTGTTCTGTTCTAGTTGTTTGGTTCCAAGTTGAAGCTTATCTCTGAGAAGCTCTAAAATAAAACAGTGAAGAATTTGAAATTAGTGTACTTTGCAGACTTTTACGTCTTCTTGTGGTTTTGTCAATGGAGAAAACCCACTCACGCTATAGATCATATTCTGCAGCCATGTACACAGAAGAAGAAGTTCTAGAACTCGACGTGAGTATTATCAGCCTTTCTTACATACTATTTTCCCATATTACTGGCTTAGTGTTATTTTAATGGGACTTTGATATTAAGCCACTCAATGGTAACATTAACAAACCATAAGGTTGATTACATCCTGAAAACAGTAATGCTGGAAAAGAAAGAATGAAGCATGTTGATAAGGTGTAGATCAAGAGCAGGTACAGTTAGGGAATTGATATATTTTGTAAGTCCAGAAAATATAATTGGGTAGAGAGAGAACGTGTGTTCTGCATTAATTTATGGCCAAGGTGGACCGGAGGGTTAATGTAGCTAGAGAGAAGTAAATAGGGGTGTGCAACAGTTCTTGCTTCCCACTAGACCAAAAAAGAAAAAAAGATTTGGTTTTTACAAAGCTCTGGTGTTACAATGCGACATTAAAACTTTGATCTTTCTTTTGAGAATCTTCAATGGAGAGAGAGAGAAAGAGAGAGAGAGATGGGTCATTAGGGTTCATAACTGGCTTGAGGTTGTAAAAAGCAGAAAGAGGGAGAGAGAGAGAGAGAGAGAGAGAGAGAGAGAGAGGGCCTGAAAAAAAGCAGTAAGACCATTAATGGTTGCAGGCAGCCAGTGTCCCCTTCTTCTGCGAGATTCCCTCAAATTTATTGTAGAGCATCTTCGATGTTCTTTAACTTCTTCCTCAAACCCATTTTTTTGTTATTTTTTATTTTTTGTTATGAACCTCAAAGAAGGAAAGACAGAGGAGGAGACAAAGGAGTATAGGTTCACATTGCATAGCCAATTTAGTTTTGAACGATGGATACATATGTAAATCAATGTTTAAATAAGGAGAGAGAGAGAGAGAAAGAAGAGAGAAGAGGGATTAAAGAGGGTGTGACCCAGCTTTTGTGCTTTGGTAGTAGATGTGGTTTTAATGCACCATACCTTCCATTTCCTTCTCTCATGCCCTAATTAAATTCATCTCCTTTATAACTCCCCACAGACATTCTCACTTCTCCTCACACTTCCCCTCACACGTCTTTCTTCTTCTCTTTTTTTTTCATCATTTACAGGCTTCCTCTGAATCTGCACTTTAGCACGAAAGAGTCCCTTTGATATTGGCCTGGTTCATTCAGATCTTCTTGACCACACACGCACATATATTGCATTCTCTAGATATCTGATTGAGCCGCGCCAATATCCCAGTGCTCTCTCGTCTCTCCGTCTCTGTTTTGGACTCTGTTTTTTTTCTTCTTCTATGGGTTGAATTCTGCTTGTGTGTGTGTTTTGAGAATGGAGACGGAATGTAAATCTCTTTCTTAATGGTTTTATTTACGTACTCTTTTAAGGTTAACTGATCTTGTTTATGATTTCCAGATCCTTAAAAATCAAATCATTTACCAGAAAAAAAATGGAAGTGTGTCTCCATGGAAGTCTTACCCTTTCTTCCGATTCAAGGTACCCACCAAACCCTCCATAAGCTTCCTTCCCAAGTATAAATCTTTTATGCTGCTTGCAATTGGGTTTGCTTCATATAATCTATGAATCCTTTTGAAATGTGAATTTATGGAGACAATGTCGTTATTTCTCTAGGGATTGTTAAGTTAGACTCATCTTGTTTATCAGTACAAAATGCAGGGTGTTAGAGTTAACTATTACATATACAAAATCACAAAGCGGTGAAATCAATTTGAATGGACAATGATGCTATGTAGATGTCACAATCACAAGAAACAGAGCAAAGTTAAGGATTTGGTCATGGAAATATTTAATGGGAGGAGAGAATCTGACGAGCACGAACCCTAACCTGCAAGCGAGCAAGAGCATGCATACAATGTAAGGCTATTCGAGCTTGTCTCCTCACAAGCACTCCTCTCGCCACCGCCTGAAGCTTCACCAGACTCTTCAGCGCTCTAAACGCTCTCCTTCCCTACACGACACTTACAAATTGCTCAAAAAAGGTTTTTGAAAATTGCAGAGATCTATAGGCAAAATGTGTTTAATGTTTACCAGGTGACCTCTGAAGAAAGCTTGGATTTTAATGGCGGCAATGTCTTCTTTAGTGGTTTCTGAGGCTGAGCGGATGATGGTGATTCTGCTGGGAGATCGCCGGAGAAGTTTCCTCCGGACAACGCCAAAAAATCTTCTGGAGTTGGCCATATTGGGGAAAGTCTTTGTCTCTGGTTTGGTTTAGGGGTTTTTAAACAGAAACGTGGACAAGGAAACGTAAAATGTAAGTAAAAAAGTGAAGGCGGTGGCTTTAAGGGAAGGAGATGATGTGCTCTCCATTTTTTATTTTTGCTGATTCTAACGAACGAACGTGCTCGCATGCTCTTTGCTTTCTAGTTTCTACTTGATTTTGTTTTCTTTTGTTTTTTACTTTTGAAGACACAAAGAGTCTTTTGGCCTTTTTACATTTAGTTAATAGTTATTCCAAAAACAAATAAAAAGAAAGAAGGGAAGCTCATTGTTGAGATTTTGACTTGAGAGTTTTATACTTAAAATCTAAAACATACAACACTGTTAAGAAAATCAATTGTTCAATGAAAGGTATGACTCTTCTGATGCTTTATTATATACTAGACATTTGTAATTACGTTCAGCCTAACATTCTAACTTTTTTTTCATGCTAATCAAAGAAAACTTAGCCTCGATTAACTTTTCTCAATTGAATTCAAAACATCAGACTCGGAAAACGGACCTTTGTATCCACAAATATCATCATTTTTTTTATTCTGAACAATCCCTCTCGAGAATAGCTTACTATTCAACATGAGGAGGCCTAACATGTTCTCACCCTCATGCTAAAAAAAGAAAGCAAACACATAAGTAGGTTAAGTGTAAACAATCCAATGCATATGCATTCAAGTATATTCAACTTCACATCAACAGGTTTCTGGTCATTCAAAATATTGTCAACAAGTGGTACAGTGTTATTGTTCATTAATGAACCATGAAAGCCCATAAATACCCCAAATAAAAATGGGCCTAATATCGCAAAAGAGACCCAACTAAACTTTGTCTTCCCTAGTTCCCTACTTCCTATTGAATTCTTTTACGCATCGTTCAATATCTCCATGGTCTTGTCTCAAATGGCCAACTAATCTCTACTCTCTCTCTCTCTCGATTCTCTCTACAGCTATACAAGTCTACAAGATTGCATTCGTTTGGAGACCTTCTTCTTGTCTTCGTGGGCGATTCTTCCTGTCTCTCTCTCTCTTTCTCTCGCCCAATGTTTGCCTGAGAGAGTCAACCATGGGCGTTTGCTGCCCTTTCCTTCGACCTTGGGATCGAGCACGGGACCGATTTCTCATCAACCTTCCTTGTCTCTCTGATCCTGGTACCACTCTTTTATTTTTTTCCTCACCCTTTTAACCCATAGTGTTGATTTTTTCGTCTACGTCTCAATTTCCCCTTTTTGAATTTGTTGTTGAGATTTGATTTGGGTTCTGATTCACTACCCAAATTGTTTGCTTTTGCTATTTCCCTCGACATCTCTTCACTTACCAGTTCGAAGATCTTCCCTGCTTCTGAAATTGGCACTAGTAGCGCTACACCTCGTCTTCATCGGCTTTCTGTTCGTTTGCGATGCAGAATTCATCGAGAAAACTAAGCGAGATCCATGGTAATTCATGCTCATCTTTCTGGCTTATTTAATCAAATCTTCTATTCTAAAGAGCTAAACTTTTTTTGTTATTGTTTTCATACTCTGTGATTCTCTAACAGGTACATGGCCTCTTATTTCTTGTTGTTTTCTGCCACACTTGTGCAGTATTTTGTGACTTCTGGCTCTTCACCTGGGTAAGCTTAACTATCCATGCCCTACTTGTGTGTGTGTTTCATTTTCATTCTGCAATTGAAAACCTTCTCTTTGCTTCGGTTCTTTCTCGATTTTTTTTTCCAGGTATGTTATTGATGCAATGAGGGATGTTTGCGAGACAGATGCATTGTTCAGAAACGTGCCGACGAACTCAATGTAAAGACTTGTTATTTTCGTTTTTGATTATGGAATTTGATGGAACAAGTGATGGAATTGCATTCTGCTTAACTTGTGTCTGTCTCACTCTTGTGTTTATACCTCTATTATGTCGTTATTTAAGCGAAGACAACATGCTTCCAGACAAAGTGGGAGCGTAGTTGTTACTGTGGAAGGAGAACCAGCCTCTGGTGGCAGAAGGACTCCAACTTCCTGGGGGAAGTTGGTTCTGGACTTGTACCCTCCAGGAACATCCTTAAGGTACATATGAACTTGCTTTATTACCGTGTGAATCTTGAAAGAATCAGCTTAGAATATGTAACTGTTGTTAGTAGGAAAGAGTGTACTGAATTGTTTCTAATATAACCTGCAGGAATTTGACATGCGGCTATTGTCATGTGGAGCAGGTAACATTTGAATCTTGTATGATTTATATTGGTCGCTGTAGTTGTTGAACTTGTTTTTTTACCGTGTTTGTTCAAGTTTTCCCTCCCTAAATCTGGCTCTTGAAACACATGTTTTGCAGCCTCCACGAGCCAAACATTGTCATGATTGTGATCGATGTGTTCTTCAGTTTGATCATCACTGTGTTTGGCTGGGAACATGTGTAGGCCAGAAAAACCATTGTAAATTCTGGTAAGCCTGCGAAATCTGAACTCGTACAACCTTGTCCAGTAACGGTAGAGATGACAAAACTGGATTTTTGTAATTAAGTTTGATATTATGCTTGAGAAATTTAGTTTTAGACCCCATAAACGTGTTTCCACGATATCAGGTGGTACATCTGTGAAGAGACAGCTCTCTGCATCTGGACACTCATCATGTATATTGACTACATGAGTAATGTAGCAAAGCCTTGGTATAATACTTTTTTCATCTACCACTCGTGTTTTGGCCAATTTATTGGCAGCTCCAATTCGTTGAAATATGAATTTCAAATGTGAACAGGTGGAAAAACGCAGTTATCACACTACTGCTTGTCATATTAGTGATCTCCTTGATATTTGTGCTGCTTCTATTGATTTTCCACAGGTGGGTATTCAACATTTCGTGATATTTTCCGCAATCTCATACCTTTTTGGGTATAGTTCCGTCTGTTTTAATTTTCAAACCGATTTCCTGCAGCTACCTCATTCTAACGAATCAAAGCACTTATGAACTGGTGAGACGAAGACGTATTCCTTACATGAGGTACTTAACCCATCTTCTATCACCTAGTAATCATACTATTAGGTTGTTTGAAGAAAATAATAAAAAGAGAAACTTTGTTTCTTCGAGTGACTTTATGGAGAACCCTACTTCTTTGTCCAAATGTACATGTGTCAGTTGATCGGTTTGTTTATGTAATAATAGAGCTTTTGGGGTTTGTAGGAATATTCCGGAACGAGTGCATCCTTTTAGCAGAGGAATTAAGAGGAATCTATACAACGTCTGTTGCGGCAACTATAATCTAGACTCACTGCCTACTGCTTTTGAACTCGAGGATAGATCAAGACCCTACACTTGCTTAGATATGTTGAAATGTCGCTGCTGCTAAGTTTTTTTTTGTTTTTTGCTTTTATACAACTATATCTCTATTGTTTCAGTGTCATTTAATCTATGAAGGTAACATGTTTTCTCTAAAATATCTGATGGAGTTGTATACAGAGACATGTAATCTAGTGAATGGATTTATTATATATGCAAAGAGAGTATGTTTAAAAGAGAAACTCTAGCTTGGATCATACGCCTGTACAAGCTCTCAAGCGACTCCTCCAGATCTTCAACCAAAACATCTACGTTATCCAAGCTGGTGATCAAAGACTTGATTCGTTCCTTCTTTATCTCTTTTGCCAAGCAGAATCTTCGTAGTTCTTCGTCCATCATCTGGAACTCGTTTCTGTGTCCGTTTTGAACTTGACCACTAGTAGTAGCGTTCTTGATCACCAGTTTGGTGACCAAAGCCCATTTGGAAGGTCTGGGCTTCGGTACAGATGTGGATAAGGACAACAAGACTGTCCTAAAGGAATGACATGTTTGCGAACAAACTTGTCGGAGCAGTGTGATCAAAGGATGAGTGGACCCGGAGGAGGAGTGATCGGTTTGTTTGAGCAACAAGAGTAGCTTAGAGAGGTCCTTATGAACCGCTTTCCTAGAGCGGATAAAGGCTTTAACGTGGCAGCGGATGGTAGAATCTCCACCGTGTCTCCTCCGCCTGAAAGCAGAACGGAGGTCTCGGAGGCAGTCCTTGATGCGGCAAGTGATGTCTCTTAGCTTGGAGCACAAGTCAAGGTGTACAAGGGAGAGATCAAGAAGGTGGGTGAAGAAGGAGTGATGAGGGAGAAGTAATGAAGCTGGTGAGTCGTTGAAAAGATGAGAGATGGAGTCGTATAGATGAGAGAGAAGTGAGAGACCGTTATCATTATCTGTAGGAAGCTTGTTGAGAAGTTGCTGAATATGGTTAAGGCCATTTGAGTGTAGCCGAGCTGGTAAGCTACAAGAACGGACGTGGTAGGAAGTAGCCATTGATGATGGGTTTTGAGATAGAGAAAGCTTTAGCTGGAAAGAAGCTGAAGTTGAATATATATAGAGGGAGAGAGAGAGATAGGTCAAATGAAATAGGATTTAGTCTTGTGAGTGTAAAAGCCATTGAAATAGGATTTAATTAGACTTGTGAATGTAAAAGCCACGTGAAGGGGGACAATGTTCATTTGTTCCATCAAAGCCCACTTAATGTGTTATTTTTATGCTTCTCTCAACTAATTTTGATCTCGACGTATGCCATTATAGAGTTCGCTGTACATGTACCTAATTTGCTAATTTCATGTCTTTGTATTCATATAGCTAAATTTTTTTGTTAGGGCAAAAAAAAAAAAAAAAAACGAGGTACCCACTTAGATCTTTAGTTAGGCGAGAAAAATCAAAATAAAGACATGTTGTCAAGCACCTCCTCAACTTTGGGTATTGATAAACACCGTCATGCATGGATTAAACTTACTTAATTAGTGAGCATATATTCTCTCATATATGTGTGATCAAAGGAATATTAGCATAATCTAAACACCAAATAATTGAAACTGATAATGATCTGTTATAAGAAGTTAAGCTGGTGGTTGGATAATACTATATATGGGACCGTGTGCACGAGTGTCTTGTTGCAAACTTCCAGAGGAAACCATACTAATTAATAATCTCAATCACAATCACAATCACACCGCTTTCTTTTTTTCCTTAACTAATTTGAATTCATGAATCTGACTTGTCACGATCAAAGTACAGCCTGCAACTGCTGAATCTCTCATCTCGTGGATTAGATATTCAGATTGTCAAATATCTACTCTCAAATATCTATCTATCCTAACTATTAGGCTTTTCATCTTTATCAAAAATAAATATATATTAAAAGCTTTTTTTCCAGAATAATATCTTCTCCGCCCGTGCTTAATTTGGATATGTAATTTTTTTTCTTTTATACATTCTTCGATTAAATTTGCAACTTGGATTTGAGATATTTCATTACTTTTTTTAAAAAAGAGATATTTCATTACTTTTTTAAAAAGGGAGATATTTCATTTGAGATATTTGTTCGATTACTTACATGCATGCATGATGCATATATGAAAAAACCAGTTAAGTTGCATGGTTTTACTTATAACTAAATTAAATTCTTCCCTTATGAATTTTTTTGTGAAAATTCCTCAGACTAACCTTTAAGGTTAATGTATTGACAAACTTAGTCTAACATATTCATCAGCTTACTAGATTAACCTTAGAAAGTTGGTGTTATACCATTTTGTTCAAATAATCAATATTATTACCTGATTGCCATTGTAATTTAAAAAAAAACTTCAAATTATATACATACGTATATACACATATATACACATATATACACAAACATTTCCCTAATTCTAAAATTAGAAATTACAAAACAAAAAAAAAACTGTAAACCCTAATCCGGCGGCGATGATATAGGCGATTCGGCGACGTTATAGGCGATTTAGGGTTTTCGGCGGCGAAGAAGGCGATTTCGGCGGCGACGAAAGGTTTTTCGGCCACTCATCTGGTAAGTGTTTCACATCTGGGTTCATTTCTCGTCTCGAACAAGTTTTTGTCTTGGGTTTTCGGGGTTATGTCGAAAACTGTTTACGCCTTTAGTCGCGACGGTTGTGTTTGGGTGTCAACGGTGGTTTCGCGCTAACGGCGGAAGAGAAACCATCTGTTCACATGATTTTACTCAGAAATCGTAACCCTTTTCTTATTCTTTTCAGGGAAGTATTATTATCGGCAGTTTCCGTCTTTGGAGAACGGTTTCCAGAGACCCTACACGATTTCCGGCGAGTAATTTCTGGTCGCAGTGGTTCGGTTCTAATTTGTTTTTGGTAGACTTTTCAGTAGTTGTTGCATTTGGTCGATTTGTATATGTGAGGTAGATTTGTTTTCTATGTGAGGTAGATTTGTTTTCGTTTCATTGTCTTGTTTGAATAATCAAAGTATTGTTGGTAGAGTTATTGTTGAGATTGTATTGGTAGATTTATGTATTGTTGGTTGATTTATTCCATGTGTGGTAGACTTTTGAGGTGACTTCGGTA